CGCACACGTGGGTGTGTTTGTGCATTTTTGCAGAATGCAGGGAGTTCTCATACAACAGTCATGTACTGTATAAATGTCCTGCTGGGGATTGAATCTGGCTCTAGCACAACGCAGGAATTTGGTCGGGCAGGTTGTGTCGTGTGGACTTCTGACCCAGGATCAGCACGCTCCTTCAATAAGGCAGCTTGAGAAAACCATAAAACAGATCTCAGATCAGGTGCAAAGATATTTCTTTTCTGGACGGGATGCAAAAGATTAAGAGTCAGTCTTCATATATATGGAGCGGATTCGTGCCACTGTAACATTTCACAGTCCTGGTTTAGGAACGTAGAGAGTCCGTGGCTGGAGAATATTTTGAGAGATCCGCAGTTTCCAGAAAAAAAAGATAGTTCCACTCCACTGTGCCTCCTTTCCAAAACAGTTTGATTGGGTCAGGGGTTTTAATGACAGAAAACAAACTTGTGGTATTTGGAATCCTTCACTTCTGACATTGTGAGAGGCTGCATGGGTGCATGTGCGTGTGAGAGGGAGAGAAAGAGAGAAGAAAAGTGGATAAATGATAAAAGAAAAGAGAGATACTGTATTAAAGGGATGCAGAGAAATAGTGATTTGTGGCGGAATTAGGGAGGGAAGATTTCGGGCACTTAAACGAGCACTCTCACTCCTTCGGCCAAATGAAAAATTAATCTGCTGGGACTTCTCTCGGACCGACAGATGAAAGAAAGAGAACGGAGGGGGGCAAGGGGAGAAAGAGTGAGAGTGAAAGGGAGATAGAAAGAGGGGGAAAAAAGTGCTGGAAAGAGCAGGAGTGGAAGAAGAGTGTTTTCGTCGTCCAAACAGCTCTCTTTTCCTCCATTTCTCGTTTTGTCTAAGTATTATTAACCATTTAGCCTTAAAAAAAAAAAATTCTCAGGAAGTCCAGGCGCACTATAGTATTTTTTAGACATTCCCATCTCTTTGTTCCCTCCCATCCTGTTTGATTTATTACCGGTTTATTGTTTTTCTAGCCTTTCCGCCCCTCACATTCTACAGTCTTTCTTCCTCTCGTCTTCCATCCATCACTGTTTCAGGTCATGGTCTTTTGGGCCGTCCGTTGCGTGGCAGGTTCTCCACCGTGTTGCTGAGCCGATACTTGACGATGATGCTGTGCACGGTGGATTTGGGCATGCGGAGCTCCTGCCCAATTGACCCTTCCGACTTGCCGTCCTTCCACAGGTCCACCACCCTCTGGCGCTGCAGCACGTCATGTTCCTTTGTCTTCAGGCAGGACGGGGCTTCTGTGGAGGCAGAAAGGGGGCAGACTGTAGACACTGGGGGGTAGGGAGCGGTCAATCAGTGGCACAGGTGATTTATTGGAGTGGTGAGCCGCCATAATCATTTTTGTAAAAAAATTTATTTAATTTAATATTTCTTTCTCTGTGTTGTTCTCTTGTTCGTATTTGGGTTATGTTTGTAATGCTTAAAAAATTAATAAAATAAAAAAATAAAAATAAATCAGTGGCACAGTATCAGTCCTCAATATTGAAAGATAAAAAGCAACCCATAACTGTAGGCAGTTATGCTTAAAATACTCCTGCTGGAAGGAGGCCTTCTTCTCGACCAAAAGAAAAAGCATAAAACCTTCCAGTTTTTGAACCTCCCGCTCTTACAGCCAGAGTCGGGACGTCCACTGGCTGTGAGACGAGAGCAGTGACGCACTGAACTTTCTCAAGGTAAAAAAAAAAGAAAAAAAAATAGAGAGATGTTAGCGGTTCGGGTGGTTTTTGGGAAAGAAATCTGTGTTGACATAATGTATCTAAAACCGTTTGCTTCGCAAAGTTCACGACATGTAAAACGCTAAGAGTTTAAGTGGCAATGACTTAAAAAAGAAAACAAGCCGTGCTCGCCAAAGTCTTTATTTCTGACAACTTTAAGAATGATCGAGAGAGAGAAGTTACGGCGTCCGCTAGGCTTTCTACAGAGGTGCTCGCACTCCATTTTGTCTCTCTCCTCCCTCGCACTTCTCCTTCTTTCTTTTAGAGAGATGTCTGACCGGGTCCAAAAAATGTCCTATTATGGAGTACGCTAAACGGATCAACATAGTCTGTCCTTCATTTTTCTCTTCTCTTTTATATCTCTTTCTCTCTCTCGTTTTTTTGTTTAGTCTGGCATGCTGTTTTCATCTCGCTCCCTGGCTCGGTTTAAGCTGGGGTCACCGCAGTTGTCTCAATCAGGGACCAGAGGGTTCAAACGGGCCCCAAGCGGGGCATATTTTTAGCCAGGCGAGGGTTCAGTGTGTACAGCCTCAACAAACCCAATCAGCCTCTACACCCACCAGGATCTGAAGTCCCGGGCTATTTCAGTGACAGGCCGAGACTGAAAGAGAGAGAGACAGACGGAGAGAGCGTCTAGTTCTGCCTCCAGGGGGTTTGAAAAACCGGCGTAAAAGCACGAGCACATTTGTGTTTCTTTATGGGTTTTTTTTACCCTCTTAAAAATATCTGAGTAGAAAAGCAAAAAAATGTTCCCTCGGCTGAGCGATTCCTGGCACAGCTAAAGTCCTGGATAACTGTAATGACATTTTCAGAAAAAGCACCATGGCAAGAAAATATGCCTCCCTTAGACGCTGCGGTAGAAAGATTGGTATCAGGACTCTCAATCCACAAACCCTTCGACTCTGTACGGGTACAAACAGTCAGGACGATGGACAGAGTCGGGAATCGGATAGAACAAACAGAAAACGGCAAACAAAAACATCTACATTTGTTCTTCTCAGTGCTTCCTGCACACATATGCTGTTACAGAGCTAATATTGAAACAATAAACTCACTGGCAGGGCTAATCTGTTCTCTTGGACCAAAGATGGGGAACGTGAAATTATTTAGCCAAAATTCCACTGGGGGCCCGCTCAAATTAAAATGCAATTAAGTGTCCTAACCAGAATCATATTTTTGCAGAAATTTGAATACGTAAAAAGTGTGACTTATATCAGTCTTTTTTTGTTTGTTTTTTAAACTAAGGACAGAATATGTGGTTTCATTTATGAACAATAACATATTGAGCAAGTGTTTAAATTTGTAGCCATGTTTTATGATTTAAAAAAATAAATATACTAAATTAAATATGTGGAATACAAATCATTCCAGGTTCATTGGAAGTTTGGTCACTGATTAAATCTTTCTAAAGGAACAAATGCGACACATCTTCAAAGTGCTTCAGATCCAGCCTCTCATATACTGACCTCACACATTATTGTGAAATGGAGCATTTGTACGCCCACATAAACACAAATAGACTGAGAGAGAAAGAGTGAGAGAAAACAGTGGGAGAAAAACAGAGGGAAGTTGAATCATGTGTTGATTTTGCCACGTTAATCATGAGTAAAATCTCCATTGAGATCATTTATGGTAATTGGTAAATCGACTACATTTATATAGTTACTTCATTATATCCATTATTCATAATTCATTTATCCGTTACTAAATCACTGCTTGCTTAGTCTCTGCAAGCATACAGGACGAGCAGTGTAGGCCATGGTTATTGTAGTTATTATACTGTTAAAAACATTTTTTGATACTTAAAAGCTGAAATAAAATAAGAAGTTTTTCACCTAATATATATATATATTTATTAGGTGAAATATGTAAAATTATTTCAGTTAGTTACCAAGGCAACATTTAAAAAAATGTATTTAGAAATGTTTAATTTAACCTGATACACTAAAGTTACGAACTGAAAATAAATGAAATTAAATTAATTAAAAATAACAAAAGGACATAAACTGAAAATATGAATTTAAAAACATGAATAAAATCTATAATAGTATATAACCAATACTAAAACAACACTGCTGTAGTTTGATTCACAAACAAATGATTCATTTGAATGGATTATTTGAATGAATCAGTTAAAAAGACTCACAAAATTGGTTTGAATCAGTTGAAGAATGAATTCCAATCTGTGAAACAATTACTGATAAACATCTCAGTCGCTTACTGACTAGATGTTTACTAGACAAAGTGCAATGTGTAGGTAAAGATACACATTCACATCAGAGTTTTGCAAAAAAATGCAATTTAATTTAAAACATGTTACAAAAATTAGCATTGTTTTTGTTGGGGATGTAGTTAGACCTCATTATGGGGAATGTTGCAAAAACATAAATTCTCTTTCACTGCTAAAACTAAATTCACTGGTGTTTTATGGTGTAATTGTTTTTCCCACAAACCTGCTAATCTGAAAATTCACACTTTACTAAATTACCCAGAAATCCTCAGCTCTTAAATGTGCTACACCAAAGTGTGTCACCAAAAGAACTGCAAAAAAATGACTGCTTGCAAACAGGTTTTCAAGACACTCCCCTCCCCATCTGCCATTGGCCGGCCAAACAGTTGGCTCCGCCCCTCTCTTACGCCATTGGATGCTCAACCGTGCAGATAAATGTTTTGATAGCACCACAGAGCCACAGTGTTTACACTTTTCAGCAGAATCAACCTATGAATGGCCTACTTTAGCTGTCTCTGCATATTAAGCTGCGAAACGAGAATTTAACATCCAAAATCATTCACATTTAAGGCATCTAGCAGATGCTCGAATCCAGAGCTGCACACAAGAAGCACTTTGTTTTCACATTTTGAGACTGCCATGAGCAACAGATGGCAAGCAAATCTGCCTTTCAAATTTCAACCAACCAAACAAACATGTCAATACCCCCAGCTGGTCAAAACCGATTTCAATTGGACTCTCAATTAAACTTGTTATTTAAGAACTTCATAAAGTTTATGTTTCGAATTCCTTATGTCTTTTTCTACACACAAGCAGACCGTTTCTATAACCATCACAAACATTCAAATCACCTTGTGTACAAGCATTCAGTTTAATATGAGCAGTTGATCTTTTCATTAGTGCATTTGAAAAGCCTTTAAAATGGTTCAGAGTAATCCGAGTATGAGACCACTGGAAGCTGGTCTGGTTTTGTTTCGGTTATGGGCTCTTTCTGGGGATGGATCAGCAAAACTGACCTGATATGAAGGAGCCAGGGGGCATCTGGCCGTAGTTGGCCCCAGCTAGAGTGAGAGCCGCTGAAGGTGCAGGTGTGAAGGGATGGCCGAAGTTCTGTGGCGTGGCATACGGGCCTGAAGGAATAGGCTAGATAAAGAGAGAAAGAGAGAGAACGTGTGTATGTTATGAATCTGAGAAACCAAAGGGGCTTCATTTAAAAGCAGGTAAAAATACAAACTTAATTCACAGTTGTGTAAGATTAATGTTAAAACTGCACATTTTAATAATGCCAAGTGGCTGCAACAAACCAAAGAGTATTGGCATGAAGGTGGATGTGAGTGTGTGTTGGGTGCTAATTTGCATTTCCTATTCTATGACATGTTGTAGCATAAATAGTGTTTTCACACTGAAAATTCCAAATAGAATTTAAATACCCGGATGATGCACTTTTACCCCTTTTCCACCAAAAACGAACTGGTTCGGAACTGGTGCTGGTTCAAAGTTGGTTCGGAGTTGGTTCAACTTGCGAACCTTCTCAGAACCTGTTTGTTTTTCCACTGACTAGAGCGCCCAGCGAACGACGTCATTACATCACTGTGTACGTCGCCATACATCTTAGCTAGAAACGCTTGCAAGTACAACATTACTTTGGGATTATCTCTAACTCGTGACCCAAGAAGGCTTTAAAAACAATTGAAATATGTAAGTCATGTAATCTTTTCTGATTAGTTATGTACTCCTGTCTTGTGTCTTTTTTTTTTCTTTCCATTTATTTGTTCTATATTGTGACTGTTTTCTCCTTTGCTTACATAACGTTTTCAATAAAAAAAAAACTTTAAAAAAAAACTAGAAACGCTTGCGCCAACTTCAAGCATTACAATTACAATGGCGGACTACATCGTGGTTCTGCAAATGTTTCTCCTGGCTTTGCGATCCTATATTATGACGTAAGCATGACGTGGTAAAAGAACGGTTCTAGTCCAGCAAAGAGTTGGTGCCGCTTTGGAACCAGTTTTCCTGGCCGAGAACCGGTTCTTTGGCTGTCGAAACACAAAGAACTAGTTCGCGCGCAGGTACCGGCTCCGAACTGGCTCTCAAAATGCGTTGGTGGAAAAGGGGTAAAAATGCGTTGGTGGAAAAGGGGTATTAATAAACCAGGAAAGCACCAAAGAATGGAATGTCAGATAAGTCATGCATTTCTGTCAGGACCACTATCGGACAATTAGCATACAGTTAGGACTGGCGGTGTGGTTCTGTTCTGGGCGCATCTATGCAGCCTAGCATGGATAAGAGCAGGAAGAGCAGCAATAACCCAATTAGGGCAAACAGAACAGAACCAACAAGAATATATTGCAGATATCTTGCAATTTGGGTCGAGTTGGGCGAGCCATAAACTTTAAACATGGCGGAGGGGGGAATGTTTGCTGCTGTGACTGGTAAGCTTTATTCGTTTTTTTCACAACAGCTACATCACCTTAGCCTGGTAATACCAAACTCTGCTACTTCGCTTTGCTTCGTAGACAGAGTCTGGACTGGCATAATTGAAAAGGGTTTACTTTCTCGCGGTGGGGGGCGCTGGTCTGAAGTATAAAATCATTGGTTACCCGTAAGCCAATCACATAACGCAATCACCTATCTCTCCAACTTAAAGATCACCTCCATTCAAAATGTTTAACAAACACACTTCTTGTCCGGGCTTCAGTTTGCAAATGCCGGGAATATTCTCCACAACAGAGCGAATTGCATCGAATTGGTCGTTTTCGATTTCCCTAACCTAAAATACAATCTTAAACTCGGCGTTTAGCGTCTACGTCACGGCTCTCAGCCCGCCCTCTGTTCGTTGATTGGCCGGCTGTTTTCAGGCCGGAGGAAAACTGAGAGATAGGTCGCTATCTCAGACTGAGTACAGAAGCGAACTGAAATAGAGCGGACGTAGTCAAGCTAACATCACCTTGTCTTGTAATTAAAGTAATGCATATTTACAAACCTTTGGAAGCATTTTGTTGTTACATGTAGTTTCTGTGTTTCCCCCTTGATTGTGTGTTTGGTTCAGTCCTGTGACCTAGTTTTCCCCAGTCCGTTTAATTAGTCACTTCTAACACCTGTGTCTAATTATCATCACTTGTAACACCTGTCCTTCATTCTATCATCGTCATCTGTGTTAGTATATAAGTTCCCTCTGTTCATCGAGTCCTGGTCCGATCTACTTTGTACTATGTGTGTGAGAACCCTCTACCCGTCTGTTCCATGTGTTTTTTTTAATCAAAGAAGTAAAAGTTTAATTTGGAAGTTCTGACTCCTCTGATCATTCTACCTGCACCGTACCGTAACAATTGTCTGTTATATACACAGCGAAATTAGCCTGTGTTTGACTGAAATTCGAAAACTTTCAGCAAGCTGACTGACTAAATAGCGCTGTGAAAATGTATATGGTTGTCAATGAATGGGACGCTAAATATAATTTTGGCGATTTTCCCAATAAATAGGCAAGAATAAATCTGGTGTCCTCCTGTTCTTTCCGACAACAAAGCACAAGTAGGAAATGTCCGATAGCATGTGAAAGCTGCAATAAACCGTGCTCTTCACGCGAAGCAAACAGGACAATCACAAATAATTAAAACACACCCAGTCATTTTTAAAATGTAAATTATTCCTGTGACAAATTCAGCATCATTACTCCAGTCTTCAGTGTCACATGATTCTTCAGAAATCATTCTAATTTGCTGATTTGGTCAATTTAATGAGTATTCATTTATTTGAAAAAATAAAATAAAAATGACTGACTCCAACCGTTTGAATGATAGTATCTGTGAGAATATGTATATTGATATGTGTTTGTGTGTTTACCGGCGGGGTGTGTGTCTCGTTGCCTTTGTTGGCCAGTCTGCTGAGGATGCTCCTCTCCGACATCTGCAGGCGGGCCGTGATCGGAGGGACTCTGGAGAGTGTGGCCGGGAGCCGCGTCACGTCTGCCTTCATGTCACTCAGAAGCTCCTCCAGTTGGTTAAGAACTACACAAATGTTCATTATTACAACATGCCAAGTTGCAGGAACTAAAAGGAGCAGACAGGATTTGTTTTTAAAGTTAAAAAGCACCGAAGTGTAATTACTAACAGACAAAATACTATTTATAAATCTGTTCACTTAAAACCTTTATGAAGACTCTTTTTTTTAATAACGTACTTATAAATAAGAACAGGAACATATATTAAGAAAGTAAACAGGGTCAACTTTGATTTCATGTTGACTTTAACAACTGAACTGAGGGAGTGGGAAGCATCATTAAAATCTTTATCAAATACCCTGAAATTCATTCAATCCTTGAAACAATTCCAGAAGAGAGGTTTTTTATTTGTAAGAGAGGTGTAGTTATTGTAATTGAAATAAAGCCGAAATGTATTAAAATATCAATATTAAATGTAAAACTTAAACTTAAAAAAACAACATGAATAAAATCAAATCAAAAACACACATTATAAAAAAAAAACTAAAATTAATTAAAGCTACATAGAAATATAAAACACCCCAAAACTAAATTAAATACTAAAACTTAATGAACAACTGAAATGAACAGTGAACATATAAAAATAAGAGTTAATTGAAAATATCAATAAATACTATAATAGTATACAGTATAAATTAAACTTGTTTTGAAACGCACCAAATACGCACCTTTTTATCAATATCAGCTTTAAAAACTGATCCAAGGTTCAGAAAGCGAACTAAAAGTGATTCAATTGATTCTGATTGTCAAAAGTGAAGTTCACTGGCAGTTCTCTCAGCAATTGCAGCTAATCATAAGAGTGACATGCCAAGTAAACTGGTATCCAATAAATGGTTTATCGCTACAGTTTAAACAACACGTTTGAGAAAACTCCAGGACAAATAAAAAAGGCCTTGTGTTCTTGAACTGTTCGCATATCAGAGCTGGCGGGAACACTGGTCCCGCTGGATCTACCCAGAAGCCCTTTATCAGACTCTCAAGACGCCAGCTAACTTTGTCTGAGTTACACACAAACATATTCCCTGTGATACATCATTTCTCATTAAAAGATATTTACGAGATAAATCACACACACACTTTCCTTACCCTTATGCAAGACAGCATTGGCAGGTTTGTTTCCAGCAAGCGACTCCTTGCTGAGATGCTGATGTGACTCAGCTAGACATTCAACCTCGGCAAAACGGGCGTTCAGGGCCATGGCCGGGTGAGTGGGGTCCTGGGTCATGTTGAGGTACGCAGCCCGACGCAACTGCTCCTCTATCACCAGGGCCTGCTCCAGCAACTGAGAGAAAGATGTAAAGATGTGTGAAACTGTATCTTTACAAAACCGGTGGTTCGGAAGTCATGAGTTTATAAATGCTGCTAAATAAAGCCCTGCTGCTAAAATGATTAAAAAACATTTAGATTAGAAACTTTCCTTGATCTTTTTGTCATATAAGAGGTCATTGTACTATAAAAATATCCTGTAAGTCAAGAAAAAGCTTTGATTGAAAGTGACCAAGCTCAGAAAACGACTTGTTTCGGATTTTGTCACATTATTATGCCAAAGTGTGACCAAAGACCGCCTCTGCAGAAGAAGATCAACGTTTACTTCTACATCTTGGCCTCTTCAGCCCCGCCCAGCGATTCTCGCACATGTTGGGTAGTAGTAAATACGAGAGACGCAAACGCAGGATTACTCCAGCAAACCATAGAGATGCCTCTGAGGATTTCAAATTCAAGACGTTTTGCAGTGGCAAGTTGTGGTCGTTGAAACAGCCTAATGTGATCCTAACATTAAGAAAGATCCAGATCGCGTCAGTAAGACACTGGTCGTTTATTCGCTTCATTTTCCTGCGGATTAGTTTTTTTTTGCAAACGCAGCTTTTCTGAGAGACTAAAAGTAAAAGATGCAGTGGCGGCTACACTGGATCCGACAGTAATGTCGCAACCAAGATCGGAGTTTTTAGAAATAATCGTTTTCTGTGATAAAAACGGGGTTTTCGTGTAAATGAGAGGCCAACAAACTGCAGGGAAATATCTGCGTCTTCCCTTCGTGTAAACGGGGCACGAGCGGCAATCTTCCGGTCTCTCTTTGAATCCAACAAGGAAGGGACTTAAACTGTAATTCATTGGCTGGCCGCTAGAGACAGGCTACAAAAGAGAGTCAATCCCATAGAACCCCATGTTAATATGCCCAACTTTACAGCAGAAAAAATTTTTAACAGGCTGTTACAAAAAAGTGGTTTTGGTCTATATAGCAATGTTTTTTACCCTTCATGACAATTAATTTTTTTAGAACTCATCCGTATAAATTATATTAAGCCTTAAAGTTCTGCATAATTAAGGGCGTGGCCACTTGAGTGACAGGTGGATTGACTTTGCTCTCACTACTAGCCATTTGTCTGATGTCTGTTAGCCGTCCCGTCACCTCAGCTAATCCCGACTCTTTGCTCATTTACGGTTATCCGGGAGTGACGCGCTGCCAAGATGGCGACGGCCGGCTCCGCCCACTTTGGGCTTCAAAAATGCTCTTCATAAACTTCACGGGGTGATGTCACGGACACTACAGTCACTACGTCCATATATTTTTACAGTCTATGGTCGCAACACACAAGTGTGAGTAACAGTGTTTTTACCATGTGTCACTATTGCTTTGTCTATCGTTTGAAATCTTTCCTGAAAACAATAAAAGATTAATGTAAGAACGACAAACGACCGTCATTCATTCATAACACAGTAAGTTATCCCATATAACTGTGGTAACTCCCAAGTACTTAAACTTTTATGTATGGCTGAATTTCACTGGTTGCCATTTTTTCAACCAATTTTTTTTCACATTTTCGGAAGTTTTCAAAACAATTCCACACGTGTAATGACGGTGAAAATTATTTTAAAATGCAAAACTGTTACCCAATCATAGCAGTGGGCGTTTACTTCCAGAGTCTTCAATGCAACACGCCCATCAAAACGGAGTGTTTCAAAGAAAGGGACAAAAACAGGATAGTTCTGCTTAATATTTATGAGAAAACTGGGATTTTTTGAAGAATAGAAAGTTTAAAAAAAACAGCATTTATTTTAAATAGACTTTCGCTTTTGATTAATTTGATGGACCCTTGCTGAATAAAAAGGGAAAAAAGACTATCTTACTGACTATCAGGGCTTGACATTAACTTTTTTTTGCTTAGCAGCCACTGTGGCTAGTGGTTTTCAAAAGTTACCAGCCACTCAGCATTTTCACTAGCCACAATTTTGACATTGATACCATAGGGAAAAACTGCCATATAGATATTTTTAACATTATCTCATAATTTGGCAGCAGATTTATTAGGCTGGTGTCACTTTAAGACCTGATGCACGGATCCATTATACTGTTACACATGCGTTTTCTTTCTCAACATCTTACGTTCACTTAAAACATAACTGACTGTGTTTACGTGAATACTCGCCAAGCCCGGCATTTTGACATTGTTTTGTGTGTATTTGACTGTTTAAGTGCAATAAGCAGCGAAAAATAACTTAATTTAGTGCTGAGAGGCGGCTTTATGTGCTGCACTTTGGGTGTGAGCACAAAATCTGCAGGAATGAGTAAAATTATGCACAATACGCACACTCTTCAAAATTCAAGCCCTGTAACAGTGAGTAAGAGTGAGTGAGGAGAGGCGGGTTTGTGTGTCACTCGCTGTCGGAGAGATGAGAGAGAGAAAGCGCAGCTGGTATCGTGTATCTATTCTGCGGAAAATGAGTATTGTAAGAGTTTCAGATATTTCAGCATCGATATGGATATTTTTGACAACACTACATTGCAGTTAGTTTATTTTTTCAGATGCCTTTTTAAGACTACAATTAAAAATGCATATATTATATATAAAATTCAACCCACCAAAGTGTCTAGTAGTGACTGCGCTACACAGCACTGCTGAAATACACCCGCATTTGGCGGGTTGGTGGGTGTTAACGTCAAGCCCTGCTGACTATAAACATTTGAATGGTGGTGTAGCTTTTCCTTTTCATTACATCAGGTAAGCACAAAAATAGTCTCAAAAAAGACAATGGAAAAAAGCATCACGTGTGAAAGAGAAAAGCGGCTGAGAGAGCACAAGGGAACATTAAAAAAAGACAAAGATTGAGAACACAGAGCTGGATCGAGGGAGAGCGAAACACGGAGGAAAGTAGGCCACGAAATAAAAGGGAATTTAAGAAATTGACCAGAATTGACAGAAGAATTACGCCTGGAACGATAAACCATTCCAGTGATTTACGAGCATGAGAAAGCACCAGCTTCCAATTAAAAGAAGTTCCACTGGAATAACAGCAGCTCTCAGGTTGCTCAACGCATACCGAATTATGTAAGAGAAGAAGAGAAAGACAGAGCGAGAGAAAAAGAGCAAGAGAGGCTGAGAAAAGAAAAAGGAGGATGTAGAGAAAAGGATATGAAACATGTGATGAAAAGAAAAACAGGAAAAACAACGAGAGACAGGGCTGTTTCACAAGAACGAGTGTCAGCATATTCAGGTTTTGTGTTTGCGATTGCGACGACATGGAGATAAAATCTCCCAGGCAGGAGTCAGACAAACAGCAGAACAAAAGGTAGAGGAAGAAGCATGCCAAAGAAAGACACACGAGTATATAATTATGATACAAATGACAGAACGAAAGAAGCAGCTTTCAAACAATGACCTACCACAACGCAAGAAAAAACAAGTGCCACAATGAAACTAAATTAAACTCCACCACGGATATCACAACAAACAAAAAGAAAAGAAACTAAACAATTTTTTTTCATTTACAACATACCTTAAACCGTCTGGCCAGGAACTTGTTTTTCATCTCTAAGAAGTTTCCCTTGTTGGCTTGAGTTTTGAAAGGTTCGTTGACGATGGCGAACTGAGGGTCGTTCTGAATGTCCTGCCACCGGGCGTAGCCATGGCTGCAACGGGTCAAGGATCAGACTACTACAACCTCAGGGTTTCTACACATTTTCCTTTTCCATATTTTTCCAGACTCAAGCTCTCTGTAGATGTCTATAGACTATATGCAACATAAATGGTTCATACAGCATTTTTTTTGCATTATATTTGGTATATAATACAGTCATCTATAAATATTTTTATTTTCTGTTCTTTTCATTGGTTTTCTCAAAGTAATAACATGCGCTTAAATGATATAAGAAACCTTAAATGTTTTAAAACCTGCGTATATTAAAACGTCGGTTTTGATTCTGTACACCCTGTTTACTCCTGGTGTTAAGATGCGTTTTGGTCGATCGGATCACAAGTGGACGAGGGAGACACATTCCCATTTACACGTTTACACCTGGTGTTTTAATCCGTCTCTTTTGTCCACTTTCAAACACTTCTGTCCTGATTTCTTCGAGAGGAGGGTCTATAGGCGGGTAAATGTATGGGCTTTTTCAGATCTTTCAATCAAATGGACAAAATAAGCTCACGCAATTTATAAATATACAAATACTTGGTACTTTAAAACGAATTTGGGTCTCCAGCCGACAAAGTGCAAATCCCGTCTGGCCAGCGCTTCCCATAATGTTTACGCATTAGGTCAGTAGACGGAGAGAAGACGGTCTTTTGTGGCTGTTTGAACGCATTCGATCACATGAGCGTTTACACTACGAAAGCAATCCGGTCGAATGCGTTTTCGACTCCCTCTGGAAGTGGTCGAAAGTGGACAAGCTTAAAATGTTTTAGACCCTGTTTACACCTGTATTTAGTGTCGTCCACCCTTTATACGATGGACCAAAACTCATCTTAATACCACATTCGTTTAAAAGAGACAAACAAGTAAAGTTTATAGTAAAGACAAACATGAAATTGTACGCCTTGAATTCATTCAGACAACCACTAAACAATCCCTAAACCTTTGTCATGAAAACACTGCTTGTATGCTACATTTATTTTTAAGAAATTCTTAATTTTATATTTTAGAAAACTGAACCTGGAAATTACTCAAATCAAATTCCATACGGCGTAGGTACCCTGTGAACATGAGGTGTTCAAGTGTAAAGATCTTTATTTTCAATGAAAAAAAACAACAAATTAGCTGTCTGTGGTGTTCGCTAAAGCAATATAAATGTATTTGCAGGAACTCAATTTCTTCCATCTCATTTTATTGCCTTGTTCTTCTTGGCTTTGAGCTCTAAACAAACTGTTCATTTAGCAAGCGCAGTATAAATATACATTAAAGGAACTGGATTGTTTCTACGGTGACAGCAGCCTATCTCCAAGGATACCACACGATGCCTGCCAGCAGCCAGAAGTCGTGTCGCCGGTGCCAGATCTCATTGATCTTGCCTGATGAAATGGCCGCCCGCTCCTCGTTCTGCCAAAGAGTGTGAAGCTCTGTGCAAAAGAGAAAAACACAACACGGCCAGAGATCAGTTACCATCCATTTATACCTGCTGACGAGTAAACAAACAAAAGGCAACAATCCTCCAACAACATAGCTAGCATGCTGCGTATGAGTCGTGTTGATCTAGCTATAAACGAAATGATTTGTCCAGAGTGCAGGCTGTATGCTTAGTGTTTGCTTGAAATGTTTTATCGATGCTGGTGAAATGTTTATAGCTACAGTAAGTATAAACCCCTTGATGTTTAGTTGTTCTCTTCTAAAGTTGTAAATTAAACTATGCAAAGTGATTGGCTTCTGGGAACTGAAACTATTTATAGCGACGGCGGCTGGGAAAAATCAAAGAAATAATAATAGACCAGAGAAAGACCACTAGCTTAGCTTGCTAACCGAGGGTTGTTGTTGAGATGACAGGTGTTGGATTTGAGTATCCATCTGGTATTTGATCATGAACAGGGCGGAATAAAAAAAAAAAGTCATAAAAAACTTATGGCTGATGCTGATTTTTATGGCATTTTATGAATCTCTGGGAGTTTGAAATGGTAAAAAACAAACCCAAATTCAAGTTTTTCAAGTGACCCTCCCCCTGATGATCTTAGTCAGGTGATGAATCACATTAGACAGTTCAGTGTGTTAGTCATTACACTCCTCTTTAAAAAAAGATCTCAGATTTGAATGGGAAATGGCGCACCTACTCCTGAACTTTCCCTTTATATTCCCAATAGTCCTATTATAGTATCCACCCTCACCACACACACCAATTATTCATAGTATTAGTCTCGCAGAGAAATACTGATGCATGCACTTATACAGTATCTGCACACAAAATATAAACACACGAGTGTACATTTACATACTGATTGACCATGAATATAAGCAGAATGCATGAAATCATAGGTTTTCGCATTTCAACACAAGTCATTTTAGGAAATAATCAATGGTGAACGATGGAAAATAATCTAAGGGAAGTCTTTGTAAACCACTGACAGATGAAATCACTGCTTGCCGTTCCTGCTGAAACCGCTCAGCGGAAGCTCAGAGGAGCTGAACTGCTCCTTCACAATGTAACCACACTGTCATGTTACTCAACAACACACCGTTCCATTGCGCTTTATCATAACACTGCAAGCTTCACTTTACATGAGTGAGCAGCTTTACATAATGTCACTGTGCTTGTCAACACTTGGCAAAAAATTAACTAGCGTGATGTACGAAGGATAAACATGGATAAAGGTCAAGATGTAGGAGTCAGAATAGAGCTATTGAACCAGCCATATGTATATCATATAAAAATGAATATCAAAAATGCATCCGTAAGCTGCAGGGTGTCATTACTGTGCTATTAGCGACACCAAACAAAAATGAAAAAAAAATGTTGTTCCTAAACACGGTCCTGTTGGCCCCTACTGGAAGATGCCATAATTACACCATCAGAAGGAAAACAGCATCTTCCTCCATTGACAGCCTTTCAAAATTAGCTGTGTAATCTGACTTTATTATATAATAGATGTTGTTGGAAGGCTCTTAAAAGCATGAAATGTTTATTTTGCCATTGACATCACAGCTCATAATAGAGTGGTCTTGCCTATACAGTAAAAAAAACAGTATATACAGGTCCTTCTCACAAAATTAGCATATTGTGATAAAGTTCATTATTTTCCCTAATGTAATGATAAAAATTTAACTTTCATATATTTTAGATTCATTGCACACCAACTGAAATATGTCAGGTCTTTTATTGTTTTAATACTGATGATTTTGGCATACAGCTCATGAAAACCCAAAATTCCTGTCTAAAAAAATTAGCATATTTCATCCGACCAATAAAAGAAGTGTTTTTAATACAAAAAAAAGTCAACCTTCAAATAATTATGTTCAGTTATGCACTCAATAGTCAATACTTGGTCGGGAATCCTTTTGCAGAAATGACTGCTTCAATGCGGCGTGGCATGGAGGCAATCAGCCTGTGGCACTGCTGAGGTGTTATGGAGGCCCAGGATGCTTCGATAGCGGCCTTAAGCTCATCCAGAGTGTTGGGTCTTGCGTCTCTCAACTTTCTCTTCACAATATCCCACAGATTCTCTATGGGGTTCAGGTCAGGAGAGTTGGCAGGCCAATTGAGCACAGTAATACCATGGTCAGTAAACCATTTACCAGTGGTTTTGGCACAGTGAGCAGGTGCCAGGTCGTGCTGAAAAATGAAATCTTCATCTCCATAAAGCTTTTCAGCAGATGGAAGCATGAAGTGCTCCAAAATCTCCTGATAGCTAGCTGCATTGACCCTGCCCTTGATAAAACACAGTGGACCAACACCAACAGCTGACATGGCACCCCAGACCATCACTGACTGTGGGTACTTGACACTGGACTTTCGGACAATTTGGCATTTCCTTCTCCCCAGTCTTCCTCCAGACTCTGGCACCTTGATTTCCGAATGACATGCAAAACTGAGCAACAGTCCAGTGCTGCTTCTCTGTAGCCCAGGTCAGGCGCTTCTGCCGCTGTTTCTGGTTCAAAAGTGGCTTGACCTGGGGAATGCGGCAGCTGTAGCCCATTTCCTGCACACGCCTGTGCACGGTGGCTCTGGATGTTTCTACTCCAGACTCAGTCCACTGCTTCCGCAGGTCCACCAAGGTCTGGAATCGGTCCTTCTCCACAATCTTCCTCAGGGTCCGGTCACCTCTTCTCGTTGTGCAGCGTTTTTTGCCACACTTTTTCCTTCCCACAGACTTCCCACTGAGGTGCCTTGATACAGCACTCTGGGAACAGCCTATTTGTTCAGAAATTTCTTTCTGTCTTACCCTTTTGCTTGAGGGTGTCAATGATGGCCTTCTGGACAGCAGTCAGGTCGGCAGTCTTACCCATGATTGCGGTTTTGAGTAATGAAGCAGGCTGGGAGTTTTTAAAAGCCTCAGGAATCTTTTGCAGGTGTTTAGAGTTAATTAGTTGATTCAGATGATTAGGTTAATAGCTCGTTTAGAGACCCTTTTCATGATATGCTAATTTTTTGAGACAGGAATTTTGGGTTTTCATGAGCTGTATGCCAAAATCATCAGTATTAAAACAATAAAAGACCTGAAATATTTCAGTTGGTGTGCAATGAATCTAAAATATATGAAAGTTTAATTTTTATCATTACATTATGGAAAATAATTAACTTTATCACAATATGCTAATTTTTTGAGAAGGACCTGTATATATATATAGCTAACATAGATGATAAATTATATTGATATTATATTAATGTATTTTGCTAAGCTTACTTATATAAACAACATCCAAAAAATACATTAGCAAATATATTTTCAATGTATATATTTATATTGTCCCAAAAAATTGGAAATCGTAAATATCGTCTTGCCACTTCAAGTACATTTTATAATATATTTTGGCATTTGAATATTTAAAGGAAATTTATTTGAAATTTAAAAAAAATATGCTTTCTGTTTACAACATATTAAAGTGAAAGGTATACTATGTAATTTTTTTGTTCAAAATGAACAAAATAATGAGCCAATACATCATCACTCCTTGTTCGAAACGTGTTTATGTCTTACCCTGATTCACTATGGTAAGCCTATGATAAGTGTTTATATTTTAGACCTGTCAGGATGGTTTTCAGGGGGAATTGTGTACATGCGTCACTCGCCCGTGCGAGTCTCGGCATATCCGTAAATAGAGAAAACTTGCTCTGGCTACTTTGACGTGTGTCTGGTGTGGGAGTGGCAGAGGTTAGTTGCACAACGAGTGAGAAAGGTTGACCTTGAGCAGTTAAATCTCAAACCTCCGGGAATCACCAGTTTAAAGCAAACGCCGAACAGAGGAGAGTCTGCTGGCAAAAAGAGAACAAGACAGAGCTCGTAATAAAACAAGAATCAACAATGACTTGGTTTTTCGGAGATGGAAAGAACTGAAGGATTTGAAATGTTGAAAAGGGTCGTTTCATTATGGATGTTGTAGCGCTGTGCTGGAATTTATTTTCAAGGCGGTGTCTATTAATAGGTAAACCTCCTGTAACGTCTTCAGATAGTCAGCTTGAGATCCTATCCATCTAAACTGGTTACTGTATATATCTTAATAAGCCTAGCACTTAATGCTTTATGCACAGCAGGATAATATCTCTCTCTCTTTTTTTAGTTATTGAGTTAAAGAACCATATTCATCCACACAGTCACACAGAGCCAAAGCAAAACCAAAACAATGTTCATCTGCAAAATGCATGCAGTTTTTTTTTTTTTTTTTGGTCCTGCTAGAGGGCCAAAAGTTACTTAATGTACCTTTAACATATAGGGCCCTATTTTAACGATCTGAAATGCAAGTGTCAAAGCGTAAAGCGCAAGTAACTTTGTGGGCGGATCCCGGCGCTGTTGCTATTTTCCCGGCGGGATAAATGCCTCTTGCGCCTGGCGCAAATCTAAAAGGGGTTGGTCTGAAGTAGCTTCATTATTCATAGGTGTGGTTTGGGCGTAACGTGAAATAAACCAATCAGAGCGTCCTCTCACATTCCCTTTAAGAGCAGGCGCGCTTGTTCTAAAGCGGATTCCTATTATAACGGCGGATTTGCCAGGCGCGCGCCAGGAGCGGTTCACAGCCGAGGAGAGCAACGTTCTCGTCAGGGCCGTAAAACACAGAGAAGTGACATTGGGGATGGAGAAACCCACCCAAATTAACTTCTGTTAAACAGGCGTATGATAATTTGGGTAAATGTGTAAGCTACATGCTTTTATAATAAATTGTCTATCTATCTATCTATCTATCTATCTATCTATCTATCTATCTATCTATCTATCTATCTATCTATCTATCTATCTATCTATCTATCTATCTATCTATCTATCTATCTATCTATCTATCTATCTATCTATCTATCTATCTATCGTAATAATGTATGATTTGCAAAAATGAAAACTGCTGCTTAGATGAGAGAATCAACGTGTATGCGCGTTGTGCACACGCTACATTGATTATGGTCAAGCATGCACCCTTAAAATAGCATAATGAACAACGCGCAACGCGCCACTGACTTTAGACTAGTTTTTTTCTGGTCAGTGGCGCAATTGTTTTATAGAACAGCAAAATAGCATGAGGGAAAGTTTGCGCCGGAACACGCCTCCTCTTTGCGCTGAACCGCCCCGGGGAGCGCAAGTGTATTTCTTAGTTAACCGACGTGCGTCTGTGGAGGGAAAAACCCGCTTTGCGCGGGTGCAAAATAGGAATGATACATGCGTCAGCGTACAAAGTCATTTGCGCCGAGTGCAAGATAGGGCCCATAATCTACATACATTTATATATATATATATATATATTTTTGTTCCTGAATGGCGTGGCTGTGCAAGTACTTGTCGTATCAGCATTGTCTTAACATGATTATTTACTCACATTATTTAATAGCTCAGGTAATTGACACTAAAGTTTAAAAACATTAAGTACACATTGAGATGGCAGATAAAAAGTATTTCAACACAGACGAAATGCCACACAGCCGCTTTAAACAAGCCAATGGTTGAGTTTACCTGTGAATCCTCCATCTGCGATGTTGAACATAAACCGTGGGCGCTCTGTGGGTTTGCCGTTACCTTTGGGCACTTCCTCCCTCTGACCTCTGCCCTCCTTCCCAGCATCCCTTTCACCCTTCACCTCCTCTGTGTCCCGATGGAAAAAAAGGAAAAAACAGGTTTACATCATGTTTAATTCAGTAATTGGATGAACTTCCTCAGTTTTTGTGACAGACTGTACAAACGCCTTTGATCCGGTAGTTTTTATTCTTCTCTATGCCACTATGAAACATTAGCCTGGGTTTCCCCATACTGCCTTTGCGCAGCGCGATTTTATTCACGATGCTAGGTAGTAGGGGTGGAACGGTACACAGAAGTCACGGTTCGGTTCATACCTCGGTTCAGACATCACGGTTCGGTACGATTTCGGTACAATGGAGGGAAAAGCAAAACAAAAATGCAGAAGGCATTGTATTTTTTAAATAAGTTTTATTAATAAAGGCATAGAACCAGTTTATTTGTAGTGCACTGACAATAGTTTTATACAATTAGTTTATTAATTAAATTAATAAAAATACAAAAAGACCTTGCGATATGTTTGGTAATTGCACCTGAATTAATTTAAAATTATTTTGCTATATTTCAGATCAATATATTTGTTTTCCTTAATTTTAATTAACATTATTAATTAACAATGTAACATTATTCTCATCTGAATTATAAAGAATTGATTTCTGTATAAAATAATACTACCATTAAAAACACATTTGATTTTCTTTTTTAATCAATGTAGAGTGTGTAAGATTAGTGCTTCGAGGACAAGAAATGAAAACCAATGCAATATGATGAATGTCCAAAAGATGATGGGACCCGACTGTTTTGAAATGTAGTTGGATAAATATGTTTTGCTTTTAAAACAGTGTGTGTGTGTGTGTGTGTTTTGGTTGGGTGACAGTTGTAGGTTACAGTTTGACAAGAGTTTATAGTGTGACAAAAGCACAATGTTGTGTTTTTATTGCGAGTGTACACAAATATAAGAAAACACTTTGCATGTTTAATGATCTGTATGAACAAAATGACGGAGTATGTTTTTTATGTTTCCACTGTTCGATCGCGCCCGCGCCTCTCTCTCTCTCTCACACACACACACACACACACACACACACACACAGTTCGATCGCGGCCGCGCCTCTGCGCACACACACACACACACTCCAGCATTGCAATCTTGACATTGCAGCCTGTTCATTATGCGGTCACACCAAACGCGAATAGAGTGTCAAATTCGCGTCTAGTTCGACGCTAGTCCAAAGCGAATAGTTCAGAGCTAAGCCGATGGTACAGATTATGTGTCCCTAAAGAACCCGCGTATCTAACAGTAGTTCCGCATTACATTAATTAATTTGCACGCGAGTTTTATTTATTTTTTATACCGTGTATTCTCCGTGTAAATTCGTGCACCGAACCGTGACGCCCGTACCGTTTCGGTTCAATACGAATACATGTACCGTTCCACCCTTACTAGGTAGACTGGATACCATGGACCAAATTTTCGCCTCAGTGAGGGGACCAATCACAGAACGGGGAGGGGGCAGCAAGATAATGACGACGTCTATGCGACACACCGAAGCAGTTTGTTTATACCTAGTGATCAAACATGGCAGCAGACGCGAAGTTACCTTTCGATGCAGCCTTAGATATTGTTCTAAGTAGTTTAGAACGCAAATAAATCTCTTCTTCCTCGTCTAATTTCTTTCGCTCTACATACGTCATCTGGTATAATTGAAACGATTGGCTATGAGCTACGTACAGGCGCATTTGATAGACATTTGTAGCACCCAATCAACGGCTCTGGGCATTCTGGACATACAAAATGCTAAGAAAGAAAGAGTAGCATTGTAACATTCACCTTTTTTGACATCAGAAGATTGATCCAACTTCTCTTTCTTTTCTGTTGTTTCTGTAGGAGGAGTCGTCACTTCACTCTTCTCTTTCTCTTCTCCAGTCTTCTCTCTTTTCTCTCCCTTGTCCCCTTTCAGAGCCTCTGTAATGACAGACAACAATCAGCCCTCAACTCACAATAAACTGACCGGCTGGCGTTACAGCCAATCCGATTTCACCAGTTTCTGCCACAGGTACCTCTGCTCTCATCTTTAACGGACGGGGAATCAGACGTTTTCTCTGGGGAGGCGTCTTTTTCAGTGCTCTCCTCGTCTTGTTTTTCTCTCTCACTCTTTTCATTCGGAGAAGACTGAGAAATATCAGGATTTTCTTTCGTTTTTGAGTCATCGGAGGCTCTGGTTGGACTTTCAGATGTCTGAGCTTTTTCACTGGTTGCTGGATCTTTCTCACTCTCTTCCACAGTGGCGGAAGTCTGGAAGAAGAGAAAGAAACACTCTCTTAATTTGACTTTCGCATGTCTTTACATGAAGTTACAGTCTACAAACAAACACTCGCAGCGGTACTTCCAGCTTCTTAAGGCACCCCGGAAAAGCCATTTGCAGACATTCAAAAGCTGCATCCTGACAAAATCATTTTGCACCAAGCAACAAATAAATCATAAATATTTCATTATATTAAAACAGATGTTTATTTCATTACATTATAGCAGATGTTCGGGTAAGGACAGTCACTAATGCAGGATTTGGGACTGTTTGCTTCCTGCTTCTTCAGTGATCCATCCTGGAACAGAGCTGTTTTACATTAGATTTGTTTAAATTGAGCTGAAAATAACCAAAAGTGCTTTGCGTGTGGTTAAAACATCCCCTTTGCAAAAGATTGTTAGAGATCTGGGATCTGTGGATCTGTCATCATTTATTCGCCCTTATGTTGTTCCAAATCTGTATGACTTTTTCTTCTGCAGAACATAAAAGAAGATATTTTGAAGAATGTTGGTAGCCAAACAATTTTGGTGCCCACTGACAAAAAAAAAAAACAATGACACATTTCTCAAAACATCTTCTACACTCACCGGCCACTTTATTAGGTACCCCATGCTAGTAACGGGTTGGACCCCCTTTTGCCTTCAGAACTGCCTCAATTCTTCGTGGCATAGATTCAACAAAGTGCTGGAAGCATTCCTCAGGGAGTTTGGTCCATATTGACATGATGGCATCACACAGTTGCCGCAGATTTGTCGGCTGCACATCCATGATGCGAATCTCCCGTTCCACCACATCCCAAAGATGCTCTATTGGGTTGAGATCTGGTGACTGTGGAGGCCATTTTAGTACAGTGAACTCATTGTCATGTTCAAGAAACCAATTTGAAATGATTAGAGCTTTGTGACATGGTGGAAGTAGCCATCAGAGGATGGGTACATGGTGGCCATAAAGGGATGGACATGGTCAGAAACAATGCTCAGGTAGGCCGTGGCATTTAAACGATGCCCAATTGGCACTAAGGGGCCTAAAGTGTGCCAGGAAAACATCCCCCACACCATTACACCACCACCACCAGCCTGCACAGTGGTAACAAGGCATGATGGTTCCATGTTCTCATTCTGTTTACGCCAAATTCTGACTCTAACATCTGAATGTCTCAACAGAAATCGAGACTCATCAGACCAGGCAACATTTTTCCAGTCTTCAACTGTTCAATTTTGGTGAGCTCTTGCAAATTGTAGCCTCTTTTTCCTATTTGTAGTGGAGATGAGTGGTACCCGGTGGAGTCTTCTGCTGTTGTAGCCCATCCGCCTCAAGGTTGTGCGTGTTGTGGCTTCACAAATGCTTTGCTGCATACCTCGGTTGTAACGAGTGGTTATTTCAGTCACTGTTGCCCTTATATCAGCTCGAACCAGTCTGGCCATTCTCCTCTGACCTCTGGCATCAACAAGGCATTTCCGCCCACAGAACTGCCGCTCACTGGATGTTTTTTCTTTTTCGGACCATTCTCTGTAAACCCTAGAGATGGTTGTGCGTGAAAATCCCAGTAGATTAGCAGTTTCTGAAATACTCAGACCAGCCCTTCTGGCACCAACAATCATGCCACGTTCAAAGTCACTCAAATCAACTTTCTTCCCCATACTGATGCTCGGTTTGAACTGCAGGAGATTGTCTTGACCATGTCTACATGCCTAAATGCACTGAGTTGCCGCCATGTGATTGGCTGCTTAGAAATTAAGTGTTAACGAGCAGTTGGACAGGTGTACCTAATAAAGTGGCCGGTGAGTGTATGTTCCACATGAGAGTGAGTAAATGAAGACAGAAGGCAAAATCATATTTGGGTGAACTATGCCTTGTTAATTTTTTACTTGAATAAACTACCATTAAAAACTATGGAGACGGTAAGATTTTGTTTGAATTAAATAATTATTTTTATTCAGCAAGGATGCATTAAGCTGATCAAAAGATTGAGAAAAGAAAACCTTTACAATGTTACCAAATGAAAACTGTATTAAAAAAATATTAGGCAGCACAGCTGTTTTCAAAATTAATAATAGTACATATTTCTTGAGCAGCAAATCAGCATATAAGAATGATTTCTGAAGGATCATGTGACAAATTCAGCTCTGGTGAACATGAGACTTCTTTCAAACACATAAAATGATCTTAACGACCCCAAACTTTTGAACAGTAGTGTATGCCACGCTCTAAATCATAGGTTTCACGTTATGGTAACTTTAAAATTAAAAAACATTATTACATTATATAATTCTTAACAGATCATTAAAGCCACCACTAAAAGCAGCTTGTCTGAAAAACCAAAGCAAACATGCACGCATGCTCTCTCACACACTTTCTGAAACACTAGATTTATACCGACAGGTTTTGTGCAATAAAATAATCCCTGCCACACCCCGACACACACGTTTGTTTATCATGCTGGAGATTTTATATTCTTCTATTGTTTTTATTCTGACATTTAATAACCCCCAAACGTAAACCTAACCATCAAACAAACATTTATGCATTTTCAGTAAGTCATTATTTAGTGTAAGGCTGAAAAAACTTGTTGAAGAGAAAATATCTGACCAGTGGTTGATGAAACAAAAGGATCTTGTTGGAAATTAACATTTGACTCCCTCCCCCTCTTCCTTTGAGCCCCCTCATCTACATTTTCTCTCTCTCTCTCTATCTCTCTCTCTCTCTCTCTCTCTCTCTCAGTAACACTTAAAACTCACACAAGATTATATATGGTTTTAATGTGAATGATTATCGTTAAGGATTGTGTTTAGTATCATTTTAAAGGTCTCAGGGTGGCTGGTACAGATGTCTCATTTCCAAATTGGTAAAACAAAAGCTAATAAGGTTTTTTAGAAGTTTAGAGATGACACACAAAGGAAGGTGGACTCTAGGCAAATGGCCTTTCTCCCTACCCCCAAAATAAGGTGTAACCTGAATGCAAATTACCATTGTAAAGAAGTTCTGGCTATTTAATGGAATGCAGCAAGGAATCGGGGCTCTTTCTGTATCTCAGATCAGCCCGTGAGGTTAGCTCATGTAGTTCTTAAATGTTGGGTTTGCATCTATTTCTCTTATCCTAAAGCATTTGATGTTCTGTATTGATAATCTTTGAACTGATTATGAAATTGGCATAATACTTTTACCTGACATAATAAATTGTTATATTTGATTATTCTAACAGACTTTGACTTCATTTCCATTGGAGTTAAAAGGAATAGTCAAACATTAACGTATATTTAATGATGCACAGATATCATTGAAAAACTTTTTCATTTTATGGAGTCAGATGAAACGAGTTAATACATAAGATAAAATGTATTGCATTTAATTGAAAATCCCTTTGCCATGGGAAGAGACGGAACACGCGTGAGACCTTCACCGCTAATTTGAATGCCACCATTGGATCAAATTAGACTGCCTTACATTAGTATGGTCTCCACAATGTAGGTGATTTCAGGTTTTGCATTTACTCCTCAAAATGTAGCCCACACACACGCACACACATAAACAGAAACGCGCACACGCACACACACACACACAAAAGATGGGTTACCATGTTTTATGGGGACTTCCACAGACATAATGATTTTTATACTGTACAAACTGTATATTCAACCCCTAAACCTACCCATCACAGAAAACTTTCTGCATTTTTACATTTTCCAAAAAAATCACTTAGTATGATTTAAAAGCTGTTTTTTTTGTAATGTAGACCAAAAAAGGTCCCCACAAGGACAAGGATTTCAGATATTGCCATCTTTGTAGGGTTATTATTGCATAATGTAGGGTTTTCTTGAACCACACACACACACACACACACACACACACACACACACACACACACACACACACACACACACACACACACACACACACACACACACACACACACACACACACACACACACACACACACACACACACACACACACACACACACACACACACACACACACGCACACACACACACACACACACACACACACACTTACCTCTCCATGTTCTGTGCCTTCCACACTCTCCCCCTCCTTTCCTTCTTTTACTTTTTCCTTCTCTCTCTCTCTCTCTGGTTCTGTCTGGGACTCGCACTCATCTTTCTCCACCTCTTTCGCGCTCTTTTCTGTCTTGTCGAGTGGAGAGGGAGTGGCTGTGGGAACAGGTCACGGCAGGTAAAGTCTCTGTGTGTGTGAGATTCTCTCTTTGGGCTGCGTGTGAGGGTTTCAGGTGGGTTTGTACCTGGTTTGGAGGTGCACGGTGTGTTATTACAGCTCAGCTCAGGTGTGGGAGTGTCTGTCTTAATGGCAGGAGAAGAGGCTCTTGAAGATTTCTTGGAGTCCACAGTAATCTCTGGCTTTAGTTCAGGCATGCTCCATTTACCGTTGATGTGCTCAAACTCTTGCACCTACACACAAAAATAGAAACCTGCCCTTTTACCTCAGTTCACCAAGAGCAAAAACTCAAGAGCATGCATCAATCAATCATTCATTCAGTCTGTCTGTGTGTCTATCTATCTAGGAAATAGGAACTAAAGCTTACATTTTTATTTGATGCTTTTAATTCATTGTTGTGAGTTAGAAAAGGTTATTAAAAGCTAATTCTAGGAATGTGCAAAACTACAACTAGTAGACTAATTAGTCTCAACTAGAAGACCTGTACATTTAATTAGGCTGGCTTAGCTATACATTTCATATGGACCGTTTAAATAAGACAGTTTTGCTTCCAAAAACATAAGAAAATATGAAAACGTATGATTTTAGGGAAGCACTTAAAAAACAGCACGAGACATGACGCAGTGAGACATGATCAGTGATGTCTGTCTGAAAGTGAACGGCTGTAGCAGCGAGGATTCAAGCTCATCCAAGAGGGTTTTATCAAGCACCATTAAAATATCAGTATCAAGACAATATATTACCGGTCAAAAGTTTGGGGTCGTTAAGATATTTTTATGTTTTTGACATAAGTCTCTTATGCTCACCAAGGCTGCTTTTATCTAATCAAAATACAGTCAGAACAGTAATACTATGAAATATTATTACAATCTTACGAATATATTTTAAAATGTAATCTATTCCTGTAATGGAAAAGCTGTATTTTCAGCAGCCATTAGTGCAGTCTATCAATGATGAAAACAGATGTGCTGCTTAATATTTTTGTGGAAACCTTGATCATTTTTTAAATAAAAAGTTTCAAAATGTAGCTTTTATTTGTATATGTTTATTTTTGCATTTATTTTTTGTAACAATGTAAAACTCTTTACTGTCACTTGTTTTGATCAACTTAATGCACTTTTGCTGAATAAAAACATGCAATGCAAGGATAATATGATTAGATAGATTAGCTTACTCGTTAAAAAAACTTAAAGAACTTAAAAAAATTATTTAGGTCTATTATGACTTATATAATAACAATCTTTAATAGGTCCGAACACTGCAATAATCTGTCATCAATGAAAATTAAGAGTAGCTTTATTTCAAACACCAACCTTCAAAAACAACATGGTTTAACACGAAATACTTCTCTTCTCATTTTTTCACTATGTATGGGTCACAAGAGAAATATTAAGAAGATAAATTAAGACAGTTATATTGTTATCAGCATATGAGACCCGTGCTGGCAAAATGAGTCGGGATCCGCAACGGCTAATTTCGAGCTACAGGCAAAACAAGTGAAATTTGAGTTTTTCACAAAAATGAGTTTATTAAGCCCTCATCTAGCAATCCCAATGCTCAAAATAGCAATTAAACTTCATTTTCGGAGAGGTTTACCTTAGTTTCTACATATTTCCTTTGTTTTAAAATCCATGAAAAATTGCTGTGGGGGGGTTTCTGCTCGCTTTTAATGACGACTGGTGCTTAAGACAGGTGTAGCTCAATCATTTTTTGTCAGATTCCAACAAATCCATAGGTGTCATTTACACTGGGGACGCTGGGGACATGTCCCCACCACTTTTTGAAATGGCTGATTTTGTCCCCACCACTTTTTGAAAGCATTTGATTAAAATGTTCTGAAAAATCAAGCGAACCAAGAAATGTTAAAGGGGTGGTTGATTATGATTTCACTTTTCTAACTTTAGTTAGTGTGTAATGTTGCTGTTTGAGCATAAACAACATCTGCAAAGTTACAACGCTCAAAGTTCAAAGCAAAGGGAGATATTTGCTTTTACAGAAATCGCTTTTTAAGGACTACAACAAACGGCTGGTAGAACTACACGAGCTTCCTCCCGGGTTAGTGACATCACACACACCCTAAGATTTACATAAACCCCGCCCCCGGAACACGATTTATAGATTATCAAGACAGAATATGCTAATCAATGACTAGAAGATAACTACACATCAGCTACATAAACTCATCAACTAAACATTCAGAAATGTCCTGTTGCTTCTACATGTTGTCACTTCTTCTTGAGTCTCTCCATTATTGTCTGACTCCGGTTTGAACATAAACATTGATATTTTCAGTGCATGTCTGTGAGGTAAAAGGACACAAGCTGTTGAAGCTCCGCCCCCTGTGCCGGGAGCAGCAGCTCATTTGCATTTAAAGGGACAGACACAAAAACGGAGCGTTTTTGCTCACCCTCAAAAAGTGACAATTTTAAAATGCTATATAAAAATATCTGTGGCGTATTTTGAGCTAAAACTTCACATACACACTCTGGGGACATCGGAGACTTATTTTAATCATTATGAAAAGGGCATTATACCACCCCTTTAAAGGTTTATTTGCACAAAATAAAACATGCAATGCAGTTTAAATACAGAAAGAAACAATGCACATTGTCCAAAAAAATAAACTATTACTGATTCTAAAATTACCCAAAAACATGCATGCATGTTGGTTTCATCATCAGAAGTTTCGCAGTCAGACATGTTGTCAGCGAGTCGCGCTATCAACAGCTGATCGGAACGTGCGCACTGTTGACGTTGACAGCAGCGCGGATTGAAAGAAATGGATAGAAAATAGTGCCGATTAAAACTGAGGTATGAATTTTGACCGGCGTGTTTTTTGTGTGGTAAATTAATCAAGCTTTGAAACGCAAATCATTTTTTCACGTAAAAACGCACAGTTTTGTGGCCCCGGAAAATAACCGGGAGTACTTTATTGAAAAACTTCCAGCGGCCAGAACTCTGATTAGGGAGGTGACAACAGAGTGGGTCAGTGTGTATGCACTATAGTGCTGGTAAGGATTGCATACAACTTCATGTCTTAAATGGGCGAACTAACCCTTTAATGTCGAGCCCTGTACAGTATGGTGCTTCGCTTGAGCTGGTGTTGCAGGGACTGTTACATGTGCAGTCGACATTGTTGAGGGTTTTATGCAGAGTATTTTCGTGTTGTTGACTGGCTTATGCAATGCCCATTTTTGATGCGCCATTATTCAATATTTTTCCCGTCCTGCTGTAATGTTTTTTTCATCTGATCTTTTGTCCCCACCACTTTTCAACACAAACTGACGCCCCTGAACAAATCATACATCGTTGTGAAGGTTTTTTAATGGAGAAATTGAGAAATGTACGGTATATAAAAAAGGGTCACATATGTTGAAATAGATTCATCTTTTGTCGTCTCTGAGCGAATATGCACCGTTAATGCAGCGTCAGATGCCGAAAGCTCAGTCAGTTTTTACTTTTCCCTCATGGTTCAAAATAGGGGCGTAACAATACATTGAAATGGTCCGAGGCATCGATCTAACGTCTAATGTAACGATACGATGCATCGATTCCTCATGTAAAATATCGATATGAGGTAACGTTAGGCTACCTTTATATTGACAATTTTCACATCCTCACGTAACGTTCGTTAACGCATTTCCACCAAAGCGAGCATTTTCGTTTACTCACCATAGCAGTCTGTCTGCCGGTGTGTCTTTATAACGTTAATCTCCTCATCTGAAATAGACGCCTGACATGATTGACTGAACCCTAAACACGTTTTGTCACAAAAGCCGGTATTGTGAACTGTCACGGCATTGCGAGTTCATGTTTTACAGCAGAAACCGACAGGCATCCTTTGTTGCAGAGCTATAGAGATACAGAGTAAAAAACATACTCTCTCAATTAACTTTAATTTTGTAAGTTACCTGTATTTATTGAGTTATTATTACTTAATCAAAACAACCCAGCTGCAGTTTGATTGATATTACTTGGAATGAACAATAAAAAAATAAAAAACATGACTTATGAAAATGAACAAGAACATAGTTATCTGTTTTTGCAAATGAACTCTTCTGTTGTAAATGTCCCAATTGGGAGAGGGTGTGCAATTTTCAAAGAGTGTAATTAAACATTCATGTTATATATTTTGGTTGCATTTGTGAGTTAATAAAAACGTAACTGGTTGTGTAAACTTGGCACATAATATCTAAATATAGATTAATCGTTCGATATAGCCCTGAATCGAATCGTAATCGCAGAATTTTTTGAGTCAAGTCACATTTATTTATATAATACAGAGTGTTTCAAAGCAGCTTTACAGAGATAACAGGAAAATAATGCAAAAAAGTTTGTTTCCAGAAGAAAATAGCGTCACAGTCCAGCTTAAGTAAGTTCAGTGATGTTTCAGCTTTGTTTTTAAAAAAGTTATTAATTTAGTTAATTTATATATAGGGAGAAACCCTGATGTCATCGTCCAGCTTAGTTCAGTTCTTGTATAATAGTGTCAATGCAGGCAGATCAATATTATTGTTGAATATTAAATTAAATGTTAAATTTAATGTCCCCAACTAAGCCAATGGCAACAAAGGTGGAAAAAGGCAACAATGGCAAGGAATGGTATTGAGGTATCGGTAAATATCGTATCGCTGGCTGAGAGAATCGATATTGTATCGTGATGAACTGTCCGATTTATACCCCTAGTTCAAAACTGAAATATTTCCAATATTGCGATGTTTCTTTATCACCAACTCATATTTGCTCTCAAAATTATGGACAACAATTCACATTTAAATAAACAAACAAATTAATGATCAAATAAATGAGCGAATATGCCAAAGTAAAAAAGCCCCACGATAATATCGCGTATCGGCGATCTCGAACCATGAGGAGTATCGCCCAACACTAGCACATAATTATATCATATATTTTAATCATCACGATCCATCCACAGCTCATTAGCACTGAAATGCAGCAGACCCACACTGACCTTTTTCTTAACCAGAGACATGACCCCTATACGCGTGAGAACCGGCTGCCTGCAGAGCCCCTCACGCGGGACACCGTCAGCGAACGTCTCCGAACCGTCAGCCACCGGCTCACAGAGGTGCCTCATGAAGAGAGATACGTACGCCCTGCCAGAGAAACAAAGGAAAAAAAATGCCGTTTCCTTAGCAGAACCCAAGTCTGAAGTTCACACTGAAGTTCATTCTGTCAGGACCACTATCGTCAAATACGATTGACCATTAGCATACAGTTAGGATTGGCGGTGTGGTTCTGTTCTGGGCGCATCCATGCAGCCTAGCATGGATAAGAGCAGGAAGAGCAGCAATAACCCAATTAGGGTAAACAGAACAGAACCAACAAGAATGTATTGCAGATATCATTAATTCATTTTATACCATGATCTGGGTGAATACTCGATTCTGATTGGCTGCAGGGTGTCCATTAAAAAGTGATAGAGGACACCTAGTAAAGGAGTTCTGGTGAAACTGACTGTTTACCGTTCGAAATTAATAAATAAATGCGCTGGCTACATCAGCTGTGAGTAACCATAGCAACAGGCAGTCAAAGTATCCGTTTACAATTTATTGTATCAAAACAAACATCTAGTTAGCCGTTATACTATGCCTACCCGTGTGTTTTAATTATAGGTAAAAAAAAATGAAAGTGTAACGCCCATGGCTAGACAAGCCTAACTTGCATGAAGAAAAAAAACGTTAACTTTCTGGCTCGTAAGTTAGCTAAACTGAAGGGTTCTCCGAGCTGAATATCTCTGGTTGCTAAATAAACCGTCAGGCGTAACCAGGGAAACCAAGTTATTGTTTGTAAAAACTTTAGATTTCGATTGTAAAAACTAATTAAAATATAAACTAATGTTTTAAAAATGTGTTATTTAGCAAGTGACCATGGTATAAGCGGGTTAATACCCTTCGAGGTGTCCATTGTCTAGGTATTAATGGACTTCGGCGGAGGCAACCGTCGTCCATTAATACCTGACAATGGCCACCTCGTCGGGCATTAACCCTTACTTAATGTACAACGTAATTAGAGAATTTTAGTCTGATGATTAATGGGGAATCCGAATGCCAAATCCTGCCTGGCGAGAGGAGGAGCTGGGGAGGGAGGAGGGTAATAAGCTCCTGAGAAACACAATAGCTGCTGATAATACTGAAGGAGCTTACAAATGAATACAGTGATAGGCGTCACATTCCTATAGGTAGACGTGGATCAGCTGAGAGTCACTGAATGCGAGCTTGACTAACGTGACCTGGCAGAACTGACACTGCACGTGATAATTACATAATCCAAACACATCTACTGGTAAAGAAAGTCCTACTTGAACTCTTTCTCGCTCTTGCCACGGAGGTCTCGCACGAGCCATTGGCAGGTGAAGGCGTCCTGAGCGGGCATCCCCCATCGCATGACGGCATTCAGGAAGGCTTTTCTCTGGCGCGTGTTAAAGCCCAATACCTGACCAACACACACAGACACACGATTAAGCAGAAGACAGCAGATTCAACATTTAGGTAAATTGCTTTAATCTAATCAGACCTTATATGAAAAACAGACACGAATTTATTGCCATCATGAAACGTTACTGGGAAATTCTCAAAACTGGAAAAAATGTATCTCCAGCTGTGTGTCAGTCAATTTAATTATGACTGGCACGCATCCAGAGACGCTGTATATACTGGCCAGATAGATAAGCAAACACTGGGAAAATACACTATTATCCACATTAAACTGTGACCAATGGGCTTATGTTGATTTTACACTAAGCTCAAGGATGTCTTTATATGGCAGTTTGCAATAGTTGGGCCAAAACAAACGAACAAATAAAGAAAAACTAGACAAAAACAAATAAGCGATACCTCAATGTTGCCACCCACTCTGGCCAACAGGGGTGGAAGTGGTTTATCCTTTTCGTTTCTGAGCTGCCTGCGTGACTGTCTGCGACCTGGACGGGGGGAGAGGAGAGTCAGCCAAGATATCAGTTCAACATGTCCATCTCACTGAGCCAGCATCAGGAAACAGGGTTACAGCACAGGAAGGATACATTATCCTGAACAGCTGCAATACATAAACTGTGAATATGCCTCCAGAAGAATAGCAAAATCTGTCAAAACCACAAGACGTCCCATTACAGTACCAAAAGGGACACAAATGGACAAAGAAAAATGTAATTAAAGTCTAAAAGGTGCCAAAATATGTGTAGGGGTGGGGTGTAGTCGTTATAACTAGATTTGTACATTAGTGAGTGGAGCTTGTATGTGCAAACTCACTGCCATTAAAGGGTTAGTTCACCCAAAAATGAAAATGATGTCATTAATGACTCGCCCTCATGTCGTCCCAAGCCCGTAAGACCTCCGTTCATCTTCGGAACACAGTTTAAGATATTTTAGATTTAGTCCGAGAGCTTTCTGTCCCTCCATTGAAAATGTATGTACGGTATACTGTCCTTGTCCAGAAAGGAAATAAAGACATCATCAAAGTAGTCCATGTGACATCAGTGGGTTAGTTCGAATGTTTTGAAGCATCGAAAATACATTTTGGTCCAAAAATAACAAAAACTACGACTTTATTCAGCATTGTATTGTCTTCCGGTTCTGTTGTGGATCCGCGTTCAGTGCCGCCGCTGAACAGTGGTGGAATGTAACGAAGTACAAATACTTTGTTACTTTACTTAAGTACATTTTTCAGGTATCTTTACTTTACTTAAGTAGAATCAATAGTGCATACTTATTACTTTTACTTCGTTACATTTTGCAGCAATTATTATACTTTCTACTCCACTACATTTCTACAACGTTCTGTTACATTTTCGTTACATTTTCTGATCAGTTTCCCCCTGCCAAAACGTCATCCTGACCGTCCGTTCGTCGCACGTTTGTCTCACCAGTGAAGTTTGGTTGCCATATCAACCCGGTCACACTAAATGCGTCTCTATAGCACGCAGTGTGTTTATAGTGCAATTTATACGCGGAAATGTGTTTTTATGTGCATAGGATACGCATGGGTAGGTTAGGGTAGGTTTAATAGTGGTGTGGGCTGCGTGTGTATTCTACGTTTGGTTAGGATTAGTATGGCAAGCCAAGAGGTTCAGAATTACGCCATAAATGAATCGCGTTTACAGCCAAACCAGGTCACATTAAGCTTGATGTGATGTATATTGCCTAATTGCAAGCTTGTTCAGAAATGGTGACAGAAACTTAAAAAATAACGGCTTTTCCATCATTATTGAACATCATAATAGCAGTATTAGGTTGAATGAGTTAGGATTAACTGTTTTATTATTCATTAGAATATAGACATTAAGAGAATAAATTGTTATGCAAGTACTTTTACTTTTAATACTTAAAGTACATTTAAAATCAGGTACTTTTTACTTAAGTAGGGTTGTCATTGTGATACTTCTACTTTCACTAAAGTAAATATGTCTCTGGTTATATGTACTTTTACTTAAGTACTGAGATTCAGTACTTCCTCCACCACTGCCGCTGACGTAAGACGCTGCTGACGTGTGTCTGGTGCGTCCGTGTATTCGGGTTCAAATAAATATGGCTGGGCAAAAAAATGCCGATTGGAATCTGATCTAAAATTCTTGACTGTCCAAATTGTGTATTGCAACTGTTCAGATCCGATTTGTGTGTCCATGCCGCTCCAGGAATTGGATTCTATGGCAATGGAGTTGCATTCGTAGACATACACCAAAAACAACAACTGCACACATGGAGGGGTTTGCAATACTGATGTTGTCTTGTTTAAAACATGACAATGTGTAGCCGCCGCCGCGCTGGACTACTGCGACTTCTGAGGCAGCGACAAAACCGTACTCCAGACCATCCTTTTTATGCAACTTGTGTACGGTTTGTGGATGCGCACCCGAGTTCGGAAAACAGCGTTCACATCATCCAAACAAATCGAACTCTGAGGTCAATCGAACCCGGGTGCGCAGCAAAAGTGCAAGTGTGAAAGCACCCTAAGGTGTTCTGAGTGGTTGTTTGTACGTCATAGGGTGTTCTGGGTGCTTGCTAGAGTGTTAAATGGTTGCTAGGTGGTTACTTACTGGCCCTAGTAAAAAAAAAGCACACGCAAGAGACTAGAATATCAAGTCTATTGGATTTTTTGGCCCCCTTTTATAGTGGACCTGTTACTAGGGGTTGCACAGACTAGTTGACTTTAATGCTCTGCCATGACGCTTTAAGCTTGACGTCGACTAGTCGCTGATCATGGCCTATAGAGGGCACAACAGGATAAGAAATCTCTGAAATTCACTTTTACACTCCATTTCCAACAGTTAAAAGGACAAATAACTGCATACTCCAAAAGCGCTTCACAAGAAATGTTTGATTATACCATCTAGACGCTGAAAACTGATCGGGTGAATGCACGTTTTAAACAGCTTATTGTACACGTAAGTTAATCGCCGTTCTAAACTAACGAGTGCTGCATTGTAACACACACACACATACAGACAGTAGCTTCGCACATCACGTGCAGATCACGCACACACAGAATCATTCGCAGAAATGTATTGTCAACATTTCTGTGACTTAGAAACTGAAAAGTTCTAGCATACATTTCTTCGACCTAGTCCACACGTACCCGGGTATTTGAGTTTTTCCTCCTTTGTTTAAAAAAAAAAAGTGTATACATGTTATAAGCCCTGTTAGCACAGTTATAATTAGCAGCAATATTTTGACTACGTCCACCATTGCACAGACTGGCCTCATGTAAACTAAGGAGATAGCGGCGCACAATCTGACGTCAAACAAAGGAGATAACAGCTTGCACTCCGACGTCACAAGTCAAAATCTCCGGTTTCACCGGCTACACTGTAACCGGAGTTTCAGAAAATCTTCACCCTGGCAGGAGTTTTCAAAAAGGTTCAGTTTAAGTGACCTGATACTGTGTCATATTGCCATAGCATTCAGTCTCGGCTCGAGCTTCAGGCTTATTTGTTCATTAATTACGTAATCAGCGACTAGTCAACCTCGACTCGACTTTCATCACATACATTTCAAAACATCTGTCGTTCAACCTGTTACATGTTCACTAGTTTTAAAGGAGTAGTTCACTTTTAAAAAAACTTTTGCTGATAATTTACTCACCCCCATGTCATCCAAGATGTCCATGTCTTTCTTTCTTCAGTCGAAAAGAAATTAAGGTTTTTGATGAAAACATTCCAGGATTTTTCTCCATATAATGCACTTTGCTGGGCACCAAACGGTTCAAGGTCCAAAAGACAGTTTCAGTGCAAACTGCAAACTGTTCAAAGGGCTTTAAACGATTCCAGACGATGAATAAGGGTCTTATCAAGCGAAACGATCGGTCATTTAAAAAATAAATAACAAAGTTTAAGTTTTATAAGCTCACATGCTCGCCTTGCTCTGTTCTGTGTAACTCTCCTGTTCGAACTCGTTCATCAAAATGAACAAATCTTTTTACGAGTCATTTGATTCATTTAACGACCGAAATGAACGAATTGACTCGGAAAAAGATTTGTTCATTTTGATGAACGAGTTCGAACAGGAGAGTTTCACAGAACAGAGCAAGGCGAGCATGTGAGCTTATAAAACTTAAACTTTTTTTTTTTTTTTTTTAAATGAGCGATCGTTTTGCTTGATAAGACCCTTATTCATCGTCTGGAATCGTTTAAAGCCCTTTGAACAGTTTGCAGTTTGCACTGAAACTGTCTTTTGGACCTTGAACCGTTTGGTGCCCATCAAAGTGCATTATATGGAGAAAAATCCTGGAATGTTTTCATCAAAAACCTTAATTTCTTTTCGACTGAAGAAAGAAAGACATGGACATCTTGGATGACATGGGGGTGAGTAAATTATCAGCAAAAGTTTTTTTAAAAGTGAACTAATCCTTTAAGTTTCTTGGCTTTTGTATTGTTATTGTGAAGTGTTTTTCTGTTTCCATTGTTCCCTGTGAGAAAATCACGTTTACATGTAGATCGGATTCAGGACGATGATCAAAACATAGATGGAGTAGATCGAGTCCATCAACAATGTGGGAATGGGCAGTAAGAGTGTCAGTGCGGTTCTCACCCTCAGGTCTCTCATCAAAGTCCTCATCCTCCTCCTCTGAGCCCACAGAGTATTCGGACTGGTTATCTGAAATGTCAGCATGCCACTCTGCAACAGCATATAGAAAAGAGCACGTCAGTAATGAACACTAAATTCAAATCATAGTACAGAGTGTGTTCAGCAGTGCTCAAACAATTTCCATGCGCCGGAATCCTCAAATAAAGCCCAACCAAAATCTAATATATCAGTTTGGCAACTCTCTCCGACAGTGGGAAAAAAAGACAGATGTGATTATTTCAGATTTGGCTCTTTTGTGACTAAATGTTCTGTATCTCCACTTATCTAACCATCCGCACACATTCTATTCAAATCCCACTGTCAATGAGAATGATTTAGCCCTATAGGAAAACAAAGGGCTGCTTAAACAAAAAATGAAAACCCACAAAAGTCAATTAGTGAAGCACAGTCAACTCTCGAATTTTAAAAAAGGCCAGTGGATTGCATTTGTAATATATTCTGCAGAGGGTATGCCACAACATTACAACCTTGCAAGTCAGGATGCTTGGATACACAAAGAAAAGTATGTGTACTTACAGTTTATCTTAGTTATCACTGTAATTATGCAGCCGTAAGCGCCACTGCGAAACCATAAATGCTATATTGCTGCTTTCTGGAGAAAACCTTCTGTTATTTGTCTTCTTCCAGACCATTTTGTTTGTCTCTTTTTGACACATAAATGAAAAGCTGCCACACTTCGGCATCCCCTGGGTGTTGTGGATGTAGCTGTTTTTGAGTCAGCTGCATGTGGCTGTTCTAACCTGACCAAAGCAGCAGTGTGTGGGATATGCTTTTTCTTTCCCACTCAATCAAAAGTAAAGTAGTAAACCACATGCCGAGAATGAAACTGCTACAAGATGTAATTTCGGAGATTTAAAAGAGGTAATATGCTGCATTTATATGACAAGCATAAACATGGTTTATCGTAATAAAAGGCAAGAGGAATGGGCTAATTAGAATACAGTGGGGTCCAAAAGTCTGAGACCACACTGAAAATCTGGGATTTAAAATCCACTTTAAACCATGTCGGACATAAAAATATTTCTTAAATCAAGTTAGCATATTATCTTCTTGTGTTCGGATGTTGGTGTTTGTGAACGCAATCATGTGAGACGCTTCTGGGAGGGAAATAAAACAAATCATTCTGATGACAGACTTTGCCTGAGGCGTTTCAGAATGATCAAACCAATATTTGAGATGCTGTGCGATGAAATTGGTCCACTGGTTAGTCCACTGGACCAGGCAAAGTCACGTAAGTTTTTTGTTGTGCATCAAAGGATTTTATTTATGTATTAAATGTGTTTCCATCATAGATTAAACAAATGTATTCTTATCAGATAAAAAGTATATCCACCTCAATAATACGTTTTTTTATTCGCATCTTTTGAATTTATGTGCATCTTTGATGCGATATCCCAAAATGTGCGTAAAAATAGGTTGATGGAAACATGGCGGCTGAAGTAAAATGCGACATACCAAACACTAAGACATTATTGAAATTCAATCTTTAGGAACTAGGAAGTGATGGATTGTACCTTGGTCCTCCTGAGCTGCATCATTGTAGTTGACCTGTTTGCGGACTCTTTTTCCTTTGCCAAGATTGCGGGCCAGATCTTCCTGCTGCTGTTCGTAGTGATGCCTCAAGAGTTTCTCCCAGTAATCAGGATCCACGTTCTCTTCCTGCTTAATGATCTCTCTCTCGATCTCTTCTATCTGGAGACACAATTCGAGCGAGATCTCCTTAATATTTTCGTTAGTTGTTTATTTTAATTTTTGTATTTGTTTCTCATGGAGACCAATAAGATTTAATGGAGAGCAAACAGAGAGGCCAGATTTACTAACAGCTTACACCAGGGCAAACCAAACTATTGTCAGGATTTACTAAAGACACGCAGTGAAAAATTAGCGCTTAAAAGGCGTGGACAGGGTTATTTTTGTGGCTGACCTTATTGCATATGCATTTGTAGGAGTTTCTCAATGTATGGGAGGAGAGTATTTAAATCAATCATTTAAAGTTTGCGCTAGTCAATTTACTGGTATTTGCGCCATTATTTAATGGGCAAAAAAAAGCATGTCTTAAACCAGACGCTAATTTGTGCTGCTCTTGGTAGATTGCGTTGGTCATTATGGAAATTATCTGCTGCGTCTGTGTTTTTTAATTTACACATTTTTTAGAACTACGCTCTCGCGCTAATTCGCCCCGTTTAGTAAATCTGGCCCCAAGACTCCTGCTTTTCACATGTTCACATGCCTGCTCTGCTCTGATTGGTCAGACGGTCCGGTCTGTTGTGGTTGGTCGACCACTTACAGCGTGTTTTGGAAACAAAACGTCAATCTGAATTTCAGCTCCGGACCTTCCTCAGCGCTTGATACACAGTGATACGAATGACACCGTTGGTTTTTTAAGTATCAATTCCAGCAAGAGTCCTCGTTCTTTTGAGGTGCATCAAACTCTTCCAGTCTCAGCTACAACTACAGTGTTTGAGGGTTAAAGTAGACGTTGTTCGTGGGCAGCCAATGAACACCATAGACTAGCATCATGCTAATATGTCACATTGTTACGTAGGTTTGAAAGACTGGAATTACCGACGACTCGTTTCAGCAGTTCAGAATCGATTCTTTCTTTTAGGAGACAATAACTTTATTTGTCGTGCACTTTGATCTTTAAAACTTTGCAGATCTTTTACAGTCACAAACAGCGATATTTCACACTGCATGAAAGGTAATATTTAAAAAAGCATAACAGGGGCACTTTAACAGTCTTTGATACTGCTCTCCCACCTTGTCGTCTTCTCTGACATTGTACTGGGCCACCTTGAAGGAGCTCAGATACTCGTTCATGTTCTGCATGTCAGAGTCATCTGTGGCGTCCTGGCTGCGGTCTAGCAGACGCTCGATGGCGGCGTTGTCGTAGTGAATTACACTGCCATCATCATCCTTATTGTCCCCTGCTGAAAAAAGAAACACACAGGTTAACCTTCAGTATAACAAGGTGTTTTTTGGTCATTCAGAGCGGAGATGTTGGGCACAATCATGAGTTACAGAGCAGTTTTGAGTTTTTTCATAAAATTAATTTGTTGATTCGTAGGTTCATTCAATTCTACACATCAACTGATTTATCTTATCAATCCCACCCTCAATCTCATCCTTGAAAAGCTCCTCAGTGCCAAACTTGAGGATGTCGTCCAGCTCTTGCTTAGACATAGATCCGGCTTTTGAGCCCAGACCGGGCCGCACCACCAAGTGTGTGAGCATCATCTTCCTTTTGGCCACCTGAGTGATCCGTTCCTCGACCGAAGCCCGGGTCACAAACCGGTAAATCATCACTTTATTGGCCTGACCAATGCGGTGAGCTCGACTGAAGGCCTGAGAAAAAGAGGTAATATTCTGTAGAAAACTGCTACATTAAGCTTAATAAAATATGTTTAGCTTTGAAACCTCACAGATGCTATCATGAGTTTTCCTGTCTACTAGATGGAACAAAGAAAATAGCAGAACAAAACCGTCAAGTGAGACACGAGTAAAGTGAATATCGGATTTACCTGAATGTCATTGTGGGGATTCCAGTCAGAGTCAAAGATTACGACTGTGTCCGCAGTGGCCAAGTTGATGCCCAGGCCACCCGCACGTGTAGAGAGAAGAAAACAAAACTGACACGCTCCAGGAGCTGTAAGACAGACAGAGAGAGATTTGATGCAGATATTTAAAGTTACACTATGTACACAAAATTAACAAAATTTAGTCAATAAATCATCAATACTTCTTCCAAAAGGTTTTTTTTTTTTTTGTCTTACCCTGATTCACTATGGTAAGCCTATGATAAGTGTTTATATTTTAGACCTGTCGAGATGGTTTTCAGGGGGAATTGTGTACATGCGTCCCTCGCCCGTGCGTGTCTCGGCATATCCGTAAATAGAGAGAAGTTTCTCCGGCTACTTTGATGTGTGTCTGGTGTGGGAGTGACGGAGGTTAGTTTCACTACGAGTGAGAAAGGTTGACATGAAGCTGCTAAATCTCAAACCTCTGGGAATCACCCGTTTTAAACAAACGCTGAACAGAGGAGAGTCTGCTGGCAAAAAGAGAACGAGACAGAGCTTGAAATAAAACAAGAATCAACATTGGCTTGGTTTTTCGGAGATGGAGAGAACTGAGGGATTTGAAATGTTGTAAAAGCGACGCAGAGATGATGGTGTTTTTATCACTCAACAGGCGAGTAATGTATTTCATTGAACAGATAAATATCCATATAGCTCTCTAACAGAGTTAATTGTAATGCATTACCAATTGTGAAGGAGCATTTCATTATGGTTGTTACAAAACAATGTTTTTCCGCAAAATGCATGCAGTTTTGTTTTTTAACTTCTAGAGGGCCAAAACTTATAGTGTACCTCAGGGGTTCCCAATTCTAGTCCTCTCGCCTCCCTGCTCTTCACAGTTTGTATTGATGTGTCCCAATTCGCATACTACCTGTCCCTAAATAGTATTCGAAATTAGAGTTAGTGTGTCCCAAATCATAATATGTGGAAATATTATGTATTTCAACATATATAAGTATTCCAAAGATAGCCGGATGGTGTATTTTTTCCGGTTAGAATCAGAAGTGCAGAACCATGCAGACTCTAACGACTAATATTGCGTGTTGGACGATGATTTGATTAGAACTACAAACACGAATAAAAAGTGTTAAAAAACTACTTACTATGGTATGTGCGACTCCAACGGTTAAGTAGAGAGGTTTGAGTGCTTAATTATCAGTATCTAACCTGAAGAAAATATATTTATTCAATGTTATCCACATTATATTTCATATGCAACAGCATTGTGAACTTTTGTAAAGATACGTTTGGTCATGTACTTTTTAATGCATCATTTTTGCAAATTGAAAACACATGAAGGGATTTATCAGCAGGAAAGACCCACGACTGGAAGATCAACGTGCTACTACATTTCTCTCTGAAACGGTAGGAAGTTAAAATTTGATTTAATGAGGAGGATTTTAACTGTGACAAGATGATTGACAGGGCAGTTTAAACGGTGACAGGATGCACGTAACTATGCGACAGGATGTGTCCCAAACAAGTTAAATGTGTTTGGATTTTTAAAAAAATCCAAAAACGTGATGTAGAAATATTCATAGCGTGATAAGATTTGTCATAAATTTTTTGGCCACCCAAAAAGTTATCCAAACAAATATCACAAACCTCAATAAAACACATTCAATCAACCTCAACACCACAAAATACCAAAATAAATTCTCCCATCAACACAATACAAAATATAATTATGGCACCACTGTTGTTCAAATGTTTATATATCTTTCGATACTCTGGAACAGATTCAAATTCAACAACGAATCCAGACTTTACAAACGCTTTAAACAGAGGACTATGTCTGTTCTCAAGTAATTTTGTCCTATTGTTTTGCTTACCCAACAATAAAATAAATCAACTGCCATTTTAAGATAAGACATTCGGCATTTGCATAAACTTTTCTCCACATCTGAAAAACAACTGACTCAATAGCTCAAAGAATGGATTGAGTCTTACAAACAGAGAAAAATAGTCTCTCTAAATTCACCAAACACACATTTATCATCAACACTTGGACTGGGAAGAGAGGAGAGAGAGAGGGGGGGAGTAAAGATGACTTCGCACTGACATTTTAATAGCTATTAAAACCAAACCAAACCTCTGGCTCAGTGTTTCTCAAACATTTCAGACCACCTTTGTTCAAAACCATCCACGTGCCTAGTGACACATTTTTTCAGCATTGAGCAAATTAACATCTCTTGAGCACAAGTTTAAGAACGGTCTGTGATTGACAGATCGATTAATATTAATGTTCCTGTAGTCCATACAAATCGCATGTACCTTGCTCATCTTTAGTGCATATACTAAACGTATTAAAAGTAGGGCACAGCTTGACTACATTCATACAGGGTTTCTGCGGGTTTATGAAGGTAAGACATTTTAAAGACCCTTTTAAAACCAAGTAAAAAAAATGTAAGGAATAAATTAAAGGGATTAGATATTTGTATTTGTATTGTAAAACGGTATATATATATATATTGCAATGCATGTAACAACATGCCATGACTTTATGAATTTAAACATGTACTGCACTGATTTAAGACCTTTTTAAGGCCTTAAATTTTAAGACCCGCAGAAACCCTGTTTCAGACAAAATCATATTAACTTCATACAGGGGCGTTGCTAGACCCCTTTTACTGGGGCACGTGCCCCAGTATAAATCTGCTGTGCCCCAGTAAATCTGAAGTTTGAGTTTAACTATTTATCTTATTTGTCAGTGTATTTAAAAGAAATTGTATTATAGGGTAATATAAATTATCTATTTGCAACGCAGTAATAAAACAATCAACGCTTGTAAAAGCAACGCAGTTTAACCGAAAACAGAAGCTGACCCGCGTGTTATACATAAATTGATCACATAGAAATCAACTCAGTTTTGAGAAAGAAAGAAATAAAAAATTTGACCCCCTTGAATTTCTGTTTATAGTGCAAATTTTTATATACAGTATATAGCCTATATATATGTGTGCTAATCATGTTTGTTTGTAGAGTTACTACTAACAATTTTTGGATGAGTTAAAATAGTTTTGAATGTTGACAAAACACATTAACATTTTGTAGTATGGATCATTCATTGCAACATTTATCCTCATTCTCATGTTTAAAAATCTGTTATCTGCTTGACAAATCATTTATGCTACTGCTGCCCACTAACATGCTTTTAAAGCTATTGTTATCCAATTTGTTGGCCTTCAAACACCTTAAAATGCAGATCCGAAAAATCCAAATTTTTCCCTGAAATTCGCCCTTGCCTGCAGCACTATAGCACAGAAAATAAACACATTGTTGTGTTCTGTACTTCTGTCTTTGATTGTGTGTGATAACAATGACTTATTCTTTCGGATATGAAATTTATATTTAATTGACCGTCTATCGGTATATCGGTAAGCCCCGCCCTCCTTAGTTACTGTTGCTATCTCTGACAAACAATGGGGGACCTGTGCCCCAGTAGAGCTTTATGTCTAGCAACGCCCCATATATATTCTTATTTTATGTTATTGTAATTATTTTGTTTCATCACCTGAAAGCACCACAGGATTCCTGCTGTAGCTAATTCTCTAGCTGTATCCAAAATATTCTCAACATGTATGTATATGGTGAATAGCTGTTACCGTTGAATCTGTCGATGGCTTCCTGCCGGAGAGCTCCAGTAACGCCTCCATCAATTCGCTCATATTTATAACCCTCATAATCCAAGAAATCCTCCAGCAAATCCAGCATCTTGGTCATCTAAGGAGGAAACAGAGTGTGTAAGTATGATCCAATCAAAATTTTCAGAGCAAATACCATCCAAGTGGCTACCGTGAAACACAAAGCTGTATACAATTTGAATAGAAATAAAACATGGTAAATACAATTTAAAAAACAATATAATATTTTTAGTATTTTACATTTCTAGAGTTTCCGCTGTGTACCACATGGGGGCACTAAACATACCACAATTTGATAGTCCATGCAAATACAGCAGCTTCTTATGTGGCATGTGTAATGCCTGGTACACATTGTACAATTTTGGGCTGTCAGACGGAAGTTGACCGATCGTGGGGATTTCTGCAGTCGCGGCCCCTAAACGGTGATCCTATGCCGCAGAGTGAGAGAGGTTCAAAGACGGCTGTTGTCAAGGTCTTGCGACCAAAGATAGCCTGCAATAATTTTCTGACAGTGTCAGAACTTTAAAATGATCATCTCAACGTCTACTGACTAGCCAATAAAAATGCAACATGAAATGGCGTATTTATCAACACGACATGACGCTAAAACTCAAAACTATTTACCTCAAGCTCCATTTGCAAAATTTGCATGTCAAATTGGCCTCTTTTCCCTAAACATGACCGTGTCCATATTCTCCTCTTTTTTTCAGCGCACATAAAACCCACAATTGCCAAAATGCCATTCATCTTGCTCTGTTTGTTTCCCACTAGCACATGCCGATGATGACGTTTTATTCTTCTATACTAACTTGCGTCGTAGCCTACGATTCAATAGGTGTCATCCTCATATAGTCTTCATACATGTCGTACCCAAGTTTATTAGATCCATGTCGTACAGTGTGATCTGTAATGATCTTATAGGATTGCCCAAATCACACAGTCTGTAGCAGGAATAAATAACAGGCAGTGTGAATGCTGTGTATTTATAACATGTGCGTTTTTACCTGAGAGAACACCAGCACTCGGTGGCCTTGTTCTTTCAGTTTTCTGAGCATTTTCTGCAGCAGCGTGAGTTTCCCAGAGGCCTTTGTGAGACCGACACCTTCATACGCTCCACTTGGTGTTTTGGGAGCTTCCTGCAACACACGAACACAACAAAACAGCCTATGATACATATATGCTCAACAAAAAACCCTGACAAACAGTAAACACAACATTTTAACAGCATTTTAACCATTTTTTTCTGACAGCAGGTGGCAGTATTTCACACTACACAAGTTAGGATGGGTCCAAAAGAGCCAAAAACCCATCCAAATGATCCAAATTCAAAAGTTTTCATGTAGTTGTCAGAAATACAGTGTGTGTTCTTACGGCAGAAGCGACGGGGAAGAGGTAGGGGTGGTTGCAGCACTTTTTTAGGTCCATCATAATGTTGAGCAGAGACACCTGGTTCCCTCCTCCCTTTGAATTCAGCGCCTCAAAGTTACGCGTCAGAATGAACTTGTAGTACTTTCTGTTCACACACAGACAAAAACATATGAAAAAAATCTACATAACTCTATGTATCAGCTATTTCTCTTTTTGTTTTGAATGTTTAAGGCTGGCATGCATACTAAGAAACATACATATGAACTGATTTCACTACTTTAGCTAATTATCTTGAGATGTTTGAATAAATTCGGCATGCAAACGCATATTGATGTTGTGGGTCTCACTTCTGCATGGGGCTGAGCTCCACTCGGACGATCAGCTCAGTTTTGGCTGGCATGTTCTTAAACACGTCAGCTTTGAGTCTCCGGAGCATGTGTGGGCCGAGCAGGTCGTGCAGTTTCTTGATCTGGTCCTCTTTAGAGATGTCCGCAAATTCCTCTAGAAAACCCTCTAGATTGCTGAGGGACAGAAATAATTTAGATTTAGAGTTGTGTTGTTGATACAGTGTGTACATACAGTGGACCCCAAAAAATATCTGGACACTTCAGATAAACAAAAAAAAGGTATATCATTGCATGTTTTACAGTCCAAATACTTTGTTGGGCCACTTTTATAGTCTAGAGTGGATAAGAGTGCTTTTGTTTGTTTTGTGGTACTTGAAGCGGTTGGGCGTCAGGAAGTTGAGCAGGTGGAAAAGTTCTTCCAGGTTATTCTGGAGTGGCGTTCCCGTTAGCAGCAGCTTGTGGTCTATCTTGTAGTCATTCAGTCTCCTGAAGAACTAACACACCACAACAAAAGACTTCAGTTAATAACACACACACACACACACACACACACGTCTGGTTTACTACATCTTTGTGAGGACTCTTCATAGACGTAATGGTTTTTATACTGTACAAACTGTATATTTTATCCCCTATACCTAAACCTACCCATCACTGGAAACATTCTGCATTTTTACATTAAAAAAGAAAAAATTCTGTATGATTTATAAGCGTCTTTACCCATGGGGACCTCAATTTAGGTCCCCACAGTGACACGAGTCCCCATGAGTCTGTGTGCATTCGGGTTTAAGTCCCCACCGGGATAGAAAAACATATACACACACACACACACACTTCTCTCAACTGGAAACATACAAGTGCATCACTAATAATTTAGTATGAAACCTAGATAAGCACAACCTGCCAATGACAAAACATTTTACATCTCTGTGCAAAAGTGTACAAATAGGAGTAGAATTAGTAGACTTACGAATTGTTTTTCGTAATGTGTTTTTTTGTATGTGTAGATAATCCTCAATGTATATATACTACCGTTCAAAGGTTTGGGTTTTTTAAAGTAATTAATACTGTTATTTAGTAAGGACTCTTGATCAAATTGATCAAGATTTTCACATTGTTACAAAAACGTCCTATTTAACGTCCAATTTAAAGTGGCTATATGTAAGAAATTTCATCGCTTTGTTATTGCAAATGTGTAAACAGCTTGTAATAAAACTTAAAAAACTGAGACCTTCCACACTTTCCTAGGTTGTCTATGAAAGCCTGTAGACTGATTTTTATGTGAAGGACTTGGGATGTTTTTCCTGGGAAAATCAAAAGGATGTGACGTTTACGCGAGTGCCTTTCTTCCGTTCAATGACGCATGAAGCGAATGCTTATACAATGTTCAGGATAATGCAGAAAGAGCCATTCTGTACTGTAATGTAATGTCAATGTGACATGCAAAGAAAAGAGATTAATTCAAACATAGTCTCACATAGCCAGATCTATATAATCAAACTATCATAACAATGTAATTTTATTGACCTCACCTGTCGAAATTATGCCGGTGAATTGCAGAGCATATCCACATCACTATGATCAGATGCTTTATTAACTGCCTTTTCTCACAACTGTCATTTTTGTTGTGTTTATTTTGTTGTTGAGAGAAAAGTGAGAAGCACATATTTACATATTCATCTTACGTCGCTCTCAGCAGCGTCTGGATTTTCGTTAACAGTATATCACAGCAAAGGTATTTCCAACTTCTTTTTACTTCTAAGCAAAGAACAAAAAAAAACTTCGCCGTGAGTATATCGGGGCCTTGAATCACATTTAATCTCTTGTACGTTACGTGTGCACGAGGAATAAGTTGCTGGCTGCATTTCACTTAATGGCCACCGGTGTCGCTAATAACTAGGGTTTCAGAATTCTACATATAGCCTCTTTAAAATAAATGTTCAGTTGAATTTCTATTCATCAAATAACCCTGAAAAAAAGTATATCACGATTTCCACAAAAATATAAGCTGCGCTGTTTACAACATTGAGAAATTTTACTTGAGCAACAAATTAAAATGATTGCTGAAAGATCATGTGACACTGAAAATATAGCTTTGCCAACACAGGAATAAATTTCATTCATTTGTTAATTAAGTTACTTGCGCGCACACAATGATTAGTAAAAAAATCATTTAAAACTAAAAAAAAAAAGCACTCCAAAATAACATATCTGACATCCATATTTTTGTTCCCTCTATGATTTTTTTTTTTACTTAGATAATGACTTGCTGAATGAAAATGCGTAATGGCTTTATTATGACCGTTTATAAAGGCGCCGGTTTATTTCCGTCATCCTCAATCTGCTGTGTTGCAAAGAATCCAAAAAGTAATTTCCTTTCCTGTATTAAATTAGAAAATTAAATCTCCCAAACTCTCTCTCTGTCACAAACACACACACACAAACCAAATAAATCCTGGACAGAAAACGGGAAAAACCCATGAAGTGAGTATACCTTGGACTGGTTGTTTTTGAGACGGTGGGCTTCATCCACTACAAGACAGGCCCAGTCAATGGACTTGAGAACGTTCTGGTCTATAGTCACAAGCTCATAGGACGTCAACAACACATGGAACTTAATGGGCGCTTCTCTCTGGGGGAAAGTGAAAAGAATGGTTACAGTAAAAGTCATTTTTTGTATGTTTCTTCTTACATAACCAAATGACATCCTTTCTCTCCATACTATGGCTACTCTCCTTTAACCATTGAACTTCTCTTCATTTTCCTCCTCACACTGTCCATCTTTGCATTTCACCTTTCCAATCCCCAACAAACGCGTTCTTTCCAGCGCTCATCTCCTCACCCGTAATTTGAAGGCTTTCTTTCCTCGATTCACCGCTGTGTCGTCGAAAGTGAACTCGTTCTCGCGGATGATGGCCCGGCTGTCCTTGTCTCCGGTGTAGGTGACAACATAGAAGTCGGGAGCCCACATCTCAAACTCCCTCTCCCAGTTAATGATTGTGGAGAGCGGTGCGCTCACCAGGAATGGCCCTTTAGTGTGACCCTGGTGAAAGAAATAAACCCAGTGATAAGGAAGAACGAGCAGAGAGAAACAGGATGGGAGGGAGAAAATAGTGTGAAATTCAAGAGTTTACTCGTCATTTAACATACACTTTTGTAACCTGACCCGCACAGACCTCTTTAAACAGTGAGTAGAGGAAGACAATGGTCTGGATGGTCTTGCCCAAGCCCATTTCATCAGCCAGGATGGTGTCGGTGCCCTGAGCCCAGGAGAAGCGCAGCCAGTTCAGGCCCTCCAGCTGGTAGAGGTGCAGCGTCCCTCCTGTCTCTGTCACGAAGTCTGGCTGCTCTTCATACTTGATTGTGGGCTGAAAGAAGCGAGATGGGCAGAGAAGTGGTGAGAAAAGACAGAAACAAGGGTGGTCCTACATGCCCCAAAAGGACTTTGTGCTAGAAAGCAGATTTGACAAAATAATAACATCAGAGCAGAGGAGGTGCAAATTATGGTGGCCGAGAGAGCTCAACGAGCTGCAACTGAAGAAAACACATGCAAATAGAAAAAACACCAGCAAATTATGAAATCATCTTCATCAGTTTGATAACACAAATACAGAAAAGCGCTGCAAATAGCACAGAACACAACAGAAATATTTCATGGGGACCCTACAAGTGACGAACCTGGCTGGGACATACTTATTGTTCAATGTCTATTCGTCAGTGGTGTTGTCGTTGACCTGAAAGGCGAGTTTTTTGTTAATTTTACCATCCTGATTGTGTGTGCTTTGTGTGTACTTTGCAGCCTGTTTCTATATTTAGTTGAGTTGTGAGTATTTGCGGTGTGTTTCTGTATTTGGTTGAGTTGAGAGTATTTGCGGTGTGTTTCTGTATTTGGTTGAGTTGTGAGTATTTGCGGTGTGTTATTTGGTTGAGTTGTGAGTATTTGCGGTGTGTTTCTGTATTTGGTTGTGTTGTGAGTATTTGCGGTGTGTTTCTGTATTTGGTTGAGTTGAGAGTATTTGCGGTGTGTTTCTGTATTTGGTTGAGTTGTGAGTATTTGCGGTGTGTTTCTGTATTTGGTTGAGTTGAGAGTGTTTGCGGTGTGTTTCTGTATTTGGTTGAGTTGTGAGTATTTGCGGTGTGTTTCTGTATTTGGTTGTGTTGTGAGTATTTGTGGTGTGTTTCTGTATTTGGTTGAGTTGTGAGTATTTGCGGTGTGTTTCTGTATTTGGTTGAGTTGTGAGTATTTGCGGTGTGTTTCTGTATTTGGTTGAGTTGAGAGTGTTTGCGGTGTGTTTCTGTATTTGGTTGAGTTGAGTATTTGCGGCGTGTTTCTGTATTTGGTTGTGTTGTGAGTATTTGCGGTGTGTTTCTGTATTTGGTTGTGTTGTGAGTATTTGCGGTGTGTTTCTGTATTTGGTTGAGTTGAGAGTGTTTGCGGCGTGTTTCTGTATTTGGTTGAGTTGTGAGTATTTGCGGTGTGTTTCTGTATTTGGTTGAGTTGAGAGTGTTTGCGGTGTGTTTCTGTATTTGGTTGAGTTGTGAGTATTTGCGGTGTGTTTCTGTATTTGGTTGTGTTGTGAGTATTTGTGGTGTGTTTCTGTATTTGGTTGTGTTGTGAGTATTTGCGGTGTGTTTCTGTATTTGGTTGAGTTGAGAGTGTTTGCGGCGTGTTTCTGTATTTGGTTGAGTTGTGAGTATTTGCGGTGTGTTTCTGTATTTGGTTGAGTTGAGTATTTGCGGCGTGTTTCTGTATTTGGTTGAGTTGAGAGTATTTGCGGCGTGTTTCTGTATTTGGTTGTGTTGTGAGTATTTGTGGTGTGTTTCTGTATTTGGTTGTGTTGTGAGTATTTGCGGTGTGTTTCTGTACTTGGTTGAGTTGAGAGTATTTGCGGTGTGTTTCTGTACTTGGTTGAGTTGAGAGTATTTGCGGCGTGTTTCTGTATTTGGTTGAGTTGAGAGTATTTGCGGCGTGTTTCTGTATTTGGTTGTGTTGTGAGTATTTGTGGTGTGTTTCTGTATTTGGTTGTGTTGTGAGTATTTGCGGTGTGTTTCTGTACTTGGTTGAGTTGAGAGTATTTGCGGTGTGTTTCTGTACTTGGTTGAGTTGAGAGTATTTGCGGTGTGTTTCTGTACTTGGTTGAGTTGAGAGTATTTGCGGTGTGTTTCTGTATTTGGTTGTGTTGTGAGTATTTGTGGTGTGTTTCTGTACTTGGTTGAGTTGAGAGTATTTGCGGTGTGTTTCTGTACTTGGTTGAGTTGAGAGTATTTGCGGTGTGTTTCTGTACTTGGTTGAGTTGAGAGTATTTGTGGTGTGTTTCTGTATTTGGTTGTGTTGTGAGTATTTGTGGTGTGTTTCTGTACTTGGTTGAGTTGAGAGTATTTGCGGTGTGTTTCTGTATTTGGTTGTGTTGTGAGTATTTGTGGTGTGTTTCTGTATTTGGTTGTGTTGTGAGTATTTGTGGTGTGTTTCTTTACTTGGTTGAGTTGAGAGTATTTGCGGTGTGTTTCTGTATTTGGTTGTGTTGTGAGTATTTGTGGTGTGTTTCTGTATTTGGTTGTGTTGTGAGTATTTGCGGTGTGTTTCTGTATTTGGTTGTGTTGTGAGTATTTGTGGTGTGTTTCTGTATTTGGTTGAGTTGAGAGTATTTGCCGTGTGTTTCTGTATTTGGTTGTGTTGTGAGTATTTGTGGTGTGTTTCTGTATTTGGTTGTGTTGTGAGTATTTGTGGTGTGTTTCTGTACTTGGTTGAGTTGAGAGTATTTGCGGTGTGTTTCTGTATTTGGTTGTGTTGTGAGTATTTGTGGTGTGTTTCTGTATTTGGTTGTGTTGTGAGTATTTGTGGTGTGTTTCTGTACTTGGTTGAGTTGAGAGTATTTGCGGTGTGTTTCTGTATTTGGTTGTGTTGTGAGTATTTGCGGTGTGTTTCTGTATTTGGTTGTGTTGTGAGTATTTGTGGTGTGTTTCTGTACTTGGTTGAGTTGAGAGTATTTGCGGTGTGTTTCTGTATTTGGTTGTGTTGTGAGTATTTGCGGTGTGTTTCTGTATTTGGTTGTGTTGTGAGTATTTGTGGTGTGTTTCTGTACTTGGTTGAGTTGAGAGTATTTGCGGTGTGTTTCTGTATTTGGTTGTGTTGTGAGTATTTGCGGTGTGTTTCTGTATTTGGTTGTGTTGTGAGTATTTGTGGTGTGTTTCTGTACTTGGTTGAGTTGAGAGTATTTGCGGTGTGTTTCTGTACTTGGTTGAGTTGAGAGTATTTGCGGTGTGTTTCTGTACTTGGTTGAGTTGAGAGTATTTGTGGTGTGTTTCTGTATTTGGTTGTGTTGTGAGTATTTGTGGTGTGTTTCTGTACTTGGTTGAGTTGAGAGTATTTGCGGTGTGTTTCTGTATTTGGTTGTGTTGTGAGTATTGGCGGTGTGTTTCTGTATTTGGTTGTGTTGTGAGTATTTGTGGTGTGTTTCTGTATTTGGTTGTGTTGTGAGTATTTGTGGTGTGTTTCTGTATTTGGTTGTGTTGTGAGTATTTGTGGTGTGTTTCTGTACTTGGTTGAGTTGAGAGTATTTGCGGTGTGTTTCTGTATTTGGTTGTGTTGTGAGTATTTGTGGTGTGTTTCTGTATTTGGTTGTGTTGTGAGTATTTGCGGTGTGTTTCTGTATTTGGTTGTGTTGTGAGTATTTGTGGTGTGTTTCTGTATTTGGTTGAGTTGAGAGTATTTGCGGTGTGTTTCTGTATTTGGTTGTGTTGTGAGTATTTGTGGTGTGTTTCTGTATTTGGTTGAGTTGAGAGTATTTGCGGTGTGTTTCTGTATTTGGTTGTGTTGAGAGTATTTGCGGTGTGTTTCTGTATTTGGTTGTGTTGTGAGTATTTGTGGTGTGTTTCTGTTTTTGGTTGTGTTGAGAGTATTTGCGGCGTGTTTCTGTATTTGGTTGTGTTGTGAGTATTTGTGGTGTGTTTCTGTATTTGGTTGAGTTGAGAGTATTTGCGGTGTGTTTCTGTATTTGGTTGAGTTGAGAGTATTTGCGGTGTGTTTCTGTATTTGGTTGAGTTGAGAGTATTTGCAGTGTGTTTCTGTATTTGGTTGTGTTGTGAGTATTTGCGGTGTGTTTCTGTATTTGGTTGTGTTGTGAGTATTTGCGGTGTGTTTCTGTATTTGGTTGTGTTGTGAGTATTTGCGGTGTGTTTCTGTATTTGGTTGAGTTGAGAGTATTTGCAGCGCATTTCTGTATTTGGTTGCGTTGTCCATCTCTAAAAAAATAGGGAAACATCATTCTGACTAGACTTGACTTGGAATTTTACTTTTTTGTATAAAAAATATTAGAACCACTGATATAAAAGGCTGACACTAACATCATTAACAGGCGTGCTTGGAGCTTCATCATTCTCCTCTCTCCTCCTCATCCTCCTTGGCTTCTCTGGGTCTTCCTTCATCACTTCCTCCCTGTGAGGGAAAAAAAATAGAACACTGCTTATTCCATCATTCAAAATATAATAATCGCTAGAAAAAAAATACTAAAAAAATTATTTAAAAGAGGTTACAATGCAGATGTAGGACATTAAAGGCAAACAAGTCCATCTTTATAGTGAATAAGGATCATCCACATTCTACTACAATTCTCATTTTGTGTTCCACTGAAGAAAAAAATACAATAAAAATATAATAAATATAATAAAACAACATGAGGATGATTAAAGGGGATATATATATATATAAGCCAATGTGTTAACAGCTTGTAACGAAACTTAAAAAAGGACCTTCCTCAACTTCTTAGGTTGTCTATGAAAGCCTGTAGACTGATTTTTATGTAAAGGCCTTGCCGGGAAAATCAAAAGGATGTGACGTTTACGCTCCCGAGAGCCTCTCTTCCGTTCAATGACACATGAAGCGAATGATTATTCAATGTTCAGGATAATGCAGAAAGAGCCATTCTGTACTGTAATGTCAATGTGTAATACAAAGAAAAGGAATTCATTCAAACTATACTCTCACATAGCCAGATCTATATAGTCTACAGTCTCAAATATACTTGTCTCGTGTACGTTACGTGTGCACAATTGCGAGCACGAGAAATAAGTTGCTGGCTGCAGTTCATTTAACGGTTTCTAAATTCTACGGTTTCTAAATTCTACATATAACCCCTTTTTAAATAACAGACTTTTAATTTCTACACAAACTATCCTATGAAAAATCAAACCCTTGTGACAGTTTGCTGAAACATCTATGTATGACTGCACCTGTGTCTCCAGTACGCCGTTTTGTGCCCACTAAACTCAGGGATGTCCAGCTCATCTCTCTCCCAGGTGCACTGGTCATAGGTCAGATCTCTCCATTTAACCAGGTAGTGGTAGATGCTCTTTTTATCCATGCTGTGCACACACACATACACACACACTTTAATCTTCTGACAGTACAAAGTATTAGCATATACAGTATAATACAGTAGTTTAACAAAAAAAAAATCACACACCTATGATTGATTATCCTGTGAACAATCATCCATTCCGGCTTGATGCCATATCGATAGTACTTCTCCTCCAGAATGGCATATTGAGGGTCTTTGGCCCTCCGCTTTTCACTCTTCCCAGAATCCTCCTCTCCCCCAGAGCCGTAGTCCAGACTGGGCGGCTCGTCCATATCCGTTTTCCTCTGGTAGTTGCGGAACATCACAGAGTGGAAGATCTCGAGCTGAGGAAGGACAGATGGATAAGAGTAAATCTGTACATCGCATAACAGTTATGTCTGTCTGTCTCACACACACTTCTGTCTCACTCTCGCACCTGTAGCTCTGTGATCCAGGTGCAGTGCCAGTAGGACTGTCCCGTTAGCTTCACAAAGAACTCTCTCTCTGGGCGACCCTTCATGGGCGGGGGGGGCGGGGCATCGGGGGGTGCGTCTGGGGGTGGAGGGACAGGAACTGGGGGTGGGGGATCACCCCATCGCCAGTGCAGAATTTTTTGCACTCGCCCTTTGATTGGTGGACACTGAAAAACAGACAACAGAAGTTAACAGCCGATTGTGTTACACATTTCTGATAGACTGAATTTCTGATGTATTAAATATAAATTAAAATCACAAGCTTGTCTTCTTTCCCTAAGTATAAGTTAAACTCAATAACCTAATAAATGGCTTTATCCACAACACAAACCAACCACAATAATCAATATCTAAAAACTCAACTGACTTATCTAATCTAAATTCAACACAATTCAACTCAGCTAAACCCATCTCAGTTAACACACCTCTGTTTAAGTCTTTACTTCTCTTTATATACTGTATATATTATGTTATTGTACATATTAAGAATACATAAAATGCTAGATTTATATACTGATGCAATTTATTCCTGTGTCAAAGCTGAATTTTCAGTATCATTACTTCAGCCTTCAGAGTCACATGATCCTTCAGAAATCAGTTATTATCTAATATGCTCAAGAAACATTTTTATTATTATCATTAATTTTTTTTGCTGAATATTTCTGTGGAAACTAAGGCATTTTTCATCAGGATTCTTTGATAAAAAGAGAGTTTATAAGAACAGCATTTTTTTAGATAGTAACAATGTAAGACTTTGAATACTTGCTGAATAAAAGTAAATACCTTTTTTTACTGACCTAATATATTTCACACATATATTAACAAAATTACAGCTTGAAAATGACAAAAATATTCTGTTCACGAGAGATATTTACCTTGAATTTCTTTCTTTTCTTCACACATCACATGTCTCATATTTCATCTCAAGCATGCTCTTCACTGACACTGTTGTCTCCATGGTAAGCAAGTATAATAACTTTTGGAAAAAACTTTATTAGGAGTCACCGCAACAAAATTGTTTGTTGTGGTGTCTTCACAACTACGGGACATCCCGTAGTAAGTCATTTTTCCACATTAAACAATGAAATGGTTTATGCTTCAACTACCACAGTTTTAGTTCGTAGTTTAAGGTTTAATGTTTGGGTCAGAGAAAAAAACTGCGTAAAAAGCAACAAAAAAACAAACAAAAAAAAAGACATTTGAAAATCAGCATATATCAATGATGAAGTTATTGTAAAAAGTTTTCAAGACACTTTCAATACAACAAAAAGAAGTCAACATTAAGCCATTGGAGATAAAATTGCCAGTCGTTGAAGAACCACGTGTGTAGTGGCAGAGCATTACCAAATACTCACAGTGCAGCGTGGACAGAGCCACTCTCCGTTGGGGATCTCGGGCAGTGGGGGGTTCAGGCAGTGGATGTGATAGGACGACGTGCAGGAGTCACAGCACAGCAGCTCTCCTCCATCTTTACACACGCGACAGAACTCCATGTGATCATCCTCCTCTTCCTCTCCACCCAGCCCTGCCTCCACATCCCGGACATCGTCACACTCCTCTTCAAAGTCCTCAAAGTCTTCTTCCTTTGCTTCCCACTGGATCCCTTCCTTCTCCTGAAAGATATAGACTTTAATTACAACTCTAGTGAAAAAAACCTACACCAAAATATATTTATGTAAATACATTTATTTCATACTAAGTATGTTACAAATACATTAACATATTTACTGACATATCGCTTAAGACTTACTGATATAAAGATTATAATTAAACTTTACTTGGAGCACTTCTTTATTGCACAATGCACAGATTTCTTAATATTAAGCCTAAAATGTGTTTTAATATCTATATAAGTAAGAATAGTATGATCTCTGTATAATATCAGCAAGATATTTAAAGTGTTCTTAAAGTATACTTGCAATAGTTCCACTTTAGCACAATCAAATATACTATATATACTCAAATATACTTAAGTATTTCTTCAGTTGAACCTCAGCACTACTTTTAAAGTTTGCGTAGAGAGAACTTAAGAGTTTTCTGTTAAAACGGTGTCGTGTAAGCGGCCCCTAAGTTAATAACTAATGGTCGTTGCAATGGAAGTGAATCAATCAAAACTAACTTTAGCTGGAAAATAACTTTATTCTAGAGCTGCCATAAAGCCAAAACAATCTCTGTTACTGTAATTTCCTATTATCACTGTAAAGCCGCTTTGGAACAATCTACATTGTTAAAAGCACTGTATAAATGAAGATGACTTGACTTCTGGATAAAGTGCATGCATTTAGTACAAAATTAGTTGTTCCAATTTAACAGACTTTTAGTATACAAATTTAGGATACCAAAAGTACAATTGCAGGGGATTTATATTAAGTACATACTGTAAATATGTAAATGTATTTGTAGTATACTTAGCATAAAATAAATGTATTTCAAATACATTTAAGTACATTTATTTTTCACTAGGGAATACATCTAGAAAAGCTCAATGTGAAGATCCTACAGAGAGGAATAACAAACTGAAAACATCCTGTTTGATCTCATACTGTATATGATGAAGGTTTGTTGATGATCAGCTCTTCTAAAAATGTGGGAAATATATCAAACGATGTCTGGCTTCACTGAGTCCTTCGGTTTAAAATGGATCTGTGGTTCTGTAGGTTTGGGTTGATGTGACTCACACAGTGAGGGCAGCTCCACTTGCCCTCGGGCGCTTTCTCCAGCTCAGGCTCGAGGCACACCAGGTGGTACGCTCGAGGACAGGTATCACACAGGATGATCTCTCCTCCCTGCTGACACACCTCGCAGTAGTCCTGATGGTCAGTCTCATAGCCATCGCCATCCTCATCACCCAGCACTGAGAAAGAAAGAGAGCGATACGAGAATAAGCAAGCATAATGTCCACTTCAGTAAGATTTTAAAAGCAATTTTTAGCCATTATCGGTGTGCATCCAAACCACAATGGGGGATTATCATTGTTTACTTACCCACAATTCTATGGTAATGAACTAAGAAACCTCTATTGAAACTGGGGGGGAGGGGGGTGCGATATGACCAAAATCTTATTTCATGATATAATACATTTGATTTCACAATACTAGTTATATATCATGAGTCAGTCAGCATGAGTACGCCACTTGTTCTCATGCACGTCCCACTCTTTATTTTTTTCATTCACGCATATTTCTTTATCACTCCAACGTGTCGATAACTTTAAGTAGTGCTGTGCTACGTGGATAAATTTACATACTGTAATATATAGCTAAATCTGTAACATACCACACATCCCTAATTGAAGTAAAATATTTTTAATAATTTTGGGGCACAAGGATGAGGAATGATTATAATTTGTATGAAAAGCAACAACAACAACAAAAAACATTAGGATTTTTTTCTTTTTGCTTTATTTATTAAATCAGAGGGTTAAACAGATGCATTGTTTTTAAAGACAGATCCAATACAAAGATGGGGGGGGGGGGGGGGGGACTCGACTCACCCTTCTTCTTCTTCTTCGCCGGACGACCCCTTTTGTTCTTCTTGACCCGTCCCGAGCTGTCAGATCGGACTGAAGAGCTATGAACGCTGGAGTTCTCCTGCTCAGAGTCGTCCTCATCCACCTCCTCACTCTGCATTACACATACAATCAAACACGACCACTGCACCCAACACACATTCACGGGGATATGCGTTACACACAAACTCTCACCGAACTGCTCTTCTTCCTCTTGTTACCAAGTGCTCCCAGTTTAATGCGCAGAGGAGCCATTTTCTTGGGTTTTGGCTTCTTCTTGTCTGAGACACGAGGACTCTTGCTGCGTTTCTTGTAGCCAGGGCCTGCCGAAAACCAATAAATGGGCAATATTAAAATTAGATAGCATTTTGTCTGGATAAAAAATAATACACTAAAAAAGTAAAAATATATATTTTTAAAATTCTACAAGTTCAATAAGGTGCATTATAAAAGAGTAATATTAATTTGCTATAAAATATGCAATTAAATTAAATGTTAAATATTAGTGTTTTATAAGTGAGATTTAAAGTGCCTCTATTATGCTTTTTTGAATATTACCTTTCATGCAGTGTGTAATATAGATGTTTGTGAATGTAAAAGGTCTGCAAAGTTTTAAAGATCAAAGTGCACGACAAATAAAGTGATTGTCTCCTAAAAGAAAGAATTGATTCTGAATTGCCGTAACGAGTCGTCAGTAACTCCAGTCTCTCTCTGTTACAAACCTACATAACAATGTGACACATTTGCATAATGCAAGTCTATGGTCTTCATTGGCTGCCGTGAACAACGTCTACTTTGACCCTCAAACACTGTAGTTGTAGCTGAGACTGGAAGAGTTTGGCTCGTGTTGTTCATGTCTGGAAGACGCTGTTTTCAGCAATTGATACGGAAACGGACACCATCGTTACTGTTCGTATGATTACAAGTGGTATGGAAGCCTTTAGAGCTATAATTCAGATAAGGTAATGAGTGTTTTGTAATTGTTTCCAACACGCGCTGTAAGCGGTCAACCAATCACAACAGACTGGACTGTCTGACCAATCAGAGCAGAGTAGGCTTTCGAAAAAAGAAGGGGTTTAGAGAGACTGAATCTTTGAGAAATGAGGTGATGTGCAACGAGAAAATGAAACAGTTTTTTGACCTTGAATGCATGAAAATCAATTGTAGGAGACCTCTATAACAAAATTAGGGGCACTTTAAGTGGCCGCTAAGATGACGACAAAGGTCATCTGAATGTTAAAATAGACGTTTTATAATTTTTAAGATATTGCTATCAATCCTACAAACCAGACATTTTGAATGCTGTGTGTTTACATTACCAAAACCTGTACAGAAACCCATAAAGCTGCCCATGCTTTCTGACCCCTCACCTTTGCCCTCTTTGGTCTTGGCCTTGCGAAGTGGCGGTGGCTGAGGTGGGGGTTCAGGTGAGGCTGATGCTGCCGAGACCTGCTCAGCAACGGCTAATGCGGCGGCGGCGGCTACGGCAGCGACGGCTGCGGCCGAGCCTTTGAACGGATTATTGGAGCTGAACTCACGCCATTTGGCCCCCAGAATGGTCATCATCTTGGACATGGGGATTTTAGGGTTCTTCTTAGCAATCATGGGTCTGCAGACGATATAATATGTTTAATACAGAAATGTTGCTGCAGAGGAACTACAATGTGTGAAACCCCTGGTTCAACTCCGTACCTCATGAACTGGCTGAAGGCCTTGTAGTTGGTTAGCGTGCGGTAATCTTCTTCTGTGAATGTGTGATTGACATCTTCCAGCCCCCACTCTCTAGCCAGCTGGGCTGATGTTTTCATCTCTACCGGCTGGAAGAGAGGCTTCATCATATGGCTGTCACAGTGTGGATGGGTAATAAACATCTGGAAACATCTGGGCTCCGCTACACGTTAGCTGGATCAGTAATTATGTGTGTGTGGTACATTACCTTGGCCATGCAACAGTTAGAAACACCATGTCACAGTTTGTACATGTCATTCTTTCATAATTTCTGGATGCAAGTGCGAGAATAACCTCTGATGATGTGCTTGCATATGTGTTTGTGAATGTGTGAAGTTGCAAACCCCTTATATTGAGGCAAATTTCTTGCATATGCAGCACTAACACCAGCTCTGCAGATGAAAGCCATTCATATGCCGATACTAACCGCTATCTAATATTCAACTAATTATTATGTATGCTTGGTAAAGTCAAGGGAATTTATCATGGGCTTGAATTCTTTTGAACTCTGTTGTTTTGTAGTAGTTGGTATTCGTGTTTTGTAGGAAATCAGTGTTAAGATGATTAGTTTTCCTCTGGTGAACTTAGATCCTGTAGAATTTAAGCAGGTTCTCTCCATATAAATGCAAATATTTTAAATAATTATGTAAAATATGATACTTTAATCCTAGATCTGGATTAAAGTGTTCTTGCAACTAGGTAACTTTACTTTATTAAAGGGGTCATGACGTGGATTTTTATTTTATTTTACTTGAGGTTCACTAATAATGTTAATAAAGTTTATTTTGCAAAATAAATAAACAACTATATATATTATTTTCAACCCTCATTCTAAGCCTCTGTCTCAAATGATCAGTTTTTAAGACGCGGCTCCTTTAAGGCTTGTCAGTAAACGGCCACTGTTATGATTGGCTAACGTCACTGCATAGAAACCGTATCAACGCCCACTCACTATTGTACACGAGTAAGTGTTTTGAAAACATTATCCATATAAAACCGTCATTTACAGATAAAGCATTATAAAATCATTTACTTCAGTTTGTGATGCAGCTGCTGTCAGATTCAATACAGTCGCTGCTTCATCTTTCAACAAGAGTTTCTGTGTGAACTCTCCATTACACTGAGCCTCGTTTACTAAACAAAAAGCTCAGAACAAACATATAATCCTCTGACGTGATCCAGGACGACATTAAAATAATTCATCCACTTGTTTCTGACGCTGGGATCCTTCTGAAGTCTCTACAGAGACCCAAACAAACTGTTTAAAGTACCAAGCGAAAGTACTTTCACTCGTCCATTAGTCCTGTTGTCGACAGACTCAAGTGTCAGAAACTGAACACACATCTGTAAACTGTATCAGTGTAGACAGCGTCAGTGATTATAATGGGTTTTATGTTTTTAACGTGACACTCACATCCAGTGTTGGAAAATGTCAGCCGTTAAGCGACTGAACGCCAGTGGGCGGAGCCTATGAGCAGATGATGTTTAACTATTCGTCGATGTCTTGCTCTTGAGGCAGTCATATGCAAATGTATTTGCCTGTGTGACGTCACAAATCCCGCAATATCAAACTGAGCTGTTTTTTAGATTAAATAAATGCTTTGTTTATAATGATGAGGAGGTTTTAAGCTAAGAAACTTGCAGGATGTTTTAACGGTATACAGATCTATTATATGTCAAAGGATCAAAAGAAAGTTGATTTCTCATGCCATGACCTCTCATTTGTTCATAAGACTCAATTTTCTTCATTAAATAAAGTACGTACACAGAAAAACAAATTCCATTCCTACTCAACTTTACTTGAGCCAAACAAGTACGTTTACTAGTTTTTTCAGTTTTCATTCTCTAAGTCGAGTAAAATCAATTTTACACTTTATAATGAGCGGATTGTGTTTGGATACAGAGGAGAATAAGGAAAAACAAAACCTGTAGCAGCAAAGATAACATGCGACTCAGCATGCAGAGCAAGAAAAGACAGAGCGCTAATGGATAACCTTTGTGGTCTCTTCGTGTGTGCTGTCTTCATCCTCTTTCTTCTTTTTCTTGGTTTTCTTCTCTTTTTTATCCTTGTGTTTCTTCTTCTTTTTCTTCTCCCCTCCGTAATCGCTGGCAGCACTGTCAGAATTCATGGCATAGTCCGGCTCTGAGTCTCTCTCTATGTCACTGTCCTGAAAGAGGCAGAGAAAGTGAGATCAACCTTAAGAACATATCATTGGAGCTGTCAATATACTGCATTCATTTAATACACTGTACACCACGGTTTTTTATTCAAAATCAACTAATGCATCATCAATCCTTTTTCCAAAACATGTTTTTGTCTTATCCTGATTCACTATGGTAAGCCTATGATAAGTGTTTATATTTTAGACCTGTCAGGATGGTTTTCGAGGGGAATTGTGTACATGCGTCACTCGCCCGTGCGTGTCTCGGCATATCCATAAATAGAGAAAACTTGCTCTGGCTACTTTGACGTGTGTCTGGTGTGGGAGTGACGGAGATTAGTTGCACAACGAGTGAGAAAGGTTGACATTGAGCAGCTAAATCTCAAACCTCCGGGAATCACCAGTTTAAAGCAAACGCCGAACAGAGGAGAGTCTGCTGGCAAAAAGAGAACGAGACAGAGCTCGTAATACAACAACAATCAACATTGGCTTGGTTTTTCGGAGATGGAGAGAACTGAGGGATTTGAAATGTTGTAAAAGCGACGCAAAGATGATGGTGTTTTTATCACTCAACAGGCGAGTAAGGTATTTTATTGAACAGATAAATAGCCATATAGCTCTCTAACAGAGTTCACTGTAATGCATTATCTATTGTGAAGGGTCGTTTCATTATGGATGTTGTAGCGCTGTGCTGGAATTTATTTTCAACAGTACCATAGCCATTAATAGGTAAAGCTACAGTAACGTCTTCAGCTAGTCAGCTTGAGATCCTTTCCATCTAAACTGGTTAAATCTCTTAAGCCTATAGTGAATGTTTTATGAGCAGCAGGATAATCTCTCTCTCTCTTTTAGCTATGAGAAAGAACCATATTCATCCGCACAGTCACGCAGAGCCAAAGCAAAACCAAAACAATGTTCATCTGCAAAATGCATGCAGTTTTCTTTTTTAACTGTCTGCTAAAGGGACCAAAAGTTACATAGTCTACCTTTAAATGATTCTCTCATCCGCAACTTTGTATTATCTCCATTCAAAGGGCTCTTTTCAGAGATTTATATATTTGATATAATATATATGATATATTGTTATAATATATTGCGATTCATAAGGGCTAATTAATCAGCATATCATGTAATTTGCCTTAAATTTGTAATTTGATTAAAAATTAATTGATGGTTTGCAGATTACTATTAACTAAAAGTTTAATGAAAAATGCATTTGACCATGAAGACAGAAAAACACATCAACCACATACTATTTTTTTGCGCTTGCGCGCTTTGGTCATCTTCCCCTCCTTGTCCTTGTCTTTCTTCTTCGTCTCTTTCTTTTTCTTAGGGCCTCGTTTCTTTTTTCCCAGGTTGTCCCTGTCTGATGTCTCACCAATGTCGTCTCCATCATCTAAGTGAGAGAGATGCAGGGAAATGAGGGAACATGGGAGGACTGATGAAATTAAAGTGACCATAATTCTTTGCAAACCCTCTGAGGTATCCTTCAAATCATTTCCCACTTCAATTATTGAACAACACGAGCGGTGCAGAGACCGAGACTGCCACATAGGAAATAAGTCATTCCACTTATGACTTGAACTAAGCTGTAGTATTTAATGAATTAATCTCACAAACATAATTATCTACATGACCTAATTATGACAGCCGGCTCGCATGGAAAGCTATTTACAGAGTGAATTTTAAGACGATGATAAATATTGTATGCCGCACTCCATAAGATGAAAATCTCAGGTCACTGCATGAGCAGAATAAATTACTCTAAAGCCACCATGAAATCAAAATTGACAATTCTTATTTTTTTTATGGAATACTGCAGTATTTATTTTAAAATATTTATCCATGCACATCATTTTTTTTATTTATGTGCCCTCATAATCTTTCATCAAAATAACACAACCTGTCACTTGACCAATAGCAAACCACAACCATCAAACTCAAAACTCTCTCAGAATGTGTTTGTGTTGTCAGTTAACCTAAAATGTGCTTCATTTGATCTAAATCAAAAGGGGTTAATGTTATATATTCAAAATAAGGTCCCTGTATTATGCTTCCATAAAAGGTGCTTTGACACAGACATCATCTTTCAGAAGGGGCAAAGTGGAGTTAAACAGCTGCAGTCATGTGACAATTTACACCAGCCATGTAAAAACGTTGACACGAATCTAAACCAGTCTGTTCTTTAATTTAAAACACACCAACAACTCTTTTAGCCCATTTAAATTCAAAAACATTTTGGACATAATATTACCAAGCTCAAAATATAATTTAACATGCCTAATAAACCTGACGACATTAGTTTAGGCTACACCAACGAAAGAGCTTTTTTTAAGGGTCAGATAAGATAGAAATACCTCCTCACGTTAAAAAGTACACCTACTCGCTTTTTAGTTTTACACTGCATTATACAGCTTGTTTTTTGAAAATGTAGCACCGTATCTGCACAGTATCATCATATCATGCCTGATAGCGCAGAAGTATCGCCATTGCGCTACGATAAATGAGTTGGGTTTGATAGTGTCTTTGTTGCTGGGGCGCGCGCGCGGGCAGAGCCCTTACCCCCAGCCAGAGGCGGCAGAAACACACACTCGAGGCTCGGGGATTGAAAGGCCGTGAGCAGCTGAGCTGATGCTCCCCTCTTCGTGAACTCCTGCACCAGGAGTGAGAGACCACCAGATGAACCGCACATGAAGGTCGCGGGGGCGAGACAGGACGCGCGTGCTCCTGCTGCTGACAGACTCACGCGCACCGTGGGAATGCGCGAGACACACACTACACGAGGCCCCAAATATAAAAGTTAGAATTAACTAAACAAGTTATTTTAAAGATAAATAGTATTTAAAAATAGTATTCCTTTACCAGTTATTATCTAAGATAGTATAAGATAACACATTAATCGACTGAGTAGTGGAGCTTTTGACTCATCACTATCTCTGTTGATGTCATCATACACATACTAATATAGCGGTTTATTGACATAGTCACAGTCAAACAGCCTGAGGGATGATGACAGAGGACAAACTGTCATGACATTTTGCAAAGTGAAAGGATAGCAGATCTCTGAACGAGGCGGCAGTGGGTCGGGTCAAGTTTATTTACATTGTCACAATCAAAGCGGTAACAGTTAGTCCTGACACTCGCGCCTCTTTCTGACCCGCATTTAGATCAATGCATTGGCTTGTTATTCTGTATCTGCTCATGTAAAAATCCGCAACCTTCAGGGTAAAGAAAGAGAAAAAAACCGAGATGATGGCAGCTTAATGATCCTTTGTCAGATCGCCGCGGGAGATGAAAAAGCACCATCATATGACAAGACCTGATGAATGACACAGACGGGACAGAGAGAGAGGGGATCGGTCAACTTTAGCCAAACTCTATGCAACTCTTTGCCGAAATGCACGCGGATAAATAAAGCATGCACAATTCCTAACAGCATCAGAGCATCCATGATGAAGTATGCAGTCGCGCAGATGTCGCAGTTTAAGGGTGATTCGCGTTTGTTTCGATGTGTTTTTGTGCCCCGCGCGCGCGGACTGTACGGTACCTGGCGCGGCTCTTGCTGCAGTTTCTCGAGGCGCCGCCGGCGAGTTTATGTCGCTTGCGTTCTCGTCCAGGTCTCCGTCGTCTTCTTCTTCTTCATCAAAATCTCCTCCCTCGGAATTAACCGCCGTGCCCTCATCTTCCTCACAAGAACGGAGAAGAGAGGACATTATATTCCCGCTGGTGACCCCGTTCCGCGAGATCCAAAAGTGTATTCCGTCCGAATTATGATATTTATTTAATATTCAAATGGACACACAAAAAGTGGGGGGCGTTTTGGAATATTTTACACTACAAGGCAGAGAAACAAAGATGGCCGCCCTTATATTTATTTTTTAACAACCCCCCCACCTCCCCCCCAATAAGAAAAATCCCCTTACATAAAAATGGCTGACTATATTATTTCAGAACGCCCCCCCTCCTCCTCCTCCCTTTTTCTTTCTCTCCTGTCTCCCCTCCCTTCTTAAAAATAACTGGAGGGGGGGAGTATAGCTGACTGCAACTTGTATTTCAGTTCATTTTTATTGTGTGATCTTTCTCTCTCACTGCTTCAGACTTGCCTGGTATGTAACTCTGTTTTTTCTGCGAGTGCGTAATAACGCACGCGCGCACTGCCGAAAGCAACACGAATCTAACCAACATGGCCACCTTAATATTCTTTAAAGCCCCCACCTTTGTAAAAACAAATCCACAAAAGAAAAAGAAAAAAGAAAAAGAGCTGGAGCGAAAGGGCTGATGTGAGGTTGGCTCGAGGGGGAGCGCTGCCGCAGCCATGCCCACACTTACATCATGTTGCATTGCTTAAAAATTAACTATTTGAGGGGAGGACAAAACAAAGCAAGTTATCAGAGCTGCAAAAGATAGATTAATTATTAGCAAATGGAAATGGCGTAGAATAGATAGATCACTCCACGTGTTTAGCTGCTGATTTACACGAATAGTTTGCAAATGCACATATTGCATTCACTTTTCAAGGATGCATGCCACAAGTTTCCATGCAAACCAGACCAGCTTATGCACATTTTTCCTACTTGAAATACCTTCTTTGATTAAACTTGCAGTTCGTCTATATATAGAGAGAGAGTTTCATATTCTAGATCAGCGGTTCTCATCCTTTCTGACACTATTGTCAAAGACAATATTTGACGCCCCCAAGATATTTCTGGTACTTCTGCTATATAAAGAAAAAGCTGCACATTTAAAAAATAATATAATTATATATATATCTTATTTTTTTTATATACAGAAACCAGTGCCAATATAATTAATTTAATAATAAATATTTATATAAATAGTTGAAATTATATTTCTAACAACATCTACTTTTAATATTATAATTACTTTAAATAAAATAATTATAATTTTAAAACAATTGCATAACTACAAAGGCAGTTTAAATCACACTGTTTTTCAGTTTACATTTTATCATTAATGAATTTACAAATTTTTTTAGTCATTTGTGAAGTTTTTTTTTTTTTTTTTTTTTACAAATTGCAATTTCTAGCCATTAAAATATTTTAGAGCTTGACAATAACTAGAAAAATGTATATCTGTTATAGAAATGTTCACGACTTTGTAAGATTTGACTAATTTGCATGACTTTTCCAGGTCTACAAAACACACTTTTAAATATCCAGGTTTTCTAAGACTGTGGGAAAAGTGTTTGGGGAAATTAATTAAAATAAGAAATACGACATCTTGAGCTTTACAGCTTATTTTAAAGTATATTTTGTCTTATTTTAAATCATTTTAAGCCATCTTTAGGCCCCGGATCCCCTGGTTGAAACCCACTGCTCTAGATGTTCTTCCTTGTGCACACGACACAAAGACAAGTAACAAATGAAACTGCTTGCCTAAAAGACGCACGTTTGCTGATGTAAATGGCATCAAAAAACGAGTCTCATAAAGTAGTGATTTCATTAATATGTTGGTTGCATGAAATCAATTCTGTGTACATGCATACATATATAATGCTACTTAATTAGGGTTGAGAGCCCGCTGTGGCCTACAATACAGTAGCTGCTGCATTTCCTCTGAGCAATTACCATGGCAACCACCAGACTTTATGGTTCAGGGGTTTATTATGTAGGCTGACATTCATCTTTTTTATTCTGTAGCACAGCTTTTGATTGGATGAAGCCCAGAGAGCTGCAATAAGATAACCATAGACAGAAATCGATAAAGCACTGAACGCATGAATAGTTGATGTGCCGTTCTTGCTCAGATGCCTATAAATTTGCTAGCAGTGGATACAATATTCTAATGAATTATATGCCATTGTTCATATTAATGCGTACGTCTTTAGAGTTCAGTGAGGTCGTCGTTAAAATACAGGCATATGGATGGAGAGAAGAGGTTACACTCTGGGCTTCCGCAGTAAAACTCGTCCTCTTCAGGGATGCCGTTTTCACTCAGGGTCTTGCTCATGTCCAAATTTACACCGCTGTGTTTCCAGGTGTAGCTTGACGCATGGGAATTGTAGCGCAGGTATCGCTGGAGAATCTCATCCAAGGTCTCCTCTGAACACACCTGCATAGAAAACAACTGCTTAAAAGAATGATCTGGATGCTAAAAAGTGCTTTGAATATATGTTTATTTTCTGGACGGTGTAAATAAATACTTCTACTGAAAGACAGAGGGGCAGGAATTTGTCTTAGACCCAGAGAAAGATATGAAATCTTGTTTCGGCCATGGAATAAATAAGGTAATTATTACTTTTTGGCGTGGTTTCACAAACAGGGCTTAGATTAAGCCAGGATTAGGTTTTAGTTTTATCAGGACGTTTAAGTAGCTTTTATAAACCCGTGTGAATCTTGAGACAAAACAAATGGCAGTGATATATGTTAAGATATGTCAGTGCAAGTTGCTTTCAGTTAAAACAGCTCAAACACGCATTTTAGTCTGGGACTAGACTTAAGTCTTGTCTGTGTGTGGTTTATCTCACAATTATGACTCTCTTTGTTTCAGACTTGAGAGTTTATATTTCTCAATTCTGAGTTAATATCTAAACTTGGAAAAAAGTCGGAACTGCGAGATATAAACTTACATTTATAATTGAATTATAATAATTGTTTCACATTTAATAAATTTTAGCTAAGTGTGATTTGTATATGTACATTTCTGAAATACATAACTTAGACAGTTACCTCTGATGACAGATCACTCTAAATTGTAATGTAGACACATGCATTTCGGTAAAGCTGCTTTAAAACTGTGTATTGTGAAAAGCTCTATACAAATAAATGTGAATTGAATTTCTGACTTTTTTCTTGCACTTCTGAGTTTATATCTCACAATTCATACTTTTTTTTTTAAATTCCGAGTTTATATCTCACAATTCTGAGGTTATACTGTAAACTCGGAACTGCGAGAAAAAAGTATATAAAAAGATATAAACTAGGAATTTTAAAAAAAGCCTTGTGAGATGTAAACTCGGAATTCTGAAAAAAATAATTGTGAGAAACTCGGAATTCTGAAAAAAAGTATGAATTGTGAGATATAAACTCGGAATTAAAAAAAAAGTATGAATTGTGATATATAAACTCGGAATTAAAAAAAAAAGTATGAATTGTGAGATATAAACTCGGAATTAAAAAAAAAGTATGAATTGTGAGATATAAACTCGGAATTCTAAAAAAAAGTATGAATTGTGAGATATAAACTCGGAATTCTGAAAAAAATTATGAATTGTGAGATATAAACTCGGAATTAAAAAAAAATCATGAATTGTGAGATATAAACTCGGAATTAAAAAAAAAGTATGAATTGTGAGATATAAACTCGGAATTAAAAAAAAGTAAGAATTGTGAGATATAAACTCGGAATTCTGAAAAAAAGTATGAATTGTGAGATATACATTCGGAATTCTGAAAAAAAAGTATGAATTGTGAGATAATTTCGGAATTCTAAAAAAAAAGTATGAATTGTGAAATATAAACAGAATTCTGAAAAAAGTATGAATTGTGAGATATAAACTTTGAATTGTACAGGGGGAAAAAGTCAGAATTGCAAGATGTTGAACAGTTTAGACATAACGTCTTATAAATCACAGTTGCGAGTTTATTTAGCATAATTCTGAGAAGAAAAAAAACACACTCGCAATTCAATTCTGACTTTTTTTCTTGCACTTCCGAGTTTATATCTCTCAGTAAGGAGAGGAAGAAGCATCTGGACTGACTGGCAGATGGTTGTTCAACCCAGAGTTTATATAGCCTGGCTGCAGCTGAAGCAAGTAAATAAGCACAGTCAGTCTGAGAGCGCCTGTAATGCCAGAGGCTCAACATTAGGTCCATTTCCCTCAAGCTGGATCAGATGCAAAGAGTGGGAGGGAGGATGACGTCACAAGATTTTAGAGGAACTAGAAAGAGAAGAAATCCTGCCCTCCTCAGTTTGCTGCAGCACAGTGCAAGCATGCAATATGACTAAGGAATGTGGTCTGTGGAGTAAAACAGGCATTGTATCAGGAATTCCTGTGGTAAAAATCAAGTTTTAAATGTTGTTTATATGTCTATGTGGTGTTGTTAATATGCTTTAAAGGTGCATTGTGTAATATTTAGGAGGATCCGTTGACAAATGCAATATCATATACATAACTATGCTTTCAATGGTGTATAAAGACCTTACTTAATGAACCGTTATGTTTTTATTACCTTAGAATGAGCCATTTCTATCGACATACACCGCGGGTCCCCTTACATTGAAATGCACAGACATGTTTCTACAGTGGCCCTAAATGGACAAACGCGTTTCGCAGAGGTGTAAAGTCCAGGTTCAGAAAGTAAAGGTCCTCCTCAGTATTTTGTTCCAATCACCTGGCTTTGCTAATTAGCACAGTTTTCCAGCCAGGATAGAACTAATTCATGGGTGGAATAAACATACGGCAAGACTTTTACTTTCTGACCCCTGGACTTTACACCTCTGGCGTTTCGTCATTATGTTCGTTGTTCTTCTTGCAAAAAAGCTAGCTGAAGTCAGCGAATAAAACACTGACACAATGATGAACAAGTAACAATAATATTCGCAATAACATATCGGTTTACTGAATAATTAAGTAAACCAAATTTCTTAATTTATCTTTGTAAAGAAACCTCATTGCTTAACTGGCTACTCTCTGCCGTCTCAGACAACGACATCTTTTCCTGTCGGCTACCATAACTTCTGTTGGTTGCAAATCGCAACCTCACCACTAGATGCCGCTAAAAATCACACACTGCACCTTTAAGACAAACCATGTGCAAATTCATCAGTCAACAGCATTGCTGAGTATTTCCTCCTTAAAACTGCAGTGAACCAAAGACAGTTTTGAAAACGTGGTTCTCAACATCACAAACATGTTGTAACCAATCCGGTCACGAGGGGGGCGGGCTTTAGCATATCATTAACTATGCTGCCAAGGAGAAGCCAGGTTATCCCGGTACATATTACTGTTGATATAAAAAAATCGAGTAGATTTAGCAATATAGCGGGATTATGTATATATGATGTATAGTATTTTACAATGTTATAATGAACTATATGCCGTTCTAAGTTGTTCAAAGCGTTTATAAGGATACTGATTTTTAGAAGACACTTAACTTAAATCGGGGATGGCGAACGGGAACATGGTTTGTGAAACATTAGCAACACATTATTAGCTGTTTGATAACGTAGTCAAGCAAAAGGATAATCATATTAATTACTGTTATATGTCTGACATTGTAGAGAGCGATACATAAAACACATCACCATTCTGATACATCGACTTGTATGCCTGTATAATTCATTCTTCCTCTTTTTCTGAATCAGTTTCTGCTTCAAAAATGTCTAATGTGGTTGAAATAAACTAACGTTTCCATTTGCCATTGTGTAGCATTTAGTATAGTAAAGCTGACCGAGTGGATCTCTGAGCTGGTGTGAGTGAGTGGAGGCGGGGCTAATTTGCATATTAATGGTTCCACGTATACTAAATGAAGCAAGGGTGTAAAGTTAGATTCAAGCTATTTTAAAGCATGAAAAAAATATTTTCACAGGAAAAAAAAACTTTTAAATATGTCATGATTTTGGTGATCACATATGCTTTTGACTACAGGGGGACTTTAAATAATTAATACGCACTTTTTAGGACACAATCCCGAAATCATTTTTGCAGATTAGTCAGCGTTGTGCGTTTAACATTTTCTGTTTGTTGCAACTAAGAGGCAGTAACTCTATACTGTATACTCATATACTGGCCTACCTCCAGCCTCAGTTCCTGGGAGGTCAGAGTGTTGATAATGCGGATCCAGCGAGTTTTGGCAGACAGCAGCCCGACCTCATAGCGGTTATCCTTCCACCACGGCTTCCCGAAGTCATTGGCCCAGTCAGTGCGAGGGCAGGGAGGGGGTATGTGTATAAAGCGCCCCCTAGGGGTGTAGTATTTAATGCAGCCAGTCATCAGGTCAACATGGGTAAGAATCTGAAAAGGGAAAACACCACATTGAGAAGAAAAATATACAGTATATATATATATATATATATATGTATATATATATGTATATATATATATATATATATATATATTATATATATATGTGTGTGTGTGTGTGTGTGTGTGTGTATATATATACACAGTCAAACCAAAAGTTATTCAGAAACCAGAAATAATTTTTGATATTTTACTAGTGTGTGCAGGACACTATAGTTCATTTATGTAAGTGAGGATAGCAAAATAAAGTAACCTGTGACATATTATACCCCAAAATTCTTCATACAGTGGAATACCAGTAATATACAAATTTGGGACCAAAAATGATTCAGACACTTTGACCTGACCATGTTTTACTTAAGTGTTTTTTCTTTACTTGTTAATGCGACCTTTTTACACCACAGACTGGACAAAATTAAGCATTGCTTGGTAATTTGTTGACCTAAATTGGTATTATCTAATTGTGTACTTAAATTGAACAGCTGACAGCTATTCAACCTAATTCATTTGTGAGACAGTCTAACAGAAGGAGGGCCAAAACCAGTGAAATATCAACTGATTTGATAACTCTGAGTTCTTGTCATATTTTATTACAATTTTCTAAACTATAGCGAATAAACTGTGATAATGTGAGAAATGTTGAAGGTGTCTGAATACATTTGGTTTGACTGTATATATCAGTCCCATAATCTTGTTATAAAAATGTTTTGTCATTCAGAAGATTGAGATAAAGTGACAAAAAGAGAAGAAATTATTAAAGAAAATACATTTTTATTGTGTGCTCTCTATAGGAGTTATTTTCTGTACAGGTCTTGTTTTTGCCAGATGACATGAAAATATTATATTTTCATTAAGTTTTGTCAACTGTTTTGTTTTTTGTGTAGCTTACGTCCTTTGTCTTTGGGTCAAACCAGTTACTGATGTCCTTTCCTGCACACTCTGTAATAGGCTTCAATAACACATCACCTGTAATAAGAGAGAGAGAGAGAGAGAGAGAGAGAGAGAGAGAGAGAGAGAGAGAGAGAGAGAGAGAGAGAGAGAGAGAGAGAGAGAGAGAGAGAGAGAGAGAGAGAGAGAGAGAGAGAGAGAGAGAGAGAGAGAGAGAGAGAGAGAGAGAGAGACTTTTTGACATACTGCTTTGAATAAATGGTTAATAAATGCCAAATAATTATTTCTTTTCTTTTTTTTAATGATGCGGTACTAGTTGCTTACCTTTAAATTCCTCCAGTAGTGGGGTCAGATCGTACACTTTGCCCAAATACGACACCCATATATCTTTGACAGTGTTGTGAAGGGACACCTCATTCGGCGTGAAATACTTTGGGCGACGCATTTTAACAAAACTAATATGTTATAGAGATAAAACGGTTTACACGAGGACTGTAAAAGCTAACTTAGCTGTTGTGACATCGTTGCGAAGCGGCCACGGAAGCGCGCACACAAGCCCACTGGTTGCTGTGGTAACCGAGGCACTGAGGAGCGTGTGAGAGAGCTAACCTACGGAAGCCCAGAGAACCGCAAAGAGAGAAAAGTAACGCTATTTTTAATAGGCTGTAGTGTATCCTAAAAGTGGAAATGAGAAACTGCAAGTTTTGAACACTTATATCTTCTAAATGCGAATTTTGTCATTGTTTAATAGCAGCCTAGCTTATAGATGACAGTAAGGCGAACATATTTCATACTAAAGGCCAAAAAACTTTTGATTTCATAGGGACTTTAAGGGTATGGGGGCGATTTCTGACAGCCATAATTAGTTTGGTAACACTTTATAATAACGTCCAATTAGTTAACTTTAGTTTATGCATTAGCCAGACATCCCAGCCTGCAAAAACTTCAATTCAATACAGTTCTATTCATGAATTCATCAAAGAATATAAAATGTATCTCTTAGACGTATCCTCCTTACCAACTAACAACAACAAAAAAAGACACTTGATAAACGAGTCCTCAAAATTCTTTTTTAAATACAGCATATCTTGGGAGTTTTTCATGATTTTGTTTATCTTAAAACAAATGAAAAACAAGCATAAAACATTAAAAAGACCCTTGTCCTTAACATCAGTGAGGTCAAGAAGACATTTGCTTTGGCATGTCGGCACAAACTAACAATCGTAAACCCCCAAAAAACTGCAAATCTTTTAAATAATGGTGGCCGCATGTCATAACCCTTCAAATAATATATATATTATTCGAAAGTTTATGATATATATACATATACATCAATTTATTAGTGAGTGCTTAAGTAGGTTGACCTTCAACTTGAAATTAAACCATGCAGGAGTAATTCATCAAGTTTACATAATAGTTTCAAAGCGTTGTTGTGGGAATTGACCTGTTGATAGACAAAAAAAAACTTGGACCAAATAAACTATTTTTTTTTTTTTTTTCAGTCTGTCATCTGATTTGTCATCTGCAACAGCTGTAGAATGATCATACACTTTCTGTCATGTAACCTTTTAGCAAAACTTCAGTAAAAAACTATTGTGCAAACTGGTATCAGATCGAAAGTGTGAGGCTATAAAGCAGCCCAAGGGCAGGTACATTTCTGGTGGTTTTATGGGAAACACTTCAGATTATGAAGTTGAGAAAGTCATGAGAAAACTAAGGTACTTCTTTTGCCAGAAAAGCGTGCAATACTGCTTTATCTATTTCAAGGCTGCCGGCATGTCAGAGCTGAAACATTAAGAATGCAAATATGACATACTGGTCTCAGAAGTACTTGGCACGGTCTAAAAGAAACCACAACCCTAAATTCTGGAGTGTCATTCAAAGTAAACAAACAAGCAGCAGAAAAAAAAGACAGTATGAGAGAGACAATGGCACATACGTCAAAGAAAATGTCGAGCCGTAATGACTCAGCTGGGTTTAAGACTCCAAGTTCAACTAGACTCCATTTTAAAGTCTTTTAGCAGAGAAAAGCAAACACCAAACTAATGGTGTCCGTCCCATCAAGTAATTTGCTCCTGGAGAAGTCCCAAACAGCCTGTGGATTCAAGTCTCAACAACAACAACAACAACAAAAACAAACTCCCCCTTTGATAAGATTCCTCTAAAGTTCAGTTTGGATAACGCTGGTTCTCTAGTCAGGTTTCTTAGTCCAAATCATTGTCCGTTTATACTGCATCAGCCGCTCTGTTATTAGTTGTACTGGAACTTGAAGTGGAAGTTTCCGTTCTCAAAGGGGTTGAAGCCAAAGGGCCATTCTCTGTTTCCTCCTCCTCCACCCTGATTATTCTCAGGGTCCAGAGGGTCCTCGCCCGAATCAAACTTCTGACGCATTTCTGTACGGAAAACAGCAAAGAAGAATGCATATATTTGAAGGTAAACAATCTTCATACATCCAGCGAAAACAAAATGTTAAAGTGCTATTTTTCCTAATTTTGTTTGGAAGGTCTCCTACAACAGGTTTACATGCATCAAAAGTCAAAGAAACAATTTAATTTTCTCATAATATACTTTGCACATCACCTCGAATCTCAAAGATTCTTAAACGACATGTCCAAAAATTCAGTCTCTCTAAAAGCCTCCTTTCCGAGAGTCTACTCTGCTCTGATTGGTCAGATGGCCCAGTCTGTTGTGATTGGTCTACTCTGCTCTGATTGGTCAGATGACCCAGTCTGTTGTGATTGGTCTACTCTGCTCTGATTGGTCAGATGACCCAGTCTGTTGTGATTGGTCTACTCTGCTCTGATTGGTCAGATGACCCAGTCTGTTGTGATTGGTCTACTCTGCTCTGATTGGTCAGATGGCCCAGTCTGTTGTGATTGGTCTACTCTGCTCTGATTGGTCAGATGGTCCAGTCTGTTGTGATTGGTCTACTCTGCTCTGATTGGTCAGATGGTCCAGTCTGTTGTGATTGGTCTACTCTGCTCTGATTGGTCAGATGGCCCAGTCTGTTGTGATTGGTCTACTCCGCTCTGATTGGTCAGATGGCCCAGTCTGTTGTGATTGGTCTACTCTGCTCTGATTGGTCTACTCTGCTCTGATTGGTCAGATGACCCAGTCTGTTGTGATTGGTCTACTCTGCTCTGATTGGTCAGATGGGCCAGTCTGTTGTGATTGGTCTACTCTGCTCTGATTGGTCAAATGGCCCAGTCTGTTGTGATTGGTCTACTCTGCTCTGATTGGTCAGATGGCCCAGTCTGTTGTGATTGGTCTACTCTGCTCTGATTGGTCAGATGGCCCAGTCTGCTCTGATTGGTCTACTCTGCTCTGATTGGTCAGATGACCCAGTCTGTTGTGATTGGTCTACTCTGCTCTGATTGGTCAGATGGGCCAGTCTGTTGTGATTGGTCTACTCTGCTCTGATTGGTCAAATGGCCCAGTCTGTTGTGATTGGTCTACTCTGCTCTGATTGGTCAGATGGCCCAGTCTGTTGTGATTGGTCTACTCTGCTCTGATTGGTCAGATGGCCCAGTCTGGGGCACGTTCAAGTTCAAAACGGTGCGCAACGTTTTGCTACGGTTTCCGGGTTGAACATCATGTTCCCTGGAAACGGCGTGCACCGGTGTGCAACGGGGTTTGAGATGCGTTTTCTCTTGTTTGGTGGGTGTGTCAGAACTGCAGTCCAATCAGCAGCAACATGTATATAAAGCACACGGTATTAAAGTGAACTTGCACAATGGGTTCAAGGAAAGTCATTTACAAATGTGTTCGATGCAGCTCGGTATACGCAACAACTGAGGATATTAGAAGACATGTTTGTCGTAAGTTTTATTGTAAAAATATAGGATATCGACATAATGATGTAGTTGTTTATATTTTTAGCTTCATTGCAAGTGTGTGACATTTGGTATAGAAATAAACAATGGTAATTAAGTGCTTTTCCTAAAAATGAGAAAGAAAATACAGGGTATTAAAACAGTATGAACTACAAATAAAGTCAGTATGTGAGGCTAAATAGATGTGTTTTAGTCTGAATTAGGTAAGATGTGTGCTTCCATTTCAGTTTCCACAAATCCCTTCACTCGATTGGGATGTTCTCTTGTGTTCTGGGCGGCAAGTGCAGTAACTGTAACATCGGGCATATTTTGTAGTATTAAACACATATTTATACCGACTTCATCAGGCTCCGAAAATTATTCACAAAGAACACAAAGAATGGCCTTCTCGGCTGCCATAGTCGCAACTCTTGCGTCATCAGAACAGTGTGTTCAACGCATCACCGTTTCTGTTTAAAAAACATTGTGCAACGTTTTGTCGGGGCTGAATGCAGCCCTGTTGTGATTGGTCTACTCTGCTCTGATTGGTCAGATTGATTGGTCTACCACTTGCGTTTTCTCGACAACTGAACTCTTCCAGTCTCAGCTACAACTACAGTGTTTGAGGGTCAAAGTAGACGCTGTTCACGGGCAACTGCAAATTTGTTACAAACCTACATAGGTTTGTAACAGGAAGTGAGACTGGAATTACTGACGAGTCGTGATGACTCATTTCGGCAGTTCAGAATCTATTCAATAACTTTATTTGTCATGCACTTTGATCTTTGAAACTTTGCAGACTTTTACATTCACAAAATGCTATTACACACTGCATGGAAGATAATATTCAAAAAAGCATAATAGTGGCACTTAAAAAAAAATAGGCTTACTGGAAAGAACATTGACAGCCATGTGTTTACATGGTTCATTTCGGATTTGCTGTCACTTGGTATTCTCTTACCTGGATCTGTGAGCACTTCCTTTGCTGATGCAATTTCAATAAACCTTTTCTCGGCCTCTTTCTTGTCTGCTTCAGACTGGAAATTATCAGGATGCCACTGCTGAGCCAGCTTTCTGTATGCTTTTATGATTTCCTGTTTGTTGGCACTCCTGAAAACAAGTGAAAAGAAACAAGAATTTCTGTCAAACAACGTTCTTTTGGCTTACACATATATGCTTATTACTATCTTATTACTATCCGCATCAAAGCTTCTACTTGTTTCAATTGAGAATACCATCTCAACAGCCATTTATGAGCACTGTTTTTTCGTATCACACACTTAAGCTTTTAAAAACTCACACGGTGGGTCCAAAATCGCATGCTGTATAGTAGGTATTATATTTGGTTTGCAGCTTGGTTTGTGACTGTTAAAAAGTATGTTCTATGTATAGGAATCAGTGATGCGCGGGTCAATGTATAAACAACCCGCACCCGACCGACGTTTTCAACTAACCCGCCCGCAACTCGGACCGCAAAAAAAAGAAAAAGAAAATATTGTACCCTACCTGCTTCCTGACCCGCATTTTTTAAAAAGTAGTACGGTAAATGCTCATCGTAGCGTCACTGGGCCATAGACATAGGAACTAGGGGTGCGTTGGGTGTGGCCAACGCACCCCTGGGTGTGGCCATAAATGTAAAATACGATGGTGGAAATGGACTTATGTAACGCACTCAAAGGTATGAAACAAATGGAAGAGCTGTATTTGTAGCACCCTACTAGTTTTTTTTTTTTTTTTTTTTTTTTGTTTGTTTTTTTTTTTTTGTCATTGTGAATTAAAGAAAGGCAAATAATAATAATAAATAAATAAAAAGTTTTAAAAAAAAGAAGCCGATTAAAAGGGTACAAGGCATTGCTCAGTTCAACGTGTTCGGAAATCGGGCATTTTCTCCCGCGTCAGCATTTATTCAAAAGTTACCGGTAATAACACTCAACATTCAAAAGGTAAATAAGGATTTCCCACTTAGTTGTATTAGTAGGCTATTTTGCCACGTGGATGCCCAATTGAAGCTCTCACAAGCACAAAATGCAGGCATAAAATATGTTAATAAAGTCAGTTATTCAGCCAATAAAGTGTAGAGTAGACCTATGTATTTCATAGAAAATTGTGTCTAGTACTATATAAATTACAAAGGTTTAATTGGCATCTTTATTTCAAACGACGCGACCGACCGACCGAGACCTGAATATCATTAAAAATATTTTTGGATGACTCGTAACCGCGGGGGACCGCAGGCACCCGCTCATTTTGGATCAACCATATTCCTATCATCACTGATAGGATTATGGGTAGTATAAATGAAATTCGGACGTACTACATCCGCCATGTTACTGTCATGTGACCCACCAAGTCGCTTCACTGCCATTCATAAATCCTCTCCTGTGGCCTCATGGGATAGTAAAGTGTCCATCGAATACGCATTTGAGAATCTCACCGGAAGTAGTAGGTCACCCGGGTAATTTTTGGCTACTGTTTTTCACATACTATCTATTCGATTTCGGACGCAGCGACAGTGTATGCTACAGTTTCCATGCTTAGGGTGTCCTAGATACTAATATTTTAACAATTCAGAAAAGATGACTCGCTGTCTGGCCAATTGACATTTTGGTATAGAGATAAAGGTTAGGTAAGGGTCATGATTATTCAGTAGTATTACAACATACTGAGTGAACATTAGCGCAGTTTGTTGTTTGCTTTTTGCATCTGATAGAGCATTTGAACGCCAGAAGTGGATTTTAAGTGCAACAACCTATAGCCATATTTTCTGCATTATCATCATTGAACGATAGTAAGGGCTGGTTCACACAGAACGCGTATTTCCATTGAACTGCTCTAATTCTCCATTGTTTTTCAATGTAAACGTGCTAGACATGTTTGACCAATGCACTCGCGTCTTTTGTAGAGTCTCACGCGTGACGCGATGTTCTAACAATACGGCGCTCAAGTTGAAATAAGTTTAACTTTTTTTTTAAAAAATGTCTCTCTAGATTTTGCGTTTTTTTTCTTCACTTCGCTGACTTGCGTTCTATGTGAGCAGGATTGTGATCGTCAATCATTGCCGTACCTGCTGACCCCCAGGATCTTGTAATAGTCCCTCTTGCGAGAAAGCTTGAGGAGCTTCTGTGCCCGATCGAGACCTTCACGGATCTCTTGGTTGTCTTGATCAAACTCCCGAGCCTCCTGATAGTCTTCCACAGCTGAGGAGAAGAATAGAGGAAGAAGCATTTTTATACATACAAAATGAAAATCCTTACATAGTATTAAGATGCATTTTGGTCGATCCAATCCGCTAAATACAGGGTCTTGTGATCGAATGTGTTCGAACAGCCACTAAACGTTGAGGGTTTTCTGTTAGAACGGTGTCGTGTAAGCGGCCCCTAAGTTAATAACTAATGATCTTTGCAACGGAAGTGAATCGATTAAAACTAACATTAGCTGGACAATAACTTTATTCTAGAGCTGCTGTAAAGCCAAAACAATCTGTTACTGTAATTTCCGATTATCACTGTAAAGCTGATTTGAAACAGTCCATATTGTTAAAAGCGCTATATAAATGAAGGTGACTTGACTAAAGACTGTCTACTCTCCTGCTACTGACAATGCGTAAACATTATGGGAAGCGGCTAGACAGACGGGATTTAAACTAACGGCTGGGGACCCAAGTTCGGTTTGAAGATGAAAAACGTACCAAACACAATGTTCTCTCATCATTCCTGATTTCTAATACACACACTCAGTGTTCGGCTGATCTTGCGGCTGACTGAAGCTTCTGCCCTCCGTATGTTTTTTCCGTTCGTCTCCTGAGCTTATTTTGTCCATTAGATTGAAAGATCTGAATAAGCCCACATATTTACCCGCCTATAAACCCTCCCCTCGAAGAAATCAGGACAGAAGTGATTGAAAGTGGACAAGAGACGGATTAAAACACCAGGTGTAAACGGGAATGTGTCTACTTGTGTTTAGGTTGATCAGATCACATCTTAACACCAGGTGTAAACAGGGCCTATATAGTAATAAATAAATAAAATAAAATATAAATTCTACCTTTCTCATATTCCTGGAGTAGGATGTAGGCCTCCGCTCGGTCCCGGAGGATGTGGATATTCTGAGGCTCTCTCTGGTGAGCTTCTGAACAAATGTCTAAGGCTTCCTCGGCTTCCTTCATCTGGAGGAGTCACAAGAGAAAACCACAACCAATGAGATGAAGGCCAGACACCAAAGCCTGACTTGAACATGGTCTTGCATTATTCACCTCTAATGATGTGAAAGAGCACATACCACATTAATAGTAACTAGAAGGTCTTTTAATCCCTTTAAATGTGTAATATAACAGCATAATGACTAAATTACATTTTGTAATGGCACATACTTTGATTAAGCAGAAACAGATCCTCTCCTTTGCTTTATTAATGTAGAACGCAACATTTGGCTCCGTTCGCATCACAGACTCGTACTTATCGATGGCTTCCTGATACCTGCCAATCAAGAGCAAAAGCGAAGACAAAAACAATGAATAAATAGTCAGAATGATGATGATGACGTCTGCAATGATAGAAAAATCATTTTGATAGAAACACTGTTTGATACAGAGCCATTCAAAACCAAGTCAGTAACACTTTTTTTCACTTGTATTCAGCAAGGATGCATTCAATTGATAAAAAGACATTTATAGTGTTACACAAGATTTATATTTCAAATAAAAACTGTTCTTTTTAATGTTGCGTTCAAAGAATCCAGAGGGGGGAAAAAAAAATCACGGGTTTCCACAAAGCAATAAGCAAAACAACTGTTTTAAACATTAAAAATAATAATAAAAGAAATGTTTCTTGAGCATCAAATCATCATATTAGAATGATTTCTGAAGGAACATGTGACACTGAAGACTGGAGTAATGATGCTGACAATTCAGCTTTACAATCACAGGAATAAATTACATTTCAAAATATGTTAAATTTAATATTTCACAACATTACTGTTTGTGCTGTATATTTAAAAAAAATAATAATAATCAAATTCAGTCTTACTGTGCATAAGAAACTTACTTCAAAACCATCACAAAGGTTTGAACGGTAGTGTTTGTAATAAAATAAAATGAACATAAAAATAGTTAAAAATAAGATATTATACTTTATAATATCTCATATTATACTATAAAGAATCTCAAATAAAGGCGATTCTAGAAGCGCCGTGTTTTCAGCACCTCTGTTCTGAGATCAGCTCTTCTGCAGAGTCCAGCTGCTTGCTGAGCTTCTTGACCTGTTTGTAGTGTGCGAAACACTCCTTGTCATCCTGATCCAGCTTCAGACACTCACGGACATGACTGAAAACAGAAACAGAGAAGGAAAGACAAAGTGAACAGCAGCAAAAGTAAGAGACATCTTTAATTTTAGAATCAGTTTGATATAGTATTTCTATGGCTACATGCACAGGGTCAGCGTGTGGGTCTGACAACTGTATTTACTAACACGTACGACCCTAGAATTATCCTTAAAACTTAGTGGTACACGATATATCAGCCGCCGATGTAATATGTGTAGCAGATCAATAAATCAAATACACGATGGTAAAAGGTCGGAAGACCGAAGTTATTTTTTTTCTGAACTACCACTGGTTCTGGTTGTGAATTGTGCTAAAATAACGTTGCCTTATCTTCTCTGAAAAGCTTCCCACACTTTCAATAAAGAAAAGAAAAAAATCTATCTAGTGATAAAATGTTTTCTGTGTTGAGACAAATCTTGCGCGATAGTCCTAAACCGCCTGGATAATCACACAACGTGTGCCGTGGTCCGTTAATGACACGTCCGATTCGCGAACTAATGACTCCTTTGAACCGATTCACTTTAATGAATGGTTAAAACAACTGATCTGTCCAACACTGAACTCAAGAGACATAAATCGGAAACACATTACAATAAGGTTTCATTTATTAAAGTTTAGTTACCTACATTAGTTAACATTCCATTAATATTAGTTTCTATGCGGATTTACTCCATGACAAAACCACCCCAGTCATTCTAGAATGATTCATTCTTTCCAAATAGAGCCATCTGGTGAAATTGTTTTTATATCGCAATATATATCGATATCGACATCTGTAAATATCGGTATCGGCCATAACAGCAATATTAATATCGGTATCGGCCACAATTTTCACATCGGTGCATCACTATTAAAACTCCCTACAGGAGAAGCTTGAATGCTGAATTCAATAACCAAATTCCTAACCAAAGAATGCAGCTGTCAATTCAGCATTCCTAAACAAGCCTGACAACTTGACATTTAGCTTGCCGTACATACTTAAGTGAGTCGTGATGCTCGCCTAAACTGTAATGTAGTTGACTGAGTTTGAGGAAGCCTGCTCGGTTGTCCGCACGGAGACGGGTTGCTGGTGTCAGGTCCATGATGGCCTTCCTCGGCTCCCCGAGGCGGATGAAACACTCGGCTCTCAGTTCTCGAGACTCTGGGTCCCATGGAGAAAGCTGGGGAACGAAGAGAAAATGACTACAAGAACAAAGCTAGATGACAACAAGGCATTCACACGGAGGTTTTGAATCTCCAGAGACATCTTAAGCCTTAACTGCAACATTTGTTTGTCTTTGTATTTTATTTGAAGGGCCATTAAAGGTGCAGTAAGCTATTTCTGAGAAACACTGTTGATATTTGAAATCAGCCCAAACAAACACACTCCCAAAATGCACAACACGCAGTGGAAGAGCGGATGTCTTTTTACCACAGCTCAAGCGAAGAAAAAAAAAATGCTTCACAAAAAATAAAGTGAAGATAAAGCAAAAAAATAAACAAGAATTCTTGACCTAAACAAAACTTTCTTATTTTCAGTGAAAAATTCGAAAAAATTAAATTTTTACAATTTATTACAATAGATAACATTAGTTTCAAATCATAATATTACTTTAAAATATTACTGGTTTACTGTATTTCTGAACAAATAAATCCAGCCTTGCTGAGCAGGTGAATTCTTTCAAAAACATTAAAATTTTTGAACAACAGTACAAATTTAAAATTCAGAAGACTTTCACTTAAAGCTGGAATGAATGATTCAATGACTCACTCATACTTCATTTGTTTCTTTACTGGATGAATCCGCAAACTCAACCCGAGCTGCAGAGGCTTTAGCCATTTTCAAGAAATTGCTGAAGACGCACCTTTTTCGTCAACACTTTTTTTTTTTAAATTGCTACGTGTACTGCGTTAAAAGGCCCTTGCACACTGAGTCCGAAATTCGCGTCCGAAATTTTCGCACGTTGAAATATAAATACGACCACGTTATGTTATGTCAATCACGCTTGCACACTGCCTCCAAAACTTTCGTCCATCATAAAAAAAATCGGATCGGGTTCGATTTTCTGCGTTTTTCGCATCCGTAGCAAGCAGTTTGAATGGTGTTTTGACAATTCAGAGCCACCGAATCACGAATATGAAAAAGCGCATACGAAAATTTCGGACTCAGTGTGCAAGGGCCTTTAGACTAACTGGGACTAGTCATGATACTTGCATACTGTTGCCCTATTGTTAGTTTTATAGCTTCTATTGCTCTCCTCATTTGTAAGTCGCTTTGAATAAAAGCGTCTGCTAAATTATTAAATGTAATGTAAATGTGCAGCTCTTCTTTCAATATATTTCACAAGTTCTATAGATGTCTTTTATGCATATTTTGTATCTTTTTGGAACTTTACAGAATAAATCACATACAAATTTTTGTTGTACGTAAAAAAAGTTTCATCAAAAAAATCAATGGCTTTGAAAAAAACATGAGGATGCATAAATGATACCTACCATCCTTTTCATTTTTGTGTGAACTATCCCTTTAATATTACTATAACCAACACCTGTTGCAGCTGCATGTGTATTGGATCTCCAGACTAACTCACCTCTATGACTCGCTCCAGCACCTGGACAGAAGTGGTGTAGTCTCCGTGGTGATACGCCTCATATGCCTCTTCCTGGAGTAACTCCAGCTCATCGGCCTTGTGGAGCTGGTCATGTGCTTCCTCATGATCCGGGGAACGCTTCAGCTGCGAGAGAGAGAAGTTAACAGAGCAGACGGCAGGAACAGAACAAGCAAATGCAGAATGTGATCTGGTTTAAGAAAGAAGTTGACAGGTTTTAAAGGGATAGTACACAAAATAAAAATGAAGTCATCATTTACCCACCCTGGTGTTGTTCTAATGCTGTATGAGCCGCTCTTTCTTTCAGACCACAAAAAAAAAGAATTAAAATTCGCGTCCATATAATGGCAGTGAATAGCAACCGGCATCAAGCTTTTCAAAAAATGATGCAAAAGTATCACAGAATGATCCCATATTACAAGTGACGTATATTACAAGTGTTCTGGGGTTTATGACAGGTTTGAAACTGAAACGTAATGTATTATTTAATGAGAATCCTGATCTTGGTCGTTGATCTTCTGTGCACGACTGCGTGTTCATGAGACTCTAATACAGTTGTGCAGGTATGACATCACTTTGTAGGCCAAAATGCAGAAGCGAGTTAGCATTTTAACCCATAGTCCCGAAGTCAAAGGGATTTTTGAATGGGGTTTTGGTTAAATGGCTGAACAGAGGTCTGAGGTGAACACAAGCTCAAGACACTTTCACGTTTTATTCCACGACATAATACATCAATATAACCCCACTCGTGATTTTTTAAGCGGTTATGTGTCTTGAAAAAGGCGGTTGCTAACAAGGCGGGACTACAGAGGCTGTCGGCGACATTAAACATCATCACGCAGAACAGGTAAACTCAGTCGGCCAGTACAGCATCGTTATGCTTATAACTGTGCTCTTATAAACTATTCTAACTTAAAGACCCACTCCGATGAAAATAATGTTTTTCTAGGTGTTAACATGTTCTTGTGGCATTTTTCTGATGTTAGCGGACATATCTTGAGAAAAATAAGCTCAAAGTTGTATTTCTGAGTATTTCTACATTCAAATGGCTGTGAATCAGTAGCAGACGCTAAAATGCCGGCTAAAATCGACTGGAGTTGTGACGTAGTAACTCCACTGGGCGTCTCCACACGCGACGTCTTGGTGTGAAATAATAATCGGTGATCGGTAATAACTTTGATTAACTTCGGATAATAATAATTAACGTGTATATAATACTGTTGTCCCACCGGTATTGGGGGTGTAAGCTAGCGGGAGAGACAGAGCTCTCAGCAACGGGCAGGGGGAGGGTCGTATCCGTGCCAACGGCTCCGCCCACAACGCAGAGGCGAATTGCTAATGAGCTACTGCCGCTCTGCTGAAGCGAAGTCCCAGAAAACAGCACAGGTTTTGTGATTTTGGCTAAAAATGGCATAATCATAATTTAAAGACCACTGGGAATGTTTAAAAATAGCTCAAAATATGATCGGAGTGGGACTTTAAACATCCTGGGAAAATGTTTTTAGATAAAAGCTGAGAGTGTTGTCGGAAGCTTGACGTTGAAATTGTGGGACAGTGGTGTAGTTCGTTTATAACCTTTAGCTTTTTACTTTTGGCGACTGCATTTAGGCTTCGAAATTCATAAAAGTTGTGTTCATCTCTAAAATTTGATGGACAAAACGTGTAAGTATCCTAAACTTGTTCACAGAGCTTGTTTTTAGCAAATAATCCAAAAGCCTATGGGAAAATCCTATTGAAAATCCTTTTTCTCGAGGCATCCAGCGTGATGCTAACTGCCGGTTGGCCTACAAAGGTGACGTCATATCTCAGTTCAACAGTTCCCAGACACAGTTCACTCCGACTCGCCCAGAAAAAGCACACAATGGCCCTCATTTATCAAAAGTGCGTACACCAAATTTCCAGCGTACACCTGGCGTACACCCAAAACCACGGTGACTTTGAGATTTATCAATATGGACGTTGGCGTATGGCACGCTCAAATCCTACGCCAGCTCAGGAGGTGGTGTACGCACGTTTTGAGTTAGTGCGGAAATGCGCAGAAAAACAATTCCTAACACCACAAAACGCACTGACAAACTAAAAGATATGATATATTATGACCCACTGTAAAACAAAAAAACAAAAACATAGTAATTATTTACTTCAGTGTTTATTTTTGTGCAACATGGACTTCAATGTTTAATTTGTGTGACTTTACCAAAGCATTTGATTTATAAGCGTATTCCTTCAGTTGCGAGCCTGTGCGCTTTACCCTGACGTTCCATGGTTAGGATCGGCAGGTGCGCACGGACTGAGTTCGGTAACGAAAGGCTTTCAATGACCAACAAATAATTCAGACTGACAAAATAATAAAAAATACATTCTTCTTCTTTTAAATAATAATAATAATACAAATAATAATAATGACATTCTTCCTCTAAATAACAAAAAGCGTCATTAATAATACAAATCATACTAATAATAAGAAGAATATTACAAATTGTCATGCAATTATTAATGTGAATGAATGGTACTCCACATCACATCATCATCATCACTATTGTACACCCAAATACATGTGACGTGATTCGAAATTGAATGCTAATCATAGACTGTAAGATGCTAATTCAAAAGACGTGCTGTAAAATATTGCATTGTGATAGGTCATTTCGGCTCCACGTCAGAGAAGTTTCTCTTCTTTGCCGTCTTCCGTGTGTCCATGGCGTAAAATGAGGGCGTGGGGGAAGCGGAGACTTGAATATATAGGGGCGTGTTATTCTAATGACGATCGTTTTTAGCCGCGGGATTTATCAAGGGTAGGCATTGCGTACACCTGGATTTCAAAGGTACGCACAGCTTCATAAATCAGGCGGTGAGAGGAGTGTAAGCATAATCTTACGCCAACATATACGCCCGTTTCTACGCAAGAATGATAAATGAGGGCCATTATGTGAGAAATCAAGACTAAGAAAACCGTACTTTTTTACTCTCTGAGGTGAATATATATGTTGTGTTTGTTGCAACAAGACTGTCATTCTGACTTTCATCAGACAACCGGGGTCTAGTCCGGAGATATTCAACTCAGTGAAGAAAGTACACAGATACTTTTTGGGGGGATTTCTAGGCGTTCATATCATATTCTAGGCGGTCATATCGATATTTCATATCGCGTTTTCATTAGTCTTAATTTTTCACATCTTGTGTGCTTTTCCTGGTCGAGTCGGAGTGAACTGTGGCTCTAATGAAGTCTCATGAACAGTGATGGGAATAACGGCGTTATAAATAAACGGCGTTATCTTTTTCAGTAACGAGTAATCAAACGAATTACTGTTTCCCCCGTTACAACGCAGTTACCGTTACTGACAAAAAAAATGTGGCGTTACTATAATTGAACACTGAAGCGGTTTTCATCCGAGTAGGCTCTCTCTCCGCCATAGGACCTGCAAAGTGTTTTTCTCTGGTGTGTGTGTGTGTTTATGAGGCGCCGGAGTGGACAAAAGCGAAGCGAACGGCGCGAGAGAAACCGAGTGTGTCCGAGAGCGCGCTCAACAGTTGCGCGAGAGAGACCGAGTGTGTCCGAGCATTATATAGTTTGTTTATAAATAAATGACATATTTCAGCATTAGACAGCATTATCTATAGCCTATTGGTATAGCCTATTGGTATCATAAACATGTCTAGAATTTGGCTTAAATAACCTCTGATGATGACGTTCGCTATAGGTTATAAAAATAAACCCCCAAAATATATTTTAGTATTATATTTTTTTTGGGGGTAAATTGTTCAGTATTATATTGAGAGAGCACTTGTTAAACTGTTTACTTTTGTTAGGAAGAAAATACTTAGGCTACAGTATGTCTACTAGTTGTAGATACTTAGGCTACAGTATGTATATTTTTTATTATTATTTATTCATTTTTGGTACATTTCTTAAGAAGCATAATTTATTTTTAAACTTATTTGTTGGCCAGTTGGGGTCTGTGCGATATTAAGTATAAACCATCTATAATGTTTTATTGTTCTACTATAGTAATGCTAATATTTAGAATAATATATTGAATTTAATAGGCGTCTCTTACATTGTCCCACAGCAACATTAAAATAGAATAAATTATTATTATAAAACATTGAACACTAATCTACACTATTAAGTGTCCATTTCATTAATTTAACATATTTAATACTGGGGGCATCCAAATTATTTGACATTGGCCTATTTAAAAAAAAAAAAAAATTAAAGTAACGCAAGTTACTTTCTCTGGTAATTAGTTACTTTTATAATGATGTAACTCAGTTACTAACTCAGTTACTATTTGTGAGAAGTAACTAGTAACTATAACTAGTTACTTTTTTTAAGTAACATGCTCAACACTGCTCATGAACACGCAGTCGAGAACAGAAGGTCAGGATTTTTGTTAAATACTACATTCAATTGACCCTTCGCTAAGCCCCGCCCTCCCTAGTTACTGTTGCTACGCCTGTCAAGCTTTCGTGCCTGGCACGTCTATTACAGTGTGTATGCACCGGTGTCAGACATTCCCAATGAGATAATTAGTAATTTTTGGCGAACATGTGAAATATCTGAGAGAGCAAGACAAAAGGGACTGTAGTATGCATTCGAGGGATATAATATGCAACCGATTAGACAATCATTTCATAAAAATTTAAGCTAAAGCCGATAGTCCCAGCGCAAGGCCTCATACGCTGACCATTCAAATGGGAAACACACAAATTGAGGAACAGCTATGTTCGTGCACAGCAGGGTAAGTGATGTGAAAATAATCGAATAATTATAAATCAAACAGGAAATAAATCTTGTGGAACAACACCGGGAGAGCCGCGGTCGGATTGGGTTAAAGTTAACGTTACTCAGTCAGGGGTAGAAGGCTGTCGATTAACAAAATGCTGAAATATATTTTAAAGTATGTCAGTGAGTCTCCATCTTGTCTTTAATCGTCTTATTTTACGTTAAAATATATGCATTATGAACAGAGAACCGTCATTATTTCCAACTTCCAAGCAATAGGTGTTTTTGTTAATCCTGTGGACATGTAGTTGTGAATGGGCTCTCACACACTGCTTGATCCACGCCCGGCATTTAGATTTTCGGGAAGGAAAAAAAATTCCACTCCCCCGTCCAAACTTTTAGAATACCGGGTATCAGATTTGCACAATCCATACGCACAACGCTTCGGCATGTTTCCCTCGCTCGAAAGCTTGCCAGACCTCCCGCGCCTAGTTACGGTTGCTAAGACACGATTGGCCAGTGGCGGTTTTCGGGCGTGGCTTAGCGAAGGGTCAATTTCAGGTTGTTTTTCACCAAACCCTATCGTAAACCCCCAGAACACTTGGAATATACGGCACGTGTGACATGGAATCATACTGTGATACTTCTGCATCTTTTTTGAAAAGCTTGACGTTGGTCTCTATTGACTGCCATTATATGGACGAGTGCGAGAGGGACATTTTATCATCTCCTTTTGTGGTCCGAAAAAGAAAGAACGGGGTGTGTAAAAGATCATTTTTCATTTCAGGGTGAACTATCCCTTTAAGGGAATCATGTACTCACTACTGCCTGGAAGTCTTCTCTGGCCTCTTGAGTACTGCCTTGTTTCAGCAGAATATTACCCCTCTGCAGTCTGGCCTGAAAACATGCACACACACACACACCATACTGAGTGTTTACACCTATAACCCAGTTTGATATCACAACAATAAAATGTAACTCACAGCGAGGAAGTCTGGCTTGAGCTGAATGGCTTGGGTCAGGTCTGGCAGCGCTGACTTGGACTTGCCCATGGCCAGGAAAACGGCGGCCCGTTTGTAGTACGTCAGGTAGTTCTTAGAGTCGCCCTCTATTTAGGAAGTTTGCATTTGTTAATGAAGTGTTACTAAATCTTTTCTTCATTTTTGAATGATCCACATAAACTGAAATGAAATGCATTTTTAGTACTGAATAGTAAAAAAAAAAGCTTTTTGAAAGTCTCTTCTTCTCACCAAGGCTGCGTTTCTTTGACCCCAATCTTTTGAACAGTAGTTTAGCTTTCATGTGTGATGATTGCGTGTGCGTGTGTGTGTGTGTGTGTGTGTGTGTGTGTGTGTGTGTGTGTGTGTGTGTGTGTGTGTGTGTGTGTGTGTGTGTGTGTGTGTGTATGGGTCTTACCCACAGCTGAATGATAGTGAGACAGGGCCTCAGCCAACTGTCCGGCTGCCAGCAGCTTACGGCCCATTTCCAGATGTTGCTCGATCTCAACAGGTGTGGCGCCTAAAACACCTGAAATGAAGCGACTTACACATGACACCAGGCCTCAGAAATGGAGTGATTTAAATTAAAAATGACTGGATGTCAGAACAGCTTCTTCCTGGGGCAGCTTTTAAAAAAAACCTCCATCTGCCTTATGTATAAAGCATGTAAACTCAATCCCATGTTTACATCTACATACCCAAACAGGGTAAGCCTTTCTGTAACGTCGTAAAAACAAAACTCCTTTAAGGGTTCCCATGCATATTGTGTTTCGGTTCACAATGGCAGCACAAAAAGTGAAAGCATGAAGGGTTGATTTGGAAAACAAAACCTAAAATTACTAACTACCTCCTCTACTTCCTTTCTATCACAAACTATCACTTCTAAACTTCGTGAAGTACCTTGGAATGACACATCATGATGTATGTACAAAACAGCATTACCATAGTACATGTACAATAATAAAACAGTATTACTACTATCGTACTTGTCATTTTGCGTGAAATCAGACCAGGGAATTTTTAAATAGCGTGCGCTTCAAATCCTACTGAGTTGTCGATACAGTATACTTGTGTATCAGATGGCATTAAAATTGTGTCTAGATATAGGCATATCACTAAGTTTTATAAGCCAATATGATTTTATAACTATTTTTCGAACGACTTCTTCTTTGTCACTTCCTGTTGAGCACCTGTAAACGTATCATGATTAATATAGTATCATCAGATTATAATGCCACGGTGTTCTGATATATATTTCATGATTAACATATTTGTGTACAATGGTATTTTAAGTGGTAAGTGGCAATACCATAGTATTAACATGGTACATGTCGAAAGACATGGTAATACTATGGTACTTCCCGGACAACTTAGTACAGGGAACCTGACAAAATCTGAAAGCCTTTGCATATAAACTAACTCTCAGTCTCATGTCAAAATCTCATGTATGGAAGAAGAATAAGAGTGAAATCTCACCGTCCAGCTGTAGGTCCAGGACCACACAGAGCAGAGACAGGGAGGACAGGACACTGTTCAAACCTCTCCGCCGTCCCGAATCCATCATGACATCTATCAATTACACAACCGTATGTCTTTCCACTGTGCTTCACAACAAGCAATATGACAGAAGGAGTGTTAATACTTCAGATCACCATAACAGCGGCATATCCGGCATACTTGTTAAGGAGATGTTTCTGTTGTCCGGGTTATAAATATGTCCGAGTTGAATAAAGGAATGCGAAACTCTAGTTCCGTGTGTCTCTCAATAAGTGTATGATACTTTGTATTGAGTAGTTTCTTAGCCCCGTGTGACAGTGACTGTGCACAACAGCTGTCGGACACGTACTTTAGGAGGTCTCCTCTTGCTGAACCTCTAGGTGTACAATTCAAATCGCCCTACATTTCAGCGCGGTGACATCCGTGTTTGTCGACAAACGTGGTCTCGTCCCATTGGCCGAATTATTATAGCGCACTGGACGGACACGCCCACATCTAGCAATGGACTGATAGATGACTGATAGTTGATATTTGATATGACCCTTCATTTACTAGAGATGAAAGGTCTATTCTCGCCTCACCCAGACTCGGGAGCAAAGGAAACCGTGGAGACCATGGTTAATATATGTCTATTCTATTCTATTATGTTGTGTTTTATAAACCCCCTATGGCATTATGGAATAGAATACTTAAAAGAACCACCAAGTTTCTGTTGTAAAGGAGACTGTGAATACCATTGGAAATATATGTCTGTTCTATTTTATTCTATTGTATTCTATTATGCTGTGTTTTATAAAGCTCCTATAGCATGATGGAATAGAATACAACATAAAATAATCACCCAGTCTTGGTAGTAAAGGAAACCGTGGATCCCATGGTTAATATCTGCCTATTTTATTCTATTCTATTCTGCCGTGCATGATGGAGTAGAATACAACATAAAAGAATCATCCAGTCTCGGTTGTAAAAGGAAACCGTAGTTTCCACTGTATTTAATTGCTATTGTTATTGATAGGCCAATGTATATCAGAATAAATGCATATTAGATTAAATAGTGTAAATGGTCAAATTTTGTAAGAATGGAAAATAAAATATGAAATGTAGTATTATTGTTGGTATTACGTGAGCCGTGTCAAACAATAAAACATCCCTAAATACATAATGGCCTTTTTAATGTCATGTATGTTTAATGTTTGTATAAAATACATCATATAAAACAGGGTCATTTGTACAAATAAATGGAGAAAAGATCATCAACACATTATGAATCCTTCTTTTCTACATACACCTTGATTCATGTAACTACGGCAAAAGAATTCTGAACAAAATCGAAGCATTTTCATTATGTAATTCTAATTCCTAACTCTTTAATTCTGTATAATGTTCTCCTGGGTGTTTTTGCACAGCAAAACTGACATGGTAACATTTTACATGATTATCTTAGGAGGCCAAAAACTGCCAGTGCGTCTCTATAAATATTTACATAATGGCACAGACAGAATATTAACAGTCAACTGTTATATTAAAATATCATGTTTGGCCATGAAGTTGACCAGAATTGCTTCATCTAGACGTAGGCATTTCTTCCATAAGTGCTCTGAGCTTCTCTCCTGGATGTGGACGTTGAGTAAACCGTTTCTCGCGTGGGCTGGTAGGGGTAACCACTGCGAGAATGTAGGAAACACACAAATTCATCAAACAAAATATTATAAGAAAGCATTATCTGAAAAGATAAGAAGTGTGTGAGTGAGTGTGAGTAACAAAGCAACTCACGTCTTCTCGTTTGAGCCTAATTTGCAGCTGAACATGAGACAAGCTCCTCCACAGATGGAGAGAACACCAGAGGCCCAGCCGATGTATAAAGCCTCTCCAATCTCATACCTACAGCACATCACACACACAACCACATATTCAGCTCACTTCAGTGTAACATGCATAGGTTTCGCTTAAAATTGCTTTCAAACTAAAGTTAAAGGCCTTGAAACGCACAGCATTAGTCAGTTTGTTGACGTCATTTCCTCTGAAACAGGAAGAGAGGGCGGGACACATCGAACAGCTCCTCCCATTTTTTTTAAATAGCCAATAGCGTTTAGTTTATATCACAGTTCGGCTAGAGCCGTTGAGCTCAGTAAAGCCGCAGTTTCCTCCTAATCTCCTCCATATTGCTTTCAAATGTAGCATCCTGTGCAGAATTCAAATGGGTCCGATATGTTTCGTGGTCTCACGCATATGATGCGTTCTGCGCTATCGTGTCTCTGGACCGGAGCAGACTGTGTGCGCGCTGTGGCGGTTCACGTGACGCTAACGAGAAACCATATTTCATTCACCCCAATGAAAAGCATATTTACACTGTCTGAATTGTTCCCTATCCCCTATATAGTGCACTACATGTGCCATTCACCACGTAGAAAACAGTAAATGTGTGAACAAGTGACCGATTTCTTTCATCCCAGCTTCAGCGTCTATTTATAGTGTAGGGGGCGGAGCTTCAGATTGTAGAGTATTTGATTGGACAGAAAATCTGATGAGAAGATGAGAATTGCAGAGTGATGTCATGTAAGTGAGAGACTGTAAGTTAATGTTATATCGTTTAAATGCAAATGTTGTCATTGTTTTGGAGCGCACTAGATTATAGATAACAGTAAGGCTAACATATTCATATAAAAAGCCAAAAATCTCCCATTTTGATTTCATGGGGACTTTAAAGTGTGATACCTTTTCTTCCCTATTGTGACCTATTAGGACTTAATTTTGTCCGTCTCTAATTGAACGGATGTGGTTTGCAAATGGCCAATCTCATGTGACTGACTGGTTTGGTTAGGTTTTCCACAAGTTTTCCACCCTCACACACCAGTAAACACGCGGCCCTGTCCCAAATGGCACACTTCATCTGCACTTACGGTCGTGTGGACTTATAATAGCCACCGCATGCATGTGATAATGAAGTCCATGAGACTGTAGGACTGGGTTCCTCAAATCCGGTCCTGCCCTGCAGAGTTTAGTTCTTCCAACCCTAATCAAACACACCTGAACCAGTCGAGGCCTTCAGGGATTGCAGGTTAGTGAGTTCGATCATGCTTTGAGCTAAACTCTGCTGTGTGATGTGGGCAATCCTATAAGATCATTACAGATCACACTGTAAGACATGGATCTAATAAACTTGGGTACGACATGTATGAAGACTGTATGATGAGGATGACACCCATTGAATCATAGGCTACTACGTCATCATCAGCATTTGCTAGCAGGGCCGTCGCTAGTGGGGTGAAAGGTGGTGACAATTATAGGGGCCCCCGCTGCCCAGGGGGCCCCACAAAATCCAGTAGTTATACTATTTAGGCCCCTGTTGTATGAATAATTCTAATATTTATATTAGTTGTATGCCTGAGATTTAAATGAAAACCACAAAAACGTGCAATTTGGGTAAATATTTTTCCAAATATCTGCTTCTCTTACCTCCATAAAAATGGTTTAGTCCGACCTAAAGTATTTATTAATTATTCAGTCAGAGTCAGTAACAAACATCAGATGGACCCAATAAAATTGTAAGTCCCGCCCCAGCTCGTGAACAGAACCAATCAGAGTTGAGGCGGCAGCCTGAAGTTAACGATGAACTTGGTGGAAGAGCAGGAGACTAACTGACTGAAAAATGTCGGGGAAAAGAAAACATAAATCAGGGAACCAGAAATGCCAGGAAAAGACGGAGAGGGAGGCAAGGAGATTGGTTGTATCCTAGTCGATCAAGACGTTCTTAAAGACCGGTTATTGTTATTTCGCTGGGAATTAGAAAACTTCCGTCTACAGTCTGCCGTGTAGAGTCATTTTTTATTATCGGTGCGCGCCACAATCGACCGAATGATTACGTGGTCTAAATTTCTGTCTTTTTACACTATTGTAAATAGAGTTTTAAAAAATTACACGAGTCACGACGCATTGCATTATGCATCTGACCTGCCGGCTGATGACATTTAAAACATCGAGAAAACACGAATACAACACACTGCACTTGGATGAATAAATATATTCACTTTATTTAATAATATTACCAGTTCCATATTATCTTTATTAAAAAATAAGGCAATAAATGGTTTTATTTTTTTAATTAGACTGCATTCTTGTCAATTTCTAAATGTTTACTTTTTGATTTATGAATTACAACAGACTGATGGGGGGGAAAAAAATATTACTTTTTAAAAATTGGTTTTATTATTATTTAACAATTTCTTGCTTTTTGTTAGTTTTTATTAGTTGTAATTTTTATATAAACATTTAACTTTTAAAATAAAGGTTTTAAAACAACATCACCATCTTCTGTTATATGTGGGCCTCCATGTTCATCTATTGTACAGTATATGATATTGGTGGAGGGTGGTGGGGGCCCACATCAATATTTTTTCAGGGGGCCCCGAATCCTCTAGCTACGGCCCTGTTTGCTAGTATACCGTAGTAAACAAACAGAGCAAGGTGAATCGCACTTTGGCAATTGTGGTTTTTATGTACGCTGAAAAAAAGAGGAGGAAAGAGGAGAATATGGACGCTGTCATATAGGGAAAAGAGGGCAATTTGACATGCAAATCTTGCAAATGGAGTTTGAGGAAAGTAGTTTTAAGTTTTAGAGCCATGTTGCATTGATCAATACGCCATTTCATGTTGCATTTTTATTGGCTAGTCAGTAGATGTAGGTTGTAGTAGGTTGTAGCAGCAAACACAAGGAGAGATCGTGCTATTTCTGATCGTGCTATTTCTGACACTATCTTTGGTCGTAAGACCGTGACAACAACCGTCTTTGAACCTCTCTCACTAAACAACGTAGGATCACCGTTTAGTAGCCACGACCGCAGAAATCACCACGATTGGTCAACATCCGACTCGTGCAGCTCTTTTGCTGAACACTGAAGAGACAGGACAGCAGGCTACTGGCAATATTTGGAGGTTACTGAAGTTTGTCCAAAAAATCGCTAAATTTGTCGCTAGTAGCTTCTTTGAATTTTTTTTGCTAAAGGGGTCTGAAAAGTCGCTAAAAATAGCTACAAAGGCGCTAAGTTGGCAACACTGGAAGAGAGCGCCACTGTAAACTTCTTCCCGACACTCAAATATTTTGATTATAGTACAAATTTAGTAAAAGCACAGTAGGGGCAATTCAGTAATAGTCTGCACCATGGGCGAGGCTAGCCCCTTTTTAGGGGTGCTTCAGCACCCCTAAAAAGGAGCTCAGCACCCCTAAAACTTGGAGTAAGAAATATTGTTATTCAAAAAAATGTGTTCGTCTTTGACAAGGTTAAATAATGTCCAAAACATACTCTGTATAGTTTGTGGTTTAAAATGTATGTGTTAAGGATGAAAATGAAAACATCCCCGCTTAGCAAATGGTGTCATCCTCTTCTCTTCTTCTACTTCTCCTCTCGGCTCGACCGTCATCCAGCGCGAAACACACGCAGAGTGAGAACCATAGGCGTCACTAGGCCCTTTTTAAACTTCTGCCTAGCCCCCCTAAACATTTGTGATTAAGTGTAGGCTACACACATTCGTATTCGCTTCAGTCTTGTTATAATCAGATTCAGAGTGTTCATCTTCAATCCGCAGCAGCGCCAAGCGCTCTGCACGTCAGAAACAGAGGACAGACAGGGTGTGTGTGTGTGTGTGTGTGTGTGTGTGTGAGTTCATCTGAGCCTCATTGGTATTTCATTGCTCGTCAATGTCAGAATATTTGAGATGACCAATCAAATCAAAGTAGGCGGGCTTTATGTTCACAGTCAGACGCTGCTGAGCGCGAATTTGAGCAGCACGACTGACGCTTCAGTTTACGGTCAAGTGCGAGTTAAGAAAATGTAAGTAGCTAAACTAAACAAACAATTTATATTTGACAGTTTTTTAGGTCATAAATGTTAAAAGAATGACAAAAATAATTAGAAAACTAATACACTTTTGTCTAATTTCACCATTTAAAGCTGAAAATAGGCCTATATAACGTGTAATTATGTCATTATGAGGGGACAAGAAACATTAACAAAGCCGTTTTCATACAAGATTAATAATGCATGTGTACATGTTGAGAATTAATAAAATGTGTAGCCTTCAGTAAATTAAAGAAGTTCAGCTTTAGGAGGGGAAGAGACAGGGCAAGATCAGGAGACTGAGAGGAAAAGACAGAGTGATGGAGATGAGGAGAGAGCAGGTTTTAAATCTATTTCTTATCCTTTTTTGGCCTTCAAACGTCTTAAAATGCACATATCAGAGAAATAAAAATGTTTAACCCCATAACAACTTCAAATTTATGACCTCTTTGATTATAAAGCCCTGTCTACGGTCAATAATGAATGTGTACATATTGTGAATGAATTTAATAAACTTAGTTACCTAGCTTTGGTAGCTTTGTCTGAGAAAATGATTCATAAATTAGTACAAATCAGTTGACCCTATGTTTACTTTCTTCACTGACAGACAAAAATGAAAAGCCTATATCAGTCAAAGCTCAGCTTTAGGAGGGGAAAAGACAGAGCAAGAGAAAAACAAAGAGAAAAAGAGTGTGATGCTGATGAGGTGAGAAAAAAAACAGCTGCCCGCACATGGTTTTAAAGCTATTGTTATCCGATTTTTTTGACCTTCAAAACATCTTAAAATGCACATATGTAGATCAGAGAAATCAAAATTTTCTCGGGGGAGCATGCCCCCGAACCCCCCTATACCTCACATTCGGCACCTCAGTGATTATAAAACCCTGCCATATGCATGTTACTGGATGAATTAATGTAACTAGTTAATAATGAGCATTAGACCATAAACAAACTTTTTTTTTTCATACCCTCATTGGGGGCTGAGCCCCCCTAGAATGAAAATCCTAGAATCGCCCCTGGTCTGCACTGCAGTTTATTTAATGAATACTTTGTAAACCGTGCGGCCAGAGGCACCTGTTGGATGTAAGTCGAGTGCAGTATTAAAGAAGACACCAGGGGGCAGCATTGATACTCACTTTTGCCCGGGGTAGAGCGGGTTGAAGAACTCTTGAGTGATATTCGCAGCGTACCATGACACTGATACCATCGTGCACAAACCTTTACAAGAGATCAAAAACATAGCCATAAAGATGAACAGATAGCAGATGCATGTTATACATTCCAGTCGTCATTCTATAATATTGATATTAAATATGAATGTGCTTTACCCTGCAGCAGGAAGAGCACGCCTCCGGTTCCGGCGATTCTGCCCTTCAGGAGGTAGTTCTCCCCGCCGGCCTTCGAGCACTGGATGCCGATGAGTGTCGCGACCACCGCGAACGAGCCGCACACCACAGCCGCGATCATCAGCGCGCGCGATGCCTGGATATAACCTGCGCGAGGAGGAGGAGGAGGAGAGACACTGCGTTAGATAGGATAATACACTCATACACGTGCTGAAACACACGCTACTATAGAGTAGGCTAGTGCTGAAAAAGATTTGGGTATATAAAATATGTATGACTATAAGTACAAGAATTAGCCTACCGAAAGACAATAGAAAAGAGAAAATAAACAGCAAAGAAAGAAAGAAAGAAAAATATAAATGATTTACTATAAATAAATAAAGGAAGGTATAGACCGACAAAGAAAATGCATAAATAAAAGTATAGCCTAGTAAATAAAATATTAAACAAATACATTAAGTCAAATTAAATTAAATTACTGGACTAAGAACGAATAAATAAAATAAAATAAAAGAAGGAAAGACCAACGAAGAAAATGCTAGCCTACACAAATATTAAAAACAAAGTATTTGCCTTGTTCAACAGTGTTTTAGTCTACTAAATATGAAAATGTGAACTAGCAAATAAGTTTTTTTTAATTAATAATAAAATTAGAGAGGTATCCTATAAAATTGTACACCGAATTTACTGAAGGAGTTGCTTGAAAGTTTCCATTTGAAAATTGAAAACTTATGTGAATTTGTGGCAATGCCAAATAATCTGTGACTCATCTTTTTTTATTGTAGGCCTATATATTCAAAAATGTTTTGGTTGGATGTTTCAAATGGCAATTCTAGGTTGTTTGGAACATGTCTACAAATTGATCTGTGTGATGTAGTTTTTTTTTTTTTTTTTTTTTTTACATGACAATGTTGATTCCAAAAGTAGGCTACGATGTGCTTCCTTATAGGCTACTATTATAACGTTTTATTTTACTCGGAAAATATCACATTCATGTGAAAAAAAATGAACTAAAGCTAAGCCAAGCTTTGAACATTTTATAAAAGATTAAACAATATACATTAGATAAAATTAAGAACAAAAAAGCAAGAAAGACCTATGAAGCTTATACTTTAAATTGTTGTAATTTTATCTCTGGCATGACCTACTTTATTTTACATATTATTATGTATGTTATTTTCTTGTTGTGAGGTGCATGTACAAATCTTTGTTGATAAAAAAAATAAATCAATAAAAAAGTAGTACACAATTAAAGAAAGGCAAATAAATATAAAATATTTACTGAGCTGAGAACGTAAAAAAATAATAAAAATAAAGACCGACAAAGAAAATAGCCTACATAAATAAATAGTAGGCTAGTAAACAAATAAATTAAGTCAAATAAATATAAAATATTTACTGAAGTGAGAAAGCAAATAAATAAATACATAGGCCTAAATAAATAAAGACAGACAAAGAAAATAAATTAGCCTATTGAGAAGGAAAAATAAAGAAAATTAAAGAAGAATATATTATATATATATAATATAGCTATATAGCCTGACAAAGAAAATATCCTATATAGCAGTAAACAAATAAACGGAAACATAAGGGACTAAACAGATTTTTTTTTTAATTTTCTTTTAAAGATAATTCCTATAAATTATTCACAAAACATGCGAGCTGATCTGAAAAAAATACATGGTCACCAAAGTTCCCGTCAAAATTAAATGTATTTACATTGTTTATTATGACAGTGGTGGCTAATATCAAGTAGCCTATACATCTGTGATGTCGAAATGATTCGTCTGAGATGAGAGGTGTTTTGTACCGGACAGGGCGAGCAGAGAGGGGAACTCGCGGCAGTTGTGCACTCCGGTCGAGTCCGTGGCGCAGGACATCCACAGGTTCTCGTACAGGGTGGAGGTGGTGATCACTGTCCCGTCCAACGACGACACCTTCCAGTAGCGGTTCGGGATTGTGATGCCAACCATGACCCAACTCACAAAACCCAGAAATAAAGCTACGACTTCAATAACCGGATCCATGGCTGCTCTTAGATCACACCGGCTCCAAAATCATCCACAATCAGCGTCCTCCTGTGTTATGTGTGGCTCTTATTTTTTCAGGCTATAGTTTTGCTTTGCTGAGAAATTATTTGGCTATTTATTTCCAGGTGTTGTTGATTTCGCGAGCTGAACCAGTATTTCCATGGAGAGAGAGATTACACCAGTGTGACACTCAAAACGGGTTGTTAAATGCAGCGGTCATTTATAGGCTCTGTTTGCCCTCCCCTCTCCTGTCCTGCTTTTGCATTTACACCCCGAAACTCAACAGCTGGTTATCACTAAAGTCCAATGGTCGTGGCCTGACCTTCACTGGAAAATTATGCATCCGTTATGGACGATTACTTTGCTGACTATAATATGAGGAAACCCGTTGCCACTGAAAAGTAAGCTTCACTCCAGTTTTAAATATAGCCTGTGCTGGGTAGGCCGTATCTAAAATATAGGCTAGCTATCACACTAAATACAGTTCAAAAGTTTGGGGTTGGTTTAAGTTTTTGGTAACACTTTACCAAATGTGTTGATTTTCACGGCATTCACGCTGAAAACAAATGCTGCCGCTCAGTCTTTTTGCCACTTGTGGGCGTGACCGCATTCACTCCGGCCGACGGTGACGTCATGCGCATACCCTCTATTAACTAGTTGCTTATTAGCATGCATATTACTAAGATATTGGCTGTTTATACAAAACTCATTTTAATGCCCACATCCCTTAATCCTACAAATAGATTTAACTATACTAACTAAGCAATTAGTAGCCTGGGAAAACCCAGAAAACTTCCGGAAAATTTAGATTTGCTCTGAAAGTTAGTCTGGCAAAGAGCTCATTGAAGCCCATTTCCAATCCGTCGAAATCGAGGCACCAATCAGAAACGTTGGGGCGGGCTTTACACGATGACGACAGCGCTGGGATTTTGAAGCAGATTTTGTAGCCTACATTACAAAGATGGATGCCGCCGTCGAACATCACTCGTTCGAATCAGCTATCGCGTCTGTTTTAAGCGATTTGAACGTTTCCTTTTTGTTAAAAACCGAGCAAAAAACAACAATTGGAGATGTTTCTCCGCTGCTCTGCATACGTCATCTCCTTCATCGCTCTGATTGGGTTTAGGTCTATCCGCGACGTCCGTTGGTGACGCCCCTCTGGAAATGATATGACGCTTTGCCAGACCATAACTCAGGCCTTGTCCACACGGACACGGGTATTTTTAGAACCGGAGTTTTTCCTACAGCGTTTTAAAAAAACATCCCGTCCACACGTGCTCGGTCTCCGTCTACATGAAAACGCAAAAACACGCTATCAAGCACGGTCAAGAGCATGCCACGCCAGCAGGCGGCGATATAAACCTTAACCGTAAAGCCACGTTGGCCAATCAGAAGCGCAAATCTGACGTCAAACACAGCGGATAACGGCGCACACTCTGACGTCGCAAGGCAAAACCCCCGGTTTCACTGTCTACACGACAACACTGTAACCGGCGTTTCTGAAAATCCTCACCCTGGCAGGCACCCTGCGTTTTCGTTTGGACGAACGGCCGAACCGCGTAAAAAAAGTCACGGTTATAAAAATACCCGTGTCCGTGTGGACAGGGCCTTAGTTACAACTGAGGATGGTCTGGTTTTAACCAGGCTAAGCAATTAGCAGTTTATTGAGGCAAAAGTCGTAGTTCAGTAAATAGTGAGAATTTGACCCTAATCTAAAGTGTGTCCAAGTTAAAAAAAAAATGTTTTTGTATACATAGCCTATCTTATAGCTACTCACCATTGCTGCTTTTATTTGATTAAAAACATGGTAATACTGTGAAATATTTCTATTTTAATATATTTTATTCGTCATCAGTACTCCAGTCTTCAGTGTCACATGATCCTTCAGAAATCATTCTATTTACTGCTCAAGAAAAGTATTGATTTCGATTGATTTGAAATCGTACTGACTGAACTGCAGCCAGCAACTTATTTCTCGTGGGCGCATAACGCACAAGAGACTGAATGTGATTCGAATTTAGACGAATGTGTTAAATACGTTCTGCATGCTTCCATCTCTCAATAAAAACCTGCACACAACAAAATGACAGCGGGAAAAAAAATGACAGCGGTGAGAAAGCAGCAGTTAAGAAAGCATCTGATAATAGCCAAGTGTAGCATGTATTTACAAAAGCTCTGCAATTCATCGGCATGTCAAAAGATTAGTGTCAATTATCAGAATCAATTATCCTTGATTCTGATTGGTCAATAGCTGTGCTTTATTCATGATAAAACACAGCTATGACCGCTTCACCCAACGGTTCTATTTATCACTGCGCAACACTGCAGTTCCTATGTTGTTTTTATTTGAGCTTTCATGCATATTAGGAACGTTGTTGCTGTTCACGGTCAGGGACTATTTTTTTTCTAGCGGAAAGAAGGCTTTTAGTGATTTTACTTAATGAAAGTTGCACTAGCCTAATAAATTATTTTTTTACTTTAATATTTTTATTGTGTGGCAACCATTTTATAAAAGCAATAAGGTACTCGAGGCAAGTGCTATATCGTGAATAAGTAACGGCTGAAGGGCGTTGCACGACGCAAAGCGGATGTATTCACGATACAGCGCAGCCTCTCGTACCGTCCTTATTGCTTACATTTGAGACTATAGATGGCTATATAGATTAGTCTATCTATCTAGATTAGTCTTACTGAATCAATACCTTTTCTTTGCATGGCTCATTGGCATTAGCTCTTTCCTGAACATTGTACAAGCATTCGTTTCACGCGTCACATCTTTTTGATATGAGTCCTTCCCATAAAAATCAGTCTACAGGCTTTTCACAGACAACCTAAGGTCTCGTTTTTTATATTTCTTTACAAGCTGTTCACACATAGGCAATAAAGAGCGCAATAAAGAGCGTTACAATAAATTTGTGTAATTCTTTCAAACGTTAACCTGGCTGGCCTTATAATAATAGATAGTTTTAGTGGATTTTAATAGGCTAACCAGAAGTTTAGTCAAATGTTATGGATCTTTTCTAAAAGGACACTATCAAAATGTGAACTACTGGGTGCAGTGATTAAATTAACAAATGAAGAAGCTGTTGAGAGTGTTTATCTATAGTCTCATTATCAGTCTCTCTGCTTCAGATATCCTCATATATTCATATATGGCTAACAGACCAGCGCACGCACAGTCACTAAACCTTCAATCTACATCATAGTCAAGTCAGGTTGTTTCATTTTTATTTACAGTTTATACAGGGTTCACTGAACACTGAAATGCTTGTGAGGAGACCTAACTCATAATGACATGATTAAGTAAATGGTGCATATACTGACCCTGTTAAAAAAGAGAAACTCTACAATGTAATGCACATTATATACAAAATATTAAAAGAATATATTACAAATGATTACTATAACCACAGGCAATGTTTTTATCAACACATTTAAACAAATATTGCATCATTCCTGTGCACACACCTGGCCAATGTCTCCGATTAAGTGTGTCAACATTCACAAGAAATTGGATTTAGTCACTGATGATATCACAGAAATGCCTACAAAAAGACCAACATGTTTAAATAAAGCAAATGACAAGCAAAGCCTTCATTAATGTTTAATAGCTAAGAATCCATCTCTGAAAAAAACCCCCCATAATGTTAACAAAATATGACACAGCAGAGGCTGAAGTTCAAGTAGCAATAAACAAAACTTTGAGTTTTATCGTGAAATCTCTCCGAAGAACATGAAGACTATTGATTTTAACGTCTTACTGTACGAAGACCTATAAGTGATTAACTTATTTTATTGACGTAAGACTAAGATATTCTGAGTAAATCGTATCTTGGAAGGTTAACATACTGATTTCCAAATCAATAGTAAAAGGAAATAAGTATGTTGCAATACGTTGTTTTGTAAATTCTGTATCATGAAAGAATCAATCTTTGAATTATCTATCTATCTATCTATCTATCTATCTATCTATCTATCTATCTATCTATCTATCTATCTATCTATCTATCTATCTGTCTGTCTGTCTGTCTGTCTGTACATTATCTATCTATCTATCTATCTATCTATCTATCTATCATCTATCCATCCATCCATCCATCTATTATCTATCTATCTATCTATCTATCTATCTATCTATCTATCTATCTATCTATCTATCTATCTATCTATCTATCTATCTATCTATCTATCTATCTATCTATCTATCTATCTATCTATCTATCTATCCAAACATTCCAATGTTTATTAACAATATGATGGATTTAGACCACAATCATTTATTAGTATGGTTTTTAGGGCCTCCTTTTGCAGCCAATACAGCATCAATTTTTTTTCTTTGATTTTGATCCTTTCTTCTTCCAGAACAGTGGACAGGTCACGATGCGATGCTGGTGGAGGAAAACAGTTTCTGACTTGCACTTCCATAGTACCCCAACGCGGCTCAAACATATTTAGATCTGGTGACAGTGCAGGACATGGGAAATGTTCAGCTTCACTTTCATGTTCATCAACGTGTGTGTATTGGTGCATTATCATGCTGGTACACCCCACCCCCCTCCAGGTGAAACATTATTGAATGGTACAAAAAAAAGGTACAAAGCTGGTGAGTACCCTATAAGGTACAAAAGCTAAAATGAACTAATATGTACAGTACTAATATGTACACTTGAGGTACTAATATGTACTTTTAAAGTACTAATATGTACCTTTAAGGTAAGTACCATTTAGGGGTAAATAAGGTACAAAGATGTACCTTTTCGCTTTTGTACCTTAGTGTACTGCCCCAGTTACAGCTTTGTACCTTTTTTGGCAGTGACGCACCCATCAAGAACAGGGAATGCTATGATATTACTAGGATATTATGCATCTTTGGGGTTTCCCCACACCGTAGTCCCATGGATGTTGGAGAGACAGTGAAGGTGGACTCATCAGAGAACATGTTTCATATTGTCCACAACCCAGGATTTGCACTGTTGAATGAATGAAACCGGCATTTAGCATTGGCATGAGTGACCAAAGGTTTGGCTATAGCAGCCCGACCATGAATGTTGACTCTGTGGAGCTCCAGACCAAGGAGAGTTCAAGAAATATAATTCTTTATATTTGAAAGCTGATAACGATACATTTTTATATCATGTCATATATACACTCACCTAAAGGATTATTAGGAACACCATACTACTGTGTTTGACCCCCTTTCGCC